TGGCTGTTTGCTGTGGTTTTGATATCTGTGTGTAGGTCGTTCGATTCGGTGCATGACATTGACTCACACCTTTTGGCGCTGTGCTGCGAGCCGCGTAGGAGTTTGATGTTCGCAAATCAGCTCTGCATCTAACAGGCGAGACGGCATAGGAAGAAGTCTAAAGCATTGTAACAGCTGCCAGTGACCACTCTACTGTGGTCTCTCGTGGGATCCCGGCCGTGCTGCGACTTTGACCGTCTGGAGTAACCAACGCTGAGGGATTCATTGCGAAATCCAGTCGCATGCCTAGGTTCCTAGATCCAACAGAATTCGTAGGCTTTAGCTGCTGCCGCTGACCTCCAGGGTCCACTAGTTAGCCTGTTCATCTGCAACTTCCCACAGCCAGCCGTAAGTCTGAGCTTCGAGACATCAGGAGCCGAATATAAGCGAAGCCAAGACCTCTGCGAACTAGATCTGCTTTTATGTAGGCAACCTATGTAACATGTATACGTATGCATGTCTGTTTTACGAAGCGTGTCCGAGGATTTGGGCAGATCTTCGAGTGCATGGTATTATACTTGCACCCAGCTTCTGGCTAAAACTACATCCCTTGTGAGGGCAGGCATGATTGGAGCTCATCAAGACTGTTCTGATATCGCCGCTTGCATCTTGATAGAGCATCCTCATGAAGTACAATTTCATAACGCGTGTATTCTAGCGAGGTGTTACAGTATAGTGTACATTGACAGGCAGGGATTGAGGAAGCCAGCACTCCAGGGAACACATGCAGAACCAGTACGATCGTGCAAGCGCACCGACAGAGACTGACTGCAAAGGTTTTGAACAAGCCCCGAAAGCCACTGCTGGCCATCCTCGGTGGTGCGAAGGCTGTTTGTTGCTTTGCGCTTATGCTATATGCTTTGATTGGGAGGATTTGATGGTTGTGTTCCTCTGCGCATTACGAGCTTAAAAGCTTGATGCCCGTCCCTTCCGCTAGAAATGAGCTTGCTTCCACACGTGGAAGGTCAGCGACAAGATTCAGCTGATCAAAAACATGCTTGACAAGGTGCATGCATGTTGCTTGCGGTTGCGAATAATCTTGGGAGGTCGTCAAACGCGGCTGCCAGCTGCTTCAGATAGGAAAGCCTCCTATGCCTTCACTCACCTGTGTTCGACGTTGAGCGGGGAGCGTATGTCCCGCAGGCAAGCAGCAAGCATGTTTTTTTGCAGAGATCATGTGGATTATGTGGAGTTGGGGCGGAAGCGTCTGAAACCGTGCGACGGTGCGATGCTGCAACGGAGGTCGACATGATGATCATTGGAGGCCGAATTTGGGTTTGATATGAGCTTGTTGATCAAAATCAGCCGGCGATTGCATGCGTTAACTTTCAATAGCTGCATGTTTGATTTTTCGAGTTCATGTGAGCAGGTGCAGGGATCTGCATGTCGATCCACTTCTCAGTGTGCGGTCTTGAATCCAGAAACCGTATCGGCCCCATGGCCTGCATCTTCGGTGTTGCGTTGCAGGCGGAATGGTCCTGTCCTCAGGCAAAACAGCAGACTGCAGCAACCCCTGCACAATCGTTGCAAAGAATGCTCGAAAACTCTTGTCCAATGTGGTCAAACTGTTCATGTTTCCGCTACTCGGCCTTGTGAAATGGTTGTCGGACATTTGCGATGCGCACATGCAGGGTACGTGAGTGTCAAGACACAATCAGCATCAGGGCTCTTCAGTAGGGAAGTGTTCAGGCGAATTGCCATCACGTTTCTGTCGAAACTGAGACGTACAGTAGCAGGCAGACGACTAGGAATGCGATCGATGGTCATAGCTATGATCGCCTGAGAGTAAACTTTTCATCTTCCAACTATCGCGACCAACCTCCATGGATCGAAACCGTTATTGGATGTCGTACGGGAGAAAAATTAAGGGAGCCGAACACGTCGATGTGGGTCGAAGTTGGCTGATTAGGTTGCTCTCCCAAGAAAGGGGTCAGGCACGTCGGCTCCAGCTTGTGGGAAGACGCTGCCCAGGCTTACACCTTCCTGAAGGTGAACGATGGGATGCAGATCGGAAACTCACTGTTCGATGAGGCCAGCAGTGCTAGGGGTTGCCATTATGATGGTAGACTTCTCGTCATGGTTGGACACAAATTAAAGGTAGCGTTTAACCCCTGGTGTCAGAAATATTCGGTACACAAGGCTGGGGGGGTGGTTCAGGAGGTAGAGAGCAAAGCTGCGCAGAGTGCAGAAGGCTGTGAGGCTTGGCAGATGCTGCACGTTTTGACTCTGAGTGTTTAGGTTGTTCTGACGTGTGCCATGTTTTGAGAACTAGCGTTTGTCACGCTGAGTGCCAGGAAGGTGCGAAGATCGTACCGGAAATCATGGAGAAGGCAGCAGAGACGCGTTTGGAAATGAAGTCCAAGCTTTGCGACCGAAGCCTTTAGCAGGTCTCGTCCGGACAAAGGGTGCTGACTTGGCTCTGGGCGAGAGCATCCAACAGACGACCGTGTAACACCCTCACTCAACCGGATGACTGCAACAGCAAGGGCCAATAGGGCATGTCCCGACGCGCAAATCGGCACGGCAGAAGCACCTTCGAGTCCCCATTTCTGTGCCGTGCGTCTCCACACGCCCCCCTAGCCAGGCGAAGGAGAAGGGCGCCAGAAGCTGAGAGAAGCATTTGTTCGCTTCACTGCTCTGTATGGGATGCGAACCGCAGGTGCCGGGCCACAAGTGTGGCTGTAGAACCCAAAGGGTCCAAGTATCACTATGGTTTATACTCATACGGTATTTTGGGGTCTAAGTATGTGCCATAATGATACTTGGACCCTTTGGGATCTTTCTGTAGAACCCAAAACGTATTTGCCATAATGATAATTGGATCCTTTAGGGGAGACCAACTGCATGAGCAGCTAGGGACAGGATGAACTCTCGTTTGCAGGTACCGGAGCGGCAGGAATCTCCTGCTCCTGCCATGCGCTACATTAATAGTTAGAACAGAGTTCTTTGTTTTTAGTGTAACTACAAGGGCTACTATAAGGGTACTATAGTATAGGGGCCTTAAAAATTAGAATAGGGTTTTCGGGGCCCATTGTACTACAATTAGAATAAAGGAATTCCAAAATTTGTCGTGGTAGTTGTTTAGGCCTCTATATTAGAGCATTACCAGTCTGAGGCGTGTCAGGCATGCTTAGAGTTTTAGCTTGGGGGTACATGCAGAATAGACACAGCAGAGCTGGTGGTGTTTTTCATGCAACATTCCAGCCGCCTCTACAATCAGGTGGAAATTGTTCTGCCCGTCGACTTTGTCGCCACATTCTCAGACCAAAACTTTTCGAGTAGATATGCTGTAAGGTCTGGACTGCTCGAAGAGATTTCTGCAGAAGGTTCAAGCATGATCGCAACAGCGGGCTGCTTGCCTAGGTCTCCAGCAAGTTTGGCGAGGATGGTGAGATCAAGACTGTGACCAAGGAGCCAATCCTGAAGCCCTTAGACCCCAAACGGGCTGATAATCACTTACATACTGTATATACACACGCAGGCATACATGCATAGATACGTACATACATACATACGTACATACATATGCTCCCCAAGATCTCATTGAGAAGCTTTGCCGTGCCACGGCTTGAACTTCCCTTTCCAGCCGTCCGTTTTGGGCGTCAAGGCTGCTAATGAGGGCTCTGCATCACGATGCAGTCATGCTGTCCGGGTAAAAAAAAAAGGTCAAGAGGATTTTGCATTTCCGCAAAAACCCTTTGGATGTCCCGATATTCTAAAGCTCGACAAAACGACCCGGACAAAACACATGGGTTCAGACCTTCCAGCTGCAAGGATCAGGGAATTCCTGATGGTTTCATGGGCCAGACTCTCGGGAAACTTTGGCATGGGATGGAAGCCCGTGTGTGCGTGCGTTTGGTTGAGGGAGACTGAGAGACAGGGACGGCGAAACAGAAACAGAGAGAGACAGAGAGAGTTTGTGTGTGTGTGTGCGTTGGGTGGGGCTGTGTTTGTGCCTGGCTGCAGATACATGTATCTAGACTGATCGAAAACAGTGGGTTGCGAGGAAGTTGTGTTTCGTCTGCTGGGTTACATGTTCATGTTTTTTGGGCAATTTAGTGCTTCGGCTGCGAAAGGATCCGTTGTCCCGCAGGTTGCCTCAGCGTTTAGAGCAGCTCTTCAACGCCTACATACTGGCTTCCCATATTCTAAAGCCGGAAGCCCATCTCCCAAAAACCGCAAGCCCCCCCACTGTCGGCATCTAAAGCATCGAGCTTAATAATTAGAACAGGGTTCATCATAATCAGGAACCCCCCCCCAGAAAAAAAATAGGATATAGGTAATTCTGAGGGCCTCTTTTTTTATCCGCACGCCCCCCATGACGCAGAGATCCCCCCCGGGGGGGCCGTATACGTCAAGGCCTGGACTGCGGCAGCGAGTCCCAGGCGCTAAACAAGAAAGCGGTCAAGAAGGTGCCGTTCTAGGGTTTATAGGGTTTCTGGGATTTATAGGGTTTATAGGATTTATGGGGCTTATAGGGTTTATAGGGTTTGGGGTTGAGAAGGCGCGGCCAGATAAAGGGGGTTTGCAGGGTTTCTGGGATTTATAGGGTTTAGGATTTATCGGGCTTACAGGGTGAAGGTGCGGCCAGATAAAGGGGTTGGGGGTTTAGAGGGTTTGCAGGGTTTCTCGGATTTATAGGGTTTATACAGGGTTTATAGGATTTATAGGGCTTATAGGGTTTATAGTCTAGGCTTGAGGTGTGAAGGCCCCTGCACCCCAAACCCTCAACCTCAAAACAGAAACCCCTAACAAGAAAGAACACAGCCCTACACCGGAAACTCAGATCCCTTGACCCTGAAACCGGGAAAAGTCTCGGCCTCTCAGACCTTTCGGGGCACTGGAGAAAAGGAGCTCAAAAAAGAAAGAAAACGGGAAAAGGGCCCCCAGAAAAAATGGAAAAGCAATCAGACCCACAGGCAAAGACCATCATCTGGAACGGGCCCATGGGCGTCTTTGAGATGGAGCGAGCTGGCCCCAGATTCGCAGGGCCCTTTGAGGATTAGGGTTGAGGGTTCTGTGCCAGTGGCTTTTGGTTTAGGGTGAAGGGTGTAGGGTGTTATTTAGGGCTCGGAGGTTTAGGTGTTTTAGGCGTTTCGGGGCTTCGGCTCTCGATTTAGTGGCTGTGTAGGCAGCCGTCTTGCATTGGAGAAACCTTGTCAGAGACACATGTACGCCTGTCACAGCGCGAAGACAGTTTAGGCAGCCGCGCCGAGGTCTTCCACGAAGACACACAAAATGCACATATCACATGTACGAAAGAAAACAAGACATCTGCTGGTATGGAGGTACTCAAAGACTGAAGCGTTTGTCTTCCGCGGGAGATGTTGAGAGTGGCTTGAAAGTCTGAGGGCTTCACCAACCTATGTAGTCAGATGCGCGATAAGCGATGGGTCTCGCGGCCGCCACCAGCCCAGGATTTGAAGCTGGAACGAAGGCGTTGATGGACGAAGTCGTCGCAGCCACGAAGCGAGGTGACAGCGCCCTTGCTTTCTATCTCGCACCCTTGCAAACCTCAATCATGAAGTGACAAGAAGCTTGCAGCACCGTCCAGGGCATGAAGAGGTCCCACTAAGCGTAATCAGTCGTAAGAGCAGTAGTGACCCTGAAAGCATGATGGCATGCCTACGCTTCAACTGAACAGTTGGGGACCCTCGGGGTAGCAGCCCACCATGCGAAGATACGAAGAACCTCGCACAAATTTAACCGGTTTGCAGAAATCAATAGGTTTGTTTCGTTGTTCTAGCTTCTAACACTGATAAGGGTCGGCTGGAATTCCCAAATTGCAGGCACGACCACCATTATTGGTGGCGGTGACACGGCGACGTGCTGCAAGAAGTACGACACGGAGAGCAAGGCAGCACCCATCAGCATCGGCAACCCACCCAAGATTTCCCAAGCTCTCAGCAAGTGAAAACGGTTCCGTGTTGTAGCACGGGCTATGATTACTTTCGGGTTTCGCGTTTAGTGTAACTTCACTCCTTGGAATCTGAAGCTTGTTGGTGGCCGTGACTGAGGATTCGGCGGGGGGCTTTGCTATGTGGCTTGAGGTCTCAATGACCATATAGTGAAACAGATGAGAAAGTCTACGGAATCCGAAAGCCAAGGTCGATAAAATTCGAAGACTCCTTTGGGTTTCAGAAGCCCGTAACCGTAACCGCAGGTCAGCCACTGTAGCACTGGCGGCGGCGCCTCCCTTGAACTTCTGGAGGGGAAAGAGCTGCCAGGGGCTTGTCGTGGACTGGGATTCAGCGATTGATGGTTTGGGGTTTAGGGGTTTAGGGGTTTGGGGTTACGGTTGGGTGTCGGGATGCATCAGGTTCCTGGACGGGCTTGAAAAGCAGCATCAACAACAACAACAACAACAACAACAACGGCAACAGTAGTAACATCAACACCGCTGCTAGCTGCTCGTACTACCTGCATTGTTATTCTATGGTGATATCAAGGCCATCCTCGTAATGTGTCAAACCCCACCACAAGTTACATGAAGCAGGACGGGGCAACGTAACCATCGACAAGAAGCGACAGCCGAGCCACCCCATCACAATTTGATTCGTCTCGAAGCCCAAGGTGGCCCCGAAGATCTGAACCCCAAGCCCACAGCCCTTGTAGGGTTTGGGGCGCGCGTAACCGTGTCGTATAGCTTTCCACACCCTGAAGCCTTCAATCCCATGTGAAATACAAGTAATTATCTTCTCCCGTTATCAACCAGGAGAGCCAGGGCCAGTACATCCAAACCCTAGCGTGCCCAGGAACTCATAGCGTAGGGCTTCGGGCCTCGAAGACATACCACTGTTGGGCGATTCCGAGCCAGGACCCTAAAGCCAAAGCCCTATAGAGCCCAGGAAAGCCAGAACCCGAAGAGTTTTCAATGGTTTGATGATTGGACTGTGCCAGAGTGCAAAGTGTTGAAGGGTCCAAAAAATCTAAAGGCCGTAGACCGAACAGCAGCGGCTAAGGCCCGGAGTGACAGTCCTGACCGAGAAGGCTTTGGCTTTGTACGAGGGTTTGGGGTTTATGGAACTTCGCGGTGGTTTTCTGGGTGTAGGATTGAGCACTTCGGGTGCAGGCAAAGCAATGCGGTTTTGTTGGATTCGCGGGTCGTGATTTCGGCATCTTGCACCAGGCATCAGTCCAGGAGAAAGGATCCAGGAAGTCAGCCTTCGACATCTGCACGCAGCGAGTGCATCCAAGCACACAGCAAGTCCTCGCGATCCTGATACAAGGAGCTAGCAAACAAGCGATGAGCAACGTTGCATTTTATGCTGAGGCTCCCGAAATGACAGCAAGCGAAGCTAGGAATCAAACCGTGTTCGCAAGTGTGAGTGCATGTCAGGGGTATTGACCCTTCTATAAGGCCCTTAAAGGAAAGGTTGCCCAATTAATGACTCTTCTACTATAAGGCCCTTAAAGCAAAGGTGCTTATTAATCAGCGATCTGCGGTATCTGGTCTTGCTGCACAACCTTGTGGAGATCCCATGCTCGTAGGATTAGGGGCCTTAAGAATTTCAGCTATCTAATACTGTCTTAAGTAATAGTTAAAAAAAATCTATGTTCAGGTATATTCCACTGTACTGACATCGCGACTCTCAGGGAACGGTATGACTAATTATTCATACCTGCTTATGTGTTATCCTCAACGTTCTCACGCACTGAAGCCTTCGCTACGCTTCCGTCCCTGGCAGCAGTCGCCGATGCCACAACGCAAACACACAAACACACACACACACACACACACACACACACACACACACCCACGCACACACACACACGCACACACACACACACGCACACACACACACACACACACAACACACACACACACACACACACCCACCCACGCGCGCACACACACACACACGCCCGCGTGCGCGCGCGACTCTTGTAATTTGAATCTTCCGTAGCTGATGTCAGACCAGACCACACCCAAACTCCAAGCTTTTCTCAATAACAGAACACCTTGACTTCGACGCATCCCTCAACTGCAAAAACCACTGCGAAGAGTTTGCTCTTTGCAAACCTTGCGAACGCTACAGCCCTTCCGCTCTGCTCCTGTGTGAGTCCTGAGAAGTGAAGGTTGTTGGGTTCAGGAGTTGTATTCAGCCTTTGAGTCTCCATAATCTACTATACTGTAACTTTCTAATATGATGTACCATGATATGCTGTGGTACAACATAATATGCTCTGATATGTTACTCGGTGATGTAATATGATACAACATAGCACAATGTTATAAGCTATAGCATACTGTAGTATAATGTAATGTGGTAGGGTGTAATATAACATGATGTGCTATTAGATGATAGGACATGACATGATATGCACGAGATCGGTGCTTGCTCAGCTTGTTTGTGGGCCTTGATTCCGTGACGGCGGCCGGCAGGCACCCACCCCGGCCAACAATTACAGCCCCGCACCGAGCGAGATGGCAGTCGGGACTTGCGACAGCCTGTACGGCTTTGACGTTTAGGTTTGGAGGGTTTATAGCGGTTTATCTGTGTTTGGGCTACTTATGCTTTTCGGGGCAATGAAAGTGGAGCTGCCTTGTAACGCAACTAGATCCATCTGGAGCCCCTAGGCCTAAGGGCAGCCTCTGGCATTTTTTGCGGGTCATGGGCAAGAAGCGGTGTGGAGAAAAAGAGGCGTAAACCTAACTAAGCTTGAAGCCAAACTCTGCATCCCCAAACTCTGAACCCTGGGTTCTGGATACTCGCTCCGGCCGATGAGCGACCTGGGAAAAGGTGATGACAACGTGTTCTCCAAGATCATCGACGCCACAATTCCCTGCTTCAAGATCTTTGAGACAGAGGACTTTCCTTTGCTTTTTTTGCTAACAATGCTGAGATTGCTCTTTGGGGCATAGAGGCCAGAAGTCGAAGGAATCGAGTTGTCCTCCGCTGTTGGGAGGAGGCCGTCTCAGTGTGTTTGCCGTTGACAAAGCAAAACGACTTGCTTCACCCCCCCCCGTCCCCACAACGATGGCAGCCTCTAGCATTGAGGACGCCCTGGCATTCCTGGATGCTTTTCCGAAGGTGAAGGGCCATGCCGTCCTGATACCAAAGCGGAAGGCACGTCTTCGGTTGATTTAGGTGTAAGCTTGGCCTACGACAAATCATGCAGGTAGAACTGTATGACCTGTTTTGCTGGTTGTATTGCAATGTCCAACCAAGGTCTTGTTGTTTCGGCTGTCTGCTAGATCTAGATTTCGATATTGTTTCTTTGCCAGTTGAACAGTGTCGAACCCTTCACCGTAGTGCCCAATGCTGCGAGTCCTGAGACGTTAAGCCCCAAAACACCAAGTGCAATGCCGTAAACCCTAAACCCTAACGCCCTAAACCTAAACCCTCAACCCCTAAACCCCATACAAACACCTAAGCCAACAGAACCTTACACTGCTTGGAAGCTCTCTCTGCCTCAGGGTTATTTGGCGCTAGATGGCATGTTCTGCCCTTAGTCAGAGTCATTTCAGGCAGGCGAGAAGCAGAATTGGGTTGCAGGGTGTATAGGGCTAGGGATGTTTAGGGTTCGGGGTTTCAGGTTTGAGGATGTAGGGTTTGGAACTTCAGGGTTTAGGGGTTGGGGATTGATTCAGGATTTGAGGGTGCAGGGTTTCATGTTTTAGGCTTCGGGGTGTGAGGTTTTGAGGGTTTCGCACAAGGTTTGACCGGTTTGACTTCCAACGCTTTCTTCTGGCAACGGTGGTTTGGTTCCGGGCTTTGGAGTCTTAGAGGGTTTGAGATGACTTTTACCGCCCCTTCCATCAGCTTTGGAAACCCAAAGCTCAGAAAGCACCGCCCGAACGTGTGGCAGCCCTGGTCTGTCTGCACTCAGGCCAGGCGATGCAGCGGCAGCTTTTCTCGGGGAGCGCAGCCCTCAGAGTGCTGTTGCCTTTTGCCCGGTGCAGTTCATCGCAACTTTCAGATTTCAGCAGTGTTTGACTTCTGCAATTTCGGTTGGTAGCGGTAGCAAGGCCAGCATTGGGATCAGTACGTGCTCATGCCGCAACACCTAGTTGCACCCGGAGCTGGTTCCTTAGCTCTACTCATTGATGCGATGTGCTGTTGTGCGAGTTGATGCCCGCTGCGTGGTACACACTCTCTTTTTGGAATCAGAGTGGGGTCGGACTACATCGGTGCTGAAGCTGATCTCACCATAGTAAGCAACCTCTTCAACCCTAAAACCGGCCCCTAGACCCTCAACCGTCATTCCTACACCGTTGAACCCCAACCCAAACCCCAAACGACTCTCAACAACTCAATCCTACAATCCTAAACCCTAAACCTCTATTCCCCTAAACCCCAAAACCCCAAAGCGCCTAAACCCCCTAAACCCTAAACCCCTGAACCCTACAATCCTACAAACTCTCCGGCTGAGGCTCCCGAGGCTCTGCAAAGCAGTGAAGCGAGCGACCGGTTGCCAGGCAGGGCCTTCTTACAAGAGGGGCCTTCAGAAATTGTGAATGGAAGGAGGGACCTAGAACGGGAATGATATTAATGGTTGTAAGTTATGAATGAAAGGAGGGACCCATAATCTATGAGGGAATGACATTATGATTAATAGTAGTACTAGTGGCTTTCTGCGACAACCTCCTAGTTAGTCATACTATAACATCGCCCGAAGCTGTTTTTGGGTTTGCTCAGGCCCAGTAACACTACACATATATATATATATATATATATATGTATATTTGAGGGTTCAGGAGCCCTTATCCCTAAACCCCTCGCAGGGATTGGGCCAATCCGGCGAAGCCACTCCCGGGACCCGGAAACCAGCAAAGCGCCCCAGCAAAGCCCGGATGCAAGCAGCCAAAGCTCTTGAGGCTGCCGAGGAAGCGGTAGCGCCAGACGTACCCGGAGTTGCAGACGGAGTTGGGAAGCAACAATTTGGGATAATTTGGGAGTAGTGGTCGTTCAGTCGCAGTAGCGTGTCCGTCGCGGTAGCAGCAGCACTTGCAGCAGCAGTAACAGTAGCAGCAGTAGCCAGTAAGAAACCAGTGTAGCAGTTGGACGAGCAGCAGCGGCAGGACAACAGCACTGAGGTATAAAAATGTGTTTCTCGCAGAGGCCGTGAATGTCATCTCGAACCTGGGAGCGGAAGCCGGGCAAATTGCTGCATCCTCAGATTGGGTATTTTGCTCAGTCCTAGTCTGCGTGCTTAGACTCTTGATTCGCAGTTGACCGGAAGGGTTAATCTCGTTTGCAGAGGCGGCTTAGTTCTCTGGGTCGGTCTGCCCGCGCCACGGAGTTTCAGGTAACATTACAGGCGCCTTAGTATAATTATAGCATAATGGGCCCCAACACCCTATTCTAGTTCTTGAGGCCCCTATATTAGGTCTTCCAACTCAGATCACGGGTTATGCCGAAACTAGCATAGCCGTTTACGGCAGGTTGACTGGAGTCGCTGGGGTGTGCGGGGTGGCAAGGCATTGAGTTCTGCTGAGGTTTACGCCATGGCTTCATGCTGAGATGTGGGCTGGGAGTAGGGTTCCTGGATCCAAACTCTACACTTTAGATGCACGCATCCTGACTGATGCAAGCTTCGACTTTCACGATCCGGTTTGCCACGGAAAGTACAAGTTCTTTCACATGTGTGATGGGCTCACCATGCGCTGACCAGCTGCACTCCATCCCGCGTTTAACCCCCCTTCCTGTTCAAACTAGAAAGTTCGTACAATAGGCAGGTGTTTCGGAAAGCTGTACACGTATTTACATTGGAAGGAGGCATGCGTAAGTGTATGCTTATACATATCTACATATACGATATAACTACATGGTGCATAGGCACACATACATACATACATACAGACAGACAGACATACACACACACACACCTGTATTTGGTGATGGCAACCGTAACAGAGCCCAAATCGCACTGTATGACACTGCACATGTATGCTCATGCTGACGGCTCTGAGGTGTTCCATCCGCATGTGCACGTCATTCCGCGGTATCAGGAGCGAGCAACCTTGGCCTTGGAGTTGGATGCTGTGGCACTGCAGTAGTGATGTTCTTTGACAGTGCACCCAATGCAACATGATGACGTCGAACATACATGGTGCGTGTGTATCAGATATGTTTATTCATCAATGTATGTTCGGTTTGTTGTGTGATTGTGTGTTTGCGTGATTATGTGTGTCTTTTTGGTTGTTTGGTTGTTCGTTGGTTTGTTTATTGGTGTTATGTTGTGTGCTTGTTGGTTGGTTTGGTCGTTCGGTTGGTTGGTTTGTATGTTTGTTTGGCATGTTTGCTTGTTTGTATGGTTGTGTGTTACCTTGTTTGGTTGGTTGGTTGGTCGTTCGTTTGCTTGGTAATTGTTTTGTTTCGTTGGTTGGTGCGTTTGTTGGTGTGGTTGTTTTGGTGTGTTTGTTTGTTTGTTTGCTTGGTTGATCGTTTGTTTGTTTTGGTTTGTGTGTGTGTGTTTGCTGCGTGTTGTTTGTTTGTTCATGGTTTCGTGTTGTTTGTTCGCCTGTGTCACATACATACGAGATTGTTTTGGCATTAGCTTAGGACGTGTTCGAAACATACTTGCTGATGAGAGCATAGACTGCAGCGAGTGGTCCTGCCAGAGATGACCGCTGCGTTTTCACAGAAGGATGACAACATGCTCACCATGGCGCCCTCTGCAACCGACATGGTGGACAAAGACGAGGCAGCATGTTGCAGAGACACCGTCTGCCCGAGTCTACCCAATAAACTGTTTGCGCGGGCCACCGGTGAAATGCAATCGCTACAGCTTGCATAGAATGCTTTGCAGTTATGTTCGCCCGACGGTCATAGCTAAGACTTCTTGTATGCCAGGCCACCGAGACCGCGACCGAGATGAAAAATGCCTTGAAATCAATCAGGCACCGGGTGTTTGACCGGGTTTCCTTCAGCAAAGGGCTGGCTTGCATATATGTGTGAGGAGGGTAAAAGCTGTTATACCGATCGATGCCTATATGTAGGTAGGCAGCAACAAAACAAATGATTCATGGCTGAATATATTTTTACATATACGTATATGCGTACATACATATGCTTTTTGTTCTAGCAGGGTTATGACGGCAATTAACCATTATACTTTTTGTGGTTGCTACCATTATTATGAGTTGTGTTTTCGTCATCAACAGTAATATGATGTCCATCAGTTTTGCCATGATTATCTTTGTATTTTAGTAAGGTTATGATGCTTACCATTCTTCTGGGTAGTGTTTTGTCATCATCAATAACATGATGTCCATCAGTTTTGTCATGATTATCGTTATCAGATCATTTCCAACGTTATGATGCTTACTGGCAGCCCCACTGTTTGAACAACATTGTTGCAAGTGTAGTTTGGTTTGTTTTAGCATGATCATCGTTGGCGGTGGTGATGATGGTGGTGATGATGGACTTATTTGCCTATGCCTGTGTATATACATGCACGAGCCTAGTAACTAGTATGCTATTTGTGGAGGCTTTCCGCCACCCCCGGCAGACTTGGTGCATTCTAAACGTCAGCATGAAGTTTATTTCCCAAGCGTCAGCACGAATTGTTTGATTGTGGCATGAGGATGTGGGAAGGTCAGCATGTCCCGGTAATGTTCCGGCATCCCGAAGCTTTAGAACTCAACCTGTTGATCCTCAGACCGTCAATCCTTGAACCCTGATACCGTTGAACCTTGGATCCGAAAACCCGTACATAATTATTTAAACCTTAAGCCCTTAGATACCGTCAGACGACCTTTCAAACCCCGAGCCCTAAGCCTTAAACCCTCAAGTCCCGAACCCCTAAAACAGGGGTCTTAAGCAATTACCTATACTGTTTTCGGGGCTCCTTGTTACAATTATAGAATAGTGGGCCCCAAAACCCTATTCTAATTCTTACGGCCACTATACTATAGTACCCTTATACTAGCCCTTTAGCAGCCCTAAACAGAAACTCTACAGTAACCTTCTCTTGACCGTTATCCTGCACTTGGAGGGTCGGGGGACTTAGTAACTGGTTATTTTCGGGACTTATAAGTACCATAACCCCAATTAGGGCCCCTTTCAGGGTACTTATAAGTCTACTTACTACCTGCTTACTAAGCCCCTGAACCCTAAACCCTAAACCCCATACTACCCTTATAGAGCCCTTTAAAGGAACCCTTAGAATCCCCTTTAAAGGAACCCTTACTAAGTCCCCCCGACCCTCCAAGCAGGGTGAAGCCGAACAAGACCTCCCAAGAGCTCCAGGCCTGGGCCGCTTCGATTTCTTGAAAACTTCTTAAGAGGTTTTAAGGGGTTCAGGGGTTTAGGGGTTTTAGGGGGTTTTGGGTGGTTTTAGGGGTTTTGGGGGTTTTGGGGGTTTAGGGGTTTTAGGGGTTTCGGGGTTTTAGGGGTTTAGGGTTTTAGTGGTTTAGGGGCGTATTACGAGCATTCTATGGGGCATTATGGAGCTTTTTACAGGGTTTGGGGGTTAAGGTCATGTTTAGTTTAGGGCATCTGGGTTAAGATTTGCTTTTCAACCGGTTTAGAGCATAGGGTTTGAAGGCTGTCATAGGGAACTCATCAGGGTTGAATAGGGCCTCAGCGCATTATAGCTTGTTGAGATTTAATGGTGGGTTGAGTCGGGCTCTAGACGGGTCTTTCTGATCTTCGGGTTTGGGAAAGTTTCGGTTTCTGTGTTTTGATAACTGGTGCTTCGGATTTGCAGGGTCTGTGTGCGCCATGGCATGACAGGGGCATACTCGAACATGTGGACAGACGGGGAGCTCTTAGCCTTAGTTCTTTCTAAATTTCAGCCGTGGCACAGGTCGGCATACCATGTTCCCGCGTTCATACCTTGGTTAGGCAAATAACCTGCCGTACGAACATCTGTGTTCTTATGCATTGTCAACACGCATGGACGCAGACGTGCCATTTAGACGAGGTGCACGTGCACATATGCATACACACATACCTACTTACTTAAGCACTTACTGACGTGCATACATACATACCTCATACACGCACGCATGCCCACGTCCCAATACCAACAGCAACAAGGCATGTGGCTAGTACGAACGGTCGCCATGTCTTCCTTCCCCTGCCATCTCACCATCACCATCAGCAGCTGCAACAGCAGCAGTGGACCACCGTGTTGCATAATGCAGTCATCACAGAAAAGCCGTGCAATGACGATGGCAAGTACCAGCAGCCACACATGCACACACGTGCATATACACGTGTGTGCATGTAACATATGCACAGAGAGTATGAGAGAGTGACTCAGGGGGCGAGCGAGTGATTGATTGTTTTTTATTTCCAGATTCCCCCAGTTTGATCACGATTGTTTACGGCTTTCACATTGCAGTGCAGAGTTGCTGCCGTTTTTCGTTATCGGAGACATTGGGCAAGGCTGCGTTGATACCGTGTCCGTTTGACAAGAGACTCTCTTTGCAACGATTTGCACGTTGCTTGATGAAGGTGCACAGCTCGCAGGCGCCCTTCCCAAAAACTTAAGCATCTCGGGGTGCAGATGCAAATTTTGGATGTGGCTGTCAATCTGAACGGCTGTTCCGGGACAGAGGTATGGAGAGATCATATGTTGCAGCCATAACTTCGGTGACATCCAGGCAATTGTCAAGCTTTTTGCCTGCCGGCATCGTTACTAATTATTCAGGCCTCATGTTGAACCCCTTCTGTATTCAGGCGCTGAAAGCCGAGAATGAGGAGTTGAAGGCACCCGCATCTCACAAGTGTCTGCCAGCCCACGTTTGGGTCGGTATACTTAGTACTAGAATTTACCTGTAAAGTCCCCATATATAGATATGGCAGTAATATACACACCCACAAGCCCCCTCTTAAATATTAAGCCCTGCACTGTGTCTCAGTTGTAAGGTATGCTGAGTTGAGCAGTCACGTCTGACGGACATTCTCTGGAGCCTTATGAAGAAAGCCCTCGGAGTCTTCGATATCACCCGTCAAGCTCAGACTACAAGCTCCATTGAAATGTCTATGGGATGGCACTTCAAGCGGATTTGGCACGGCCGGAACCGCTATAGTGTCCCTTACAGTATCGCAACCTACTTTGCAATTACCGTTGCATCCCTTACCGTCAGTCTTTTCAGTAGCCGTCACAAGACTGGAATGACCTCGGCTCGTGTCTTGAAAGCCTGCCGAAAGCAGGAGAAGCTCGCAGCTCTGGAGCCCCTGATTCAGGCGGCCAGGGTGATCCAGAGCGCGGGTCCCGGCAGACAGTGGAATTCAGAGCGCCTAAGGTGAGAAGGGTGAGACTGGAAGGATTTCAGACCTGGTAGCGCTCTGCTTCGGGGCAGTTGTTGAAGTCGCGAATATGGCTCGATATATGTATGTATATAAATACATACGCGTTAACATATGGGTGTGAGTATCTCTCTCTCTCTCTCTCTCTCTCTCTCTCTCTCTCTCTCTCTCTATATATATATGTATAGAAGTGTATCTTGCCCCAGCTTCAGGCGTCAGGAGTAACATAAGTCAGAGACGCGGAAGTTGGTCCACGTCGCTGATGCCTCCTAGCAGAGGGTCTGGCCAGCCACCCTATACTTGCAGCTCAGACGCATAGGCCACATGGTTTTCTGGAGACACCTATGTCTGTGAAACTTGGGACTTCCCGATAAGATGCCAAGAAGGTCCAAGGGTGCGCGACGACATTCATGTGAAGCCTGCCTACTAGCTGGATGCTTCTGGCACACTTCAGGCTACAAGCCCTCCCCGGCATTGAGCAAGGCAACGTCTTCTGCCAAAGAGGAGGCATCTTTCTTTCTGGTGACGTTGCACGTATTGTGAGGTCGTATGTTGCTCCTGAGTGTGCGTGTGCTCAAGACTGCGATGGTTGTGTGGGTTTTCTGAGGCCTCACGAAACCTTCAGGCGACGCCAGAGCTTGCCAGGTTAGACAACATCCTTGAGCTTATTGTTAGGGCTCATAAAGCATTTAACTTGGCTGTCCCTTTGGCCTTTGCCACTTCGAGTAGTTCAGAAGACTAAGGAGCAGACATGACAACAACGAGAACCGCAAGGCCAACCACAGCAACAACAGCAACGCACAGTCATGATCCCTCAATCCTAAATCCTGAGCCGTAAATCCTGGCATAATAATCATGCTAGCAAAGTTTCCCTTTGCAGAGGAGCAGAGGCCGAAGATGCGGGAAAGAAGAGACAACCGCGTCATGAGCTGAGCTTCGCTCTTCTCTGTTTTCAGGGTTTAGGGCTTTGCGGGGCTAAGGATTTTGCCGCTTTAGTAGGGTGTGAGGGTGTAAGGTTTGCGACACAATTAAATGTTGCTGCATGCTAGGATGGAGGTCAAGTCGTGGGTTGAATTTAGGCTTTGTAAGCGTAGGATTCGCAGCTTTCATCCCTGGGTAGTCTACACGGCCAGAGGGTCTGATTGATAAGGGCGCTCTAAAGGTAATTCGCTGAAGTAGGTCCATGTTGTAGTCTTCTTTAACCTCACACCAGGGTAGGTCTGGCACCCTAAACCGCCCTAAACCCTAAACCCTAAGCCTCTTAAACCTGAGCTAAGGCTCCTCCGCCGCCAGCACCGCCCCAGCGGCCCCCAGAGCGCTCTGGCAAGGCAAAGCTGAGGGCGCGAAACTATGAAAAGCAAACTATTAATAGAAATACTAGAACTAGTAGTATCATGAGTATTACTAGTTGCCTCTTATTGTTAAAATACAACCCCTTGCAAGGATATTGTTTGACAGAGTTCTCGTTCAGGTGCCTGCAAGATTGGACGTAGTTGTGGGGCTTAGCAGGAAGGAGGGCGGGAGTACCGGACAAATCCTTCATGTAAGCACTAAAGATCTCTGACACCTTACAAGCTACCAAACCGGCTGTGCAAGGGATGTGCCGCATCAAATTCTAGTTCGTTTAATGAGTCCGGCATAACAACTCATTGAAACAAGTCAGTCAGCCGATAGTTGCAATTTCCTTTTGTAGAAGTATTGACATTGGTGTATCACGCGGGCATATGGTCAGCAGGGTTTTGCACGACTAGTTTTCAGAGCTCTTTTTGGAGTTTGCGGTGTGGGTTCATTGGTCAGGGATGAGCTTGGGGGTTACACCCTGGAGATCGTTCCTGCCTCCTAGACTAGATCGAAGCATTCTTGCATGGAGTTCGATTGATGGTTATAGGGTAAGTAAAGGCTTAATTGTGCTTAGGTTAGAATGTTCCTGTCCATTGCTTCGGTATGAACTGTTTCATTGAAGACCAGGTGGGCTTTCGGACAAGCGACTGGAATGTTGGAGCCGGATGTGAGGGAATCTCCCCCTTCGCCTGGCAGCACAGAATACGACATTCGAAGAAGGGTACAGTAACCGTTGAAGCGGCAACAGATTTGCACCCTGCAGGGCATGGGGAAAGCGCAGTCGAAGGCCAGTGTCTGGAGTTATTCATGTTGCCTGGTGTGGCTTCAAGCTTGGTAAAGTGGACGCCGAATTTAGGATCTAACAGTCTTTGGCAACCGTGACACAGCACATGTCCTCGAAGCTGCGTCCGGAAGTCTGAAGCTCCGCACCCATTGGCAGGGAGGCTATGGTGGCTATGGTGACTATGGCGGCGGCTACCGGGACTATGGTGACTATGGCTACTCGGGCTACGACGCTCCTTATGACTACGACTCGTGGCAGGACGGGCAGGGCATCCAGTTCTCTCCTGTTTGATTTCGTGCGAGGTCGGAGCACGTCCGCATCCGAGCCCAACAGCCTGCACCTTCCAGTGCACACACAGTGCATGTGCATAGTGTTCGCGTGCACGTGTGTATGCGGACAGAAGGGCAAGCAGCAAGTGGTAGGTAGCAGGTATGTGTGCGTGTAGGTAGGTAGGTATGTGCATACATATATACGTAGCTACCTACCTGCCTACCTACCTATGCACACAGACACACAACTTACCTGCTGCGTGAATCCATGCATCCATGGGTTCGTGCATACATGTAGACAGACAGACAGACAGACAGACAGACAGTCCGACAAGTATGCGCACATGCATGTACACAGGCAGGCAGGAAGGCACAGACAAACAGCCAGGCAGGCTGGCAGATAGACAGGGACCGACATTCAGACAGACAGAAAGACGGAGAGAGACAGACAGGCAGGCAAGCAGACAGACAGCCAGACTGACCGACGCATGCACAAGACGGAGAGACGTCGAGTCCATTTGGTATGCACACACGCACGCACCCCCGTGCGCTCGCACACACCTGTTTGGGAGCAGGTTCTGCATCTCCATTTCTGCATTGAGTCTCTTGCATGTATCCGTAGACAAGCAACAGATTGCAGGACCACAGCCCGAAGGGCGGCAAGGGCCACAAGGGCTACGAGCCCCCGCAGAGCTATGGCTTCTTCAAAGGGGGCAAAGGCAGGCATTCAGAGTCCGTGGTCTTGGGTATAGTGAGTGGAGATAAAAAGCACAACGAGAATCGCAGCTGCATTGATGATGACGACGGAGGCTTTGGTGATGATAAGGCTCATGACGATGATGTTGGTGAGGTCGGCAGTGGTGATCTTGAGGAAGAGGGGGATGCGGACTATGCTTCAACTTTCCACTTCAACACCAATGCCAGTTCCTTTGCCTACACCAGTTTCACGGCCATAAACAAGAGCATTGTGATTCTCATCGTTTCATGGTCACGAACACTCGTATCTAAATCACGGCCACCGCCATCACGACGGCCCACAAAGGGCCTCGAAACATGCTTTGTGTTTCCGGTCGGCTTTCGCAGAGTATTCTAGGTAACACCATGGCCAAGTTAAATGGCCCCAAGAAGTCCTCTGCTTGTAAACTCGAGGGCCCCCAGAGGACACAGACCCTCCAAAGTTTCTTCAGGAGTTCATTCACAACAGTGTCGTGCACAGTTGGGGGAGGGGGAAGGGTGGTTCCTAAATTTATTCACAACATCTCAGGTCCTAGACGAGTTGTAGTCAGACGGCCTGCGGTAGCAAGACTTCTGGGCAGGCTTGAAACTCCGCGAACCCTAAAGCGAAATCCTGAGCCCACTCTTAACCTAGTCCCCTACAAGCCGAGCCCACATCATCGTGGCTCAAACTGTTCCATGGATACCTAAGTCGTATACTGCATGGTCTTTTGTGTCGCTGCTTACGTTCCATGTGAGTCTTGGCACTTGCGCTTCAGGTAACCGTTGTCGCAAATGCTCTTGCCAATACAAGCAGTCATTGTTTTTCGAGCTATTCCTTTCCTCAGTTGATGTGTCACCGTTGTCAAGGCTGTGTCTTGCTGTTGTTCCCATGTCGTCAGTACTGGTATTGTTTGTCATGGTCGTCATAACTCGGTTACGAGCGATTGTATGCGGTACATAATTGCTACTTGAAGGTGTTACTGTTGGCGGTGCGGTGCGCTTCGATACCCCCTCCAGCCATACCCGCGGGAGTATGAGGCGGTTCGGTGACGATACCGGCTCGCCATCGATACAGGTATAGTTGCAACGCCCATGTTTGTGGTGGTGGTGGTGGTGGTGGTGGTGGTGGTGGTGGTGGTGGTGGTGGTGGTGGTGGTGGTGGTGGTGGTGGTGGTGGTGGCGGTGGCGGTGGTGGTCGTGGTCGTGGTCGTGGTCGTGGTCGTGGTCGTGGTCGTGGTCGTGGTCGTGGTGCTGGTGGTGGTAGTGGTGGTGATGGCGGCGGTGGTTGGTGGACTGATTGGGCATGGCTTGGCTTTTGTTGCTACTCTTGTTCTTTACGGCGCATCTCGTGACGATCACTTGTCTTACTTGTATTATGATTTCGTGATTGCTTGTCTCAGAGATTACGTGCCGAGCCTGCAGGCAAGGGCAAGTTCAAGTGAGCAGCCGACGGTGTTTTGGGCTTTGACCGGGTTTGTCTACCTCATAGATCCCCAGAGCAAACGTCTACATATCTACGGCACGGACAGCCAACCATCAAGACGTTGTGACTGTACTGGGGTGATTTAGGATCTATGCGCAATCCTGTGTCTGCTCGGAAAGACTCCCTCTTGCAGGGCACGAGAGCAAGCAAACAATATGTAGAACAGCCCTCGAAACTTCATCTGTAGACGGCATACCGCAAAAGGCGCACATAAGTGCATGCAGGGAACTAATCTGAGCACTTGAGGTACTGTTATGTGGGATACGCTGGAAACAGCAGGCATCAGAACTCATCTGCAGAGTGTGTGCATGCATACGCAGTGCGTGATGCAAATGTAAATACGTGAACAAATGCGTCGTGCATACTAGGTGCATGCACATGTATCCTCGCATAACTTCTGCACGAGGACAGAACACGTATGTTAAGGCCTGTATGTATGCATAAAGCATGTGGCATGGGCCCACTTTTTGGACTGGAGAGTTGTCCGGAGCCTTTGAGACATCTTACGCGCTTTAGCCCGGCATCCCGATTGAGGCTGCCCGCATTCGTTCCTTGGTTTGTTTGTTTGTTACAGGTAATTAGATGAATTGGTTCAAAGATGTGCTTTCGTCAACACAATGTCCTTGATCGTTACCTATACACTTGCGCATGCATACGCACATATTTATATGCACTCTGTATTATGCGCTCACACACCATAATATACATACACACATACATGTAGAAATAATATATACATATGCATGTAGGCGTATGTACATTTGTATGTATATGTTTCGTTTATATAAGTCTGTTCGTATAACATATATATTTATATATATATATGTGTGTGTGTATGAATGTACAGATATGAATATGCATATATATATATATATATATATATATATGTATATGTATACACGTATCTTTGTATAGGCATATAGGCACTTTTTTGTGTTTGTATATGTACATACTTTATGTATGTACATATATACATGTATATGCATAAGAATATGTGCATACGTACCTCACTATCCATACATACATTCATCCATGCATGCGTGCCTAAATACATACGCACATACCAAATGTGTACCCACATAGATGCATACAGACATATGCACATTCCGGGCTCATGGACAAGATGCAATGGGGACATTAGGGGTTAGCTGCTAAGACACATACACTCAAATGGCACATGACACACAAAATCCCGGGATTTGCACTGAGTGGCGTGTTGCTTCTGCCTGCAGCATGAAAGTCTTGCATTTGGAAGACTAAACTTCTTTAGATTGCGTGATGTGGAAGTCGCCCTAGAAACGAGAGCCGTGAAGGGATGCCATGTTCAGCGAATAGGCCTGATAAGAGCGGCAAGAAAGAACCCCATCAACACAAGAAAAACTGCGTTTCTGCAGCTTCAGTGGTTCTTCAGTGCTCGGCTGGCTCTTGAGCCCAGCGGGACAGGCACAACAAATCAGGGCCAGAAAAGCACAGGCATGCCGGGATCCTGTTGTCACTGTTGTCCTAGGCTGTTGGTGTTTAGGGGCCTTTGGGCTTATGTTTTGGGGTTTGCGGGTTGGCACAACATGTTGTTGTTGATGGTGGCTCATAACAGCCTCGAAGATTCAGAGGCTTCGATTCTGCCTCAGAGACCCGTGCATGAGCCGCAGAGATAAGCTTCCAGGTGTCAGGGTTGTTTGGATTTAGGGCCAGGCTTTAGAGGTTGGGGGTGTATAGGGGTTTAGGACTTGGCCACCTGAGGGTTTAGAGCCGATGGTACTGTTCACAAACACGGCTGCAGACAGTGGCATCTGCCCAAGCAGCCACCAAACAATGGCAAGGTCCGACAAGACCTATCGCCACATTGACAGGGCCTGGTGCCAGTAGCCGACAGAAGCGTACGAGAGAACAACATGTTTTGAATACAAAAGAAGGGCAAGCAGCCACATGTCATCAAGGACCTCATGCACTCGTGCAAATACCGGCAGTACAGCAAATGGATTCGAGCGTTATTCTTCGGGCCCAGCCCATCTGTTTACGGGCAAGCACTGGCACCGATGCATCTGTCGAAATTGTTTAACCTGTTGGGCATGGCCAGTCGTACAAAGCGTGATTCCGCGGCAGTGCCGTGCTCGTGCAGCCGTGCAACTCTCTATCTGTCGGGCGACACCGTCAGCACCTACGGCAGCATCTTAGAAAAGAGTGTGTTTCTGATCTGCACAAGACAACTGTGACTGATGTGGCAGCTGATCTGAATCTAGGGGCTCTTTGCGAGGCTCGATTCGTTTGCAATGTCCTGTGTCTGGCAGACTTCTACGGGAGCCGCTATGACGATGGTGAAGATGGTGGTAGTGAAGATGATGAAACGATGATGATGCTGATGTTGATGATGATGTTTACTCCTCTGACCGCGGTGGAAGAAGATGATGGTTTCAATGGTGCTGAAGTCCTGCACATAGTCGTCAATGCTGTCGTGTCTTATGGTCTATGCTACGACTTTCTCTGCCACAGCCTTCGCAGACAAAAGATGAGATTGTCAAGTTCATCAATGGTGTCATCGAGCCACAGACCGAGACGTTCTCCAGCTGCATTTAGTGGGCTTTGCCTTGTAGTTGTGATCTAAGCTGAAGCTATTGTCTACAATCTTCCAGCATACCAAGCAATTCTCGAAGTTTTGCAGCTGTTTTGGTAGCTGTGCTTGCATATTCATCTACATCTATCTCTTCGTTTCAGCAAATGCCTTCACCACCGCCAAAAGTCTTGGCTTGGCATCCTGCTTGTAGTGTTCTGGCTTCAGAATGTTGTACTACTACGTACATGTTCAGGTCTTGTGGTGATCGTTCGTTTTCATGCGTGTTAAGTGGTGGGCATTCAAAACCTCAACACTGCGCATCCAGCATAAACAAAACAACCAAAGGTTAAGGCAAGTTTGCATATTACTTAACGATTCCTTGCCCAGGGACAAGCTGTAGAAAAACATCATGTTTCGTGCTTTGGTTTCCATGCAATTTCATGAGGGTGTTGGGTATCAGTATCAGACAAGCAAGGCGTGACGATAATATGCGTTTGGGAGTTGAAGCACCCGAGTTTTTCGGATACAGAACAGCCCAGCTAAAACGTGTTTCACGCACCAGTATGTAGGGTTGTCGCAGCCTCATAGTATTCCTGTTTCCTTGATGTCGATGGCATCATTATCAGCAGCATCAATATCTACCTCGGGTCATCAAGTTTTTCTACGAGAAGTTTTGGCATCGCTCTCATTCGCTTCTTGTCGACATGCTGCCGCTGTCGTGCAGTGCCGTCCAGGTACAATCTGGCCTTGTTCTCCTCGTCGGGCGTCACGGTGGGACCTCCAGCTTGCCCAAAGTCTCTTTCCCGCCGACACCGGGGTTAAGTAAGTATAGTAATGAAGTCAACAAGAACTGGCCGACATGCAGGGCTGGCGACCCAAGGTCAAAATGCAACAAGTTTAATTCTGCATCTCGGGTGGAAACCCTGCACGTAGGCTCATGCTGCCCGAGACAAAGCATGTTGCAATTCAGGCTAGCGGCTAGCATCTGTTTACATCTGTGGCAGCTAAAAACTCAACGAAAACCTGCACGTCGGCCATCCCCTGCAAGGAGTGGTAAGCTGAAGAACAATGTAAACCCTAAACCCTAAACCGCAACAAAAGGATCAACAAGACATAAGACACTCTGCCTGCCAGACCTGGTGTCCACAGTTTCAGAGCAAGCTGGATCCGAAGCCACTTGCTTGCAGGATGGAGCTCAGTGTTCCTTTCAAGCTTGGGATGTCGGGTTTTGGGTACCGGGGCCCCGGCCCGTTGCATGTCGGTCGAGGGTTCAGAGGGCGTACAGATCCCAAGACGATGGTCCCCTTTCGCACGGAAACCGCTCCACCCTTGAACTGCTCCTGCACTGAGCCCCGGGTCTTTGACGTGCACCTGACCCGCCTCTGCCGACTGAGGAAAGGCTTAGCAGACTCGCTGAAGTTGGCTTCCCAGATTTGCGGCGATTGCTGGGACTTGATTATGTTTTTCTACAGGAAGGTATGCAAGGTTCATCCTAAGATACTGGGGTTTGCCGGAAACTTTGACTCTTGCATGTTGCGACATCTGGGCCTGGTATGTTTTCTTCTTTAAGAGGTGGCCTCGTTTGTCGCCATTTGTTTGTGTCTTGGGGCATGTTTATTTCTGCGTTTGCTTGTGTCTTGTGAGCATGTTTTCGAGCTGTGGGTTCAAGGGCTTTAGGTCCTCGTCCCCACGAAGTCATGTGGACCTGTGTGCACAGTTTCACAATTGCAACGTATGCAGCTAACTCGCACCAACCTGGGGTTAAGGGTTTAGAACCTCTAAACCTCCCTGAGCCCGAAGGTGGCTGAATAAGAACATGACCGCCAAGAGCTGTGCAGCTCAAGCCTATCCGCCGGACCCGGCTCTCACTGTTTCAGATTTCAGGTCGTGGCTTCGGCAGAAGGATTTTCGATGGTTGGAGGTTAAGTTTAGGGTTTAGGTTCCAGGACTTGCAGCATGCTGAGTTTGGGGCAAAAGGTGTAGGGAGAGGAGGCGCTGGGACGGGAGCTGGAGCTTCTGTCTTGCCAGTGAACCGCAGCTCAAACGATCAGATGGATGTGAGAATCTCACGATTCATTCAGGTTTCTGGAATCCATCGTATAGGGATGCTAACACCTCATCTTCGCGTGATCTGTTGAAGCCTTGCATGACAAGGCACATCACTCTTCGAGCTATCGGCAAAACGTGGAGTAATATAGGGGCCTTATAAAGAATCACCTATACTATGCTGGGGTTCCTTATTCTAGGTAATTTGTTGGGCCCCGAAACCCTATGCCCCTACAGTACCATGCTCCATTTCAGCTCCGGCGTCCTCATCACCATCCTAAAGCCATGGTGATCGTGATTCTTGTCACTGTTGCAATCCTAGCAACCATCAGACCACCAGATCCAGTACTACAAGATTAGAACACTTGAAGTCAGAGGCTATATCGTCATCGCCTCATGACAGCTGTCGTCATCGTCGCCACCGACGTGTTTAAATGAAAAGCGAATCAAAAATCCAGGCTTCATGTAGAACGCATAAGCATCTGCATGTTCACGTCTTACTTCCAATCTCGCATCGCAGAGCTGAGAGCAAAACACATAGTGTATCTCGGTCACTGATCATTCCGACTTCCTGTGGTCTGTGAGAAGCATGTTTCTTCATGTAGCTTACCCTTCCTAGCTTCCTTTGATGTTCCCCCAAAACGGCCGGAGGACTGGGTCTCGGTACTCACCAAGCAGCAGCCCCAGTTCCGCGGGCGGAGTCGAGGGAGGATTCATTCAGCACTTGCGATGCCCGTGATCAGTGTCTTCAGGGTTGATGGTCGGCGTTGTTCCTTGGTGCTTGTTTGCCAGGTGGCGTAGATGCATCTGTGTTCAGGGTTTTCGATTGCATGATGCATCGTTGCTGTCGATGTCCACGGTTGCACTATGTCACCATGTTGCAATGAACAGAATGTCAAGAGTTCTCCGTAATGTGGGTGCCGCGGGCTCGGAAATCCAGTATGCCTGAAACGTAGTATAGAAGCCTGAATAAACTAGTGATGGGAATGCTTTTCCTCAGAGATCCCTGTTACCCTGTAGTACAATATTCCGCAAAACCCTGTTCCCATTAGTAAGGCCCCTATCCCTAAATGTTATCTTTGTCGTAAACCTCATTGACCCCACGAAGGAACTGCACAGGAACCTTGTTAAAATTAGCCGGGCCTTTTTATGAGTTACAGACTCAGAAACCAAGTCTGAAGCCGAGCCAGAGAAAAAAAGAAAGGTTCGTGGCGGAAGGAGTGACGCTTCCCTGGCGGATATACGTCTCCTGGCCTGCACTACCGGCTTGGGGTTTAATACCGGCTTGCGGTTTAGGGGTTTATAGCCTCCTTCCCCCAAACTCTGTGTGTACTTTCGGAAGCCGCCAGGGGGCAGGTGCCAGCCTCCCCTGTGGTTGAGGCGCATGGCACAAAGACATCCCACGACGCTCCCTGGCCCTAGGCCCTTAACCCAACAGCCATAAAATTGAATCTCCACGCCTATACCAACGAGCCAGCCATACAGCCTGAACAAGATGAACGCATTGTGTTGACTGAGGTTTGCTGCTCCCGGGCCCCCGAGGTGCAACTGAGGGAACGCTTCGACTTTCGCAGAACTCGGGCTCAAGTTTTTGTTTTGCAACGACGAAAAGAACAGGATCTCCCTTGTTCAGACGGATTTACTCATTATGGGTCCACATGAAGATTCCAGGCTTAGTGTTAAGAGCCCAGGGCTTGATTATAGTTCGCACGTAGGGTTGAGTGTTCAAGGTTTGCGGTTCAGGTCCCGGGCCTTGGGGCATAAAGTGCTATAGATCGGCTTGGAGTCTGTGTAGGCTTCGGATTTTGAGCTTTCCGTCCGAGATGGTTTAAGCCGCGCAGGGTGTGGGCTTTCGGGTTTACCAGGCAGAGGTTCATTGAAATGTATGCCATACCGTGCCGTACCTTAGAGAAACTGGTTCTGCTCTTCGAGAACACAGTGTTCGTGGGCCTGTTGCTCATGCTGTCGAGATCGGTTGAGTCGGCAGGATGACTGTAGTCAGGTGTCGGATAAGGTTATGGTTTTGGTTTTCGCTATTTGGACTTCGGTGTTGCTCAGGGTACAGGTGGCCCGGTTTTGTTTACTTAGAGGCTTCTTGCCGTGGTTCCTTGCTGTGCCGAAGCATTAGCTGTTGAACGGTTCATGAGTAGTCAAGAGTCAAAAGTAAGGTTCGTAGTCAGAAGACACTTCTTTCTCACAGGATGCTAGTTTTCCTGTGATGGCGTTTGCCTCTACTGCGTCACCTAAGGGTTCTGTCTCTTTAAAATGCACTGCGCACATTACGAAGCTAATTCTCCGAAGCTACACAACCAGACATGCCCAAAGCCTAGATCCCTTAAACCAGAATCAGCAACGCCGCAAACCGCCCTAGACCCACTATGATGTCTTTCACGGCCCTCTCTCGCACAGGGGCGTACGGAAGAAATCTTAGAGCTCATCGCCCGGCACTTTGAGCGAGTCCAAATGCAGTTGAGGGCTGGGGATATGGGAGTTCCCGAAAATAGGGGGCCCTAATATAGTACCCTAAATAGTAGGATCCTTATTATAAGGGCCCCAGAATAAGGTACCCCCTATTTTCGGAAACTCCCATATGAAAGAAGGGTGCAAAGAATAGTGCCGAGTGCAGCTGGCACAGAGCAAGGACGCGCACGCATTTGGAGTGAGCCGACAGCGTGAATTTAAATCAGATCTCTGACGTGTCGACTCTAAATACGAGCCCGTATGAGGCGTTGCGGGCTTGGGCAGTTACCGCGAGACCTGACCCCGCAGCTTCATCGCTTGTTGATGTGTGGGCAAGTAACACTAGGCCGAGCAGACTAATTACTGGGGTCGCAAGGCATCTCGACGCGTAGCAGCTGCTGGCAAGTTGTCCCAGGCCCACTTGCGGAGCACCAACGAGTCTCCCGCCAAGGCATCAGTGTTGCTCGCTCGTGAAGACCTTATCAGGATAACATGTTACAGAGTTTCAGAGGGTCTGGTTCTGTTCTGAAACACCTACAAATCTTCCAAGGTGCAGGAATTGGTGACCGCTTTGTGTTTCGGCGGCTTTCAGCGGATTTAGTTCGAGCTTACTCCAAGACTTATGATATTTCTACTTGGTGCCTTAGGTGTTGGTTCCCAGCCCTTGGTCTTGATCTTTGCAACTGTAAATAAACCCTGAAACCTGTATGCTGGATCATCGATTCTAACGGTGCTATTGTCGTGACCTGCGCATGTGACCGTTCCTACTATAAGTAGTAAAGTTATCACCGGTTCTGAACCCTTAGCCCGAACCCTTAGATCCGTCACTAAACCCGAAACCCTAATCAGTGAAACCGTGACTGCAGAAAGCCTACGTAACCTCAGACAGCAAACCGAAACCCGTAACTCCGAAACCGTAGCTAAGCCTGCGAGCCTTCGGAAAACTTCTCCCTGCAGCTATCCAGCCCTTTTCCCTGAAGCCAGACTTAGAACCGTAAACCTACACCCTGTCAAAGCTCCACAGACAGCAGATCCTTTACCAGATCCTGCAAATACTATACCTAAACGTCCCAAAACTCTTCAACATCCCCTCGAGACCCTTATAAACACCAGCCTACAGAGCCCTGGTTGAGAAAGCTCTTCTAGAACCCATAAAACCATCTAAAACCCTACTATAAGCCCTAAACCCTAAACCCCAAACCCTAACCCTACTAAAGCCTTGATCCTTGAAAGCAACGATAATAATAATAATAATAATATTAATAATAATAACAATAATAATAACAATAATAATAATAATAGTATTAATATTAATAATAATAATAATAATAATAATAATACTAATAATAATTTGATCCTTGAAAGCAACGGGAAGGGGGAACCTCTTCTTCCCCTGAACATCGTGGCCTTTGATCCGACGATCGTCGGCAACGACGAGGAGAAGGCACAGCGGTGTTCGTGCCTTTTAGGGGTTTAGGGTTTAGGGCTTAGGGTTTAGGGTTTAGGGGTTTCAGGGGAGTTGTAGTGTTTTGCGGTGTTTTTGTTGAGGGTTCTGGGTTCTTTTGGGGGCATGGCTTGGCTTTTGTTGGAGACTGGAGGGCTGGGATCTGGGAGTTGGGGCTGTCGGAGCATGCTTCAGCTAGCGAGGTTGTCCGACACTCAGGGCTTAGGCAGCAACAGTATTTACCCTGAGGCTCACAATGGCCAAAAAGCCTTAAGTAATATGGTCCTTAGGCCCAAAAGCCTTAAGATATGAGTCTTTAGAGCGTTAGGGTTAGTAATGATGGTAATTAAGTATTGTTTGGGCTCACTGCGTCTTGACTTCCAGCCAGGGCTTGAGCTCTCTAAGCTGCAAGGAGGCCCTTCACCTTTTAGTTTCTTTGTTCCTGCATCGCCCGCAAGACGCCACTGTTGCCCGCTTCCCTTGTAAAATACGAGGGTGCCGTATTAGATTGGGGACCTAAAAAGCAAGCGGAGCTAGTTTAGAGAACTACCCATATGATGATGTGCAGTTTGCTCCATAGCCTTACGTAGTTCCATTCGACCTCCTATGATCGCTAATGCTTTCCAGGTGTTCTTCACAGAGGTTGCCGGGCGAAGAGCTCAGCAGAGAAACGTGTCGAGCTTCGGGGCCAAGCGACCCTGATGTGGGGTCGGCCTGATGTGTGATAGAATTCTGTGAGGGGGTCTTCCCTTTAACTCCACTACAATACTCTATTTTAATTCATAAGGCCCCTATATCTTATTAAATATTAAAGCTAGAGATTTGCCCTGGCTTGGCAATGTACGATTCACATTCGACGCTTTGAGAGAGACTTACCTCTGCCCTTTCACACTTCGCGATTCTGCAAAATCCGATGCTCGATGGGCTTTCGAATACTATTTCTTCTATTTCGGGGGCCTGAGGTGTCGGATTGTCCTGGTGTAGAGTTTTGGGCCCTTGGTTCTTCTTGATGTCAAAGCAGCTTCCAACGGGATGAGTGGAAAGCTATCGCATCAGCAACCCTTGAGCCCAGAATACTGACGCGGCATCGACGTCAATTCCCGCTTTGGTTTGCCATAAAGGGCCTGAACGCTTGGGAGATCGCAAGATTCACATCCTATCTCCCCCCCAACACCTCTAGTTCGAGGTTGCAACAGGAAGTTTCGAAAACTCGAAGCTGAGCTGGTGATCCAGATTGGATCTGATTCGCAAGCCTTACAGGATTCTTATGGGAATTTCCGACAATCAGGGGTACCTTATTTTGGAGTCCTTATAACAAGCATCCTACTATGTAGTTTACCATTGTAGGGTCCCCTATTTTCGGAAACTCCCTTATGGTGATACAGCTCCTCAAGCCCTGTAGGCCCGTATACTTGCATACCATGTACTTCATGATGCTTCTCAGTACGGAACCAAGGAACTACGAGGTTCAGGGCTAGCGTGTCGAGTGCACTTGCACGGGTTAGTATTAGAAGTTGTTCCTGCATTACTTCTATGCCACTAGAGTCTATGTTGCGTAGGTATGTGGACCCATGAGCTAGCCAGGCCAGATGGGAATTTCCTCATCGACACTTCTGCAGAGGCTCGTGCAACAGTCCAACCCAACCCAACCCGTCCCAGACTTCAGTGCTAGACACCATAGGATCTTCCAGTCGTTAACTTTGGCATACAAGTTCCGACCATCCGTCACTACCACGTCTACGGCTAGGACGGATGTTGGATGCAATCACTGCAACTACGACGACTGCAGTCACTGCTACCACCACCATACGACTATTACCTCTACATCTACGACTCCTACTGCTACACCTACTCCTTCTCCTACTCCTGCTTACCACCCCTACTTCTCATAATATTGCTCCTCCTCCTACTCCTATTCCGCATCCTCCTCCACCTACTACTACTAGTATTATAGTTCTGCTTGTAGTGCTAGTACAACTACTGCTACTACTACTACTACTACTACTACTACTACTACTACTACTACTACTACTACTGCACGACTACGACTACGGCTTCTACTGCTGCTGCTTCTGCTGCTGCTACTACTGCCACTACCTCCACGACTGCTCCTGCTCCTGCTCCCCTTCTCCTCCTCTTCCTGCTCCGCCTGCTGCTCCTGCTCCTACTCCTACCTCCTCCTCCCGGTGCTACTGGTACACCTGATGCACAGGATCTCACAGCCTTGGACAAGATGCTCAAGGCCGTACAGGCATGCAGGGGGGCAGACATCGAGGGGTACCTTAGGACTTAATAACTTAAGGGCTTAGGCTTTACGCATAAGCCCTCGTAAATGTTGCATCAGTCGGCATATGACGCACTCAGGGTGAAATTAGTCAAGCTCATGGCTTCTAGCCTCGGAGGAGTCTGAGCCGTCGTATGATGCAGTTATGACACTGCGTAGGATGTTGACTCAATGTTGACATGATGATATCCATGATATCGGTGGTGATGAGTATTATGATGACGATATTGACGATAATGATAATGGTGATGGTGATGACGATAGCGTTAATGCTCAATGTCATCACATTCCCGTTCATCAGAACAACGGGCTTGACACTGGCATAACGGCTCACATTTCATTGATTACATGGACCACAGTACGAACACTTTGAAGAGCGGCATCAGCAACCAGTACTCCTTGGAGTCTTGGAGTTGCAGTTGCAGCCGTAGCAAAGATGCTGCCAGCAGCCCCAGTAGCAAGAGCCAGAGCGGCGCAAAAGTAGCCGTGCATAATGCGAGGTTCTGTTACGAGCTTTGGCTTGGAAGAGCCAACGCTCTCATGTCAGCCTCAGAGAACAGGTCTACAACCATTGCATGTGAACGCGCCTGGGTATTGCAACACCGTGCTTACAACTTGATGCCGTATAGCTATTGTACCGGAGTCAGCCAAACAACACGAGGCCTTCAGATGCCCATTCCCAGGTCTTCAGGCTGTAACCCTTCACGACCTGTTCCCAGGTGTGCGCATAGGTAACCCAATAGCAGAAAACACCTATGCTGATCTTCTAGATAATTCTAGTACATCGTCTAGTCACTCATCTCCACAGCCTATCGAAGACGATCGGCTCTTGCGCAAAGAGCCCGAGGTCAAGCGAAAACAGCTGGATAAGCTGAACAAGAAGCTCGACAAGTCGGAGCCCTGAAGGGCTCAGGAAGTGTTTAAATTAGGCGGCCATGAAATCAGGCAGAACCATGCTATTCCTCAGAGCCTTAGAGTTCTTTAGATGAAGCTTATAGGTTTACACTATGTTGTATACCCTCCCCCCGGAAGAAAAACTATAGCTGCATGCTCATTATTTAAGTCTTCTACTTGACTCGTGGGGCTTAGACACATGGATGCTAGTATCACGCACGAAGGAGGAATCATGCGATCATTTTCGGTTGCAGCGCACCGCAGCAAAGCCAGACCAAGTTGGTGTGTAGGGAGATCTAAAGATCGAAGGCCGCAGATAGGTTTGCAGAAGTACCGCCTCAAGGATGTTCGGGGTGTTCCAGTTGCCTGCCTAATTCTGCAGTCTTGTGCCTTCTAAACAGCCCGTAGCCCGCAAGTTGTTCGTGACCCGGCAACGTTCAACATCCTAAACCTTAAATCTGGAACCTGGCATCGCATGATTCAGGATGGAGAATCTCTCCGATCGGGTGTCAGAAGATCGAGCGCTGCTTCAGGCATGCTTGCATGGTATTTCGGGACAGGTCGCTAGAGCTCAGCTTTCCGGTCCTTACATCTGCTCGGTATGTAGCTTTCCGTTGCCTGGCTTTCAATATGTGCTTAACTCTAGTTGTCACAGCACATCACGTGATTTGCCAGCGACCAAATTTGAAACCATCTATGCATTGTCTGGCTTGGATGTGAACGTCGCTTGCACGGCAACGATCAGAGCCCTTGGCGATGCCTCCCGCGCAGAGATGCACGGAGTGTTGTTTGCTCCGTGTCTCTGCGAGTGCAGCCCGCAGATATATGTGTCTCGGTCTCTCCGTCTGTCTATCTCTCGCTCTCTCTGTTTATTTTTGTGTGTGTGGTTCTGTGTTGGTCTACATGGTTGGTTGATGTTTTGTCTGACCGGGCGTCGTGCTCGCACTTCTCTGTCATGAAGTCAAAGATGACCCGAAGCTCTTGCACATGTTTCGGGGCCAAGCGGGGAGTGTCCAACATCATCTTCAAAGACGCACGGGGGCTGCGCATGTAGGTGTACACTTCTTGCGAATGAACCTCCCTGCAGATGCAAATAGCGCTCAACAATATGATCGCCAACGACCTGGAGCTTTGCGACTGGGCGTTGAAGAACGAGGCAGGGCGCAGCAAACCCTCATCCCCTGGAGCTGAATGTCAGACATAAGAAGCACAGACGCTCAACAAGCTCAGTAGCGAAGAGTTCTGGTGCCGATGCTAGAGGCTGTTTGACACTAGACGTTTTCTTGGGTCCATGCATCCCCAGATTGGTAAAGCAAGATGAGTGTTAAATCCCGGGCCGTAGACAGTGGCGAAGTCCGATAGTCAAGTGATGTAGCATGTATATAGTTTCGGGTGTAGCATACAGGTCTTTGGAATACTACGGACAGCACGCAAACATCATGCGCTCTCTCTCTCTCGCTCCCGCCCTCCCTCCCTCCCTCCCTCCCTCCCTCCCTCCCTCCCTCGCGCTCTCTCTCCCTCCCTCCCTCCCTCCCTCCCTCCCTCCCTCGCTCGCTCTCTCTCTCTCTCTCTCTCTCTCTCTCTCTCTCTCTCTCTCTCTCTCTCTCTCTCTCTCTCTCTCTCTCTCTCTCTCTCTCTCTAACTCTCTCCCAAATGCATATATACACACAAACAAACATACATAACAACGTACATATACATACACATATGTGTACATGTCTGTACATACCAAATCTTGATACCGTATTGAATGCGATAATGCACTCGCTCTGCTTTACTCAAGGTACGTATGTTTTCCCAGCAAATAAATAAATAAGTAAATATATATGTATATATATATATATATATATGTGTGTGCCCGTATGTATTTCATTTGACTGGCTCTCTGCCTCTCTCCCTCTCCCTCTTTCTTGTTCTGCTCTCTCTCTCTCTCTCTCTCTCTCTCTCTCTCTCTCTCTCTCTCTCTCTCTCTCTCTCTCTCTCTCTCTCTCGGTCTATGCGCATATATATATATATATATATGTATATACATATGTACGGAGATACAAAAAGAAGATATACTGCGTCAGGTTTCGAGTTTAGGGTTCCTATGCCAGGCCGAGCCGCCGCCGCCAGACATTTGAGGGGCGCTCTCTCGGCAGTTTCATGGCGAGGGAGGCGCACAAAGGCTTGTGTCACCATGGTGTTCACCCCGAAACTCGGAAGAGCCATCCTACTGCCCACCCACACCTCAACCCGCAGCACACTCAGTATCAGACAAACAGGTCGAGAGAGATTCCGACTGAAGATGACATCAAGCAACGCAGACGGGTATGGCTAGGATAGTACTAACAATATGTTATCGTACTCACGCAAAGAATCATATACCGTAGGGAAGTTTCACCGTGAAGTCTCGGATTAGTGACCTGCTGTTCAATAGTGTGGGTAGCTAGCGGATCACCGTGTCACCTCGTGTCCAGAGGCAACGTCACAGCAAATGCCGGAGTTGCTGGAAGCGCCGGATGTCGGCATGCTCCGGCACGAAGCGGAGCTCCAGCAGACTCCCTTCATCTTGCGCTGAAAATCAGCAGCAAGCCGTGTCGCACCCAGAGGAAACCAAAAAGGACCAGTCGGAACTCTGTTGGTGGCTTTTTGAACGATGCAAGCAACGGCGAAAACTATAATGAGGATCAGGCAGGACCGCAGAGTAGCGTGCAATTTTGCTCGATAACGTGATACAATCGCTTTTAAATGCCTGCACATGCATAGCAGCTCGCCAGTTCCCCAAGCTTGTGCCTGGGTTAAACCGAAATATTTCATTGAGCCAGGGCCCTCAATAAACTGGTTTGTCCTTTGGCATCTTTTTCAATTTCCTCACTATTTTGTAGAGAACCATAATAGTAAATAGTTTCCAACTTAAAGGGCTGAAAGGACAACTCAGTCAAACACTCTAATGTGAGGGAAGAGGATCTGCTTCGTGAAGCGGCAGTAGCTGATCAGCGCTGGCATTGTTTGTCTCGTTCAGGCTCCAACCGATGCCCTTAGAGCCATTTCTGGTTCAGTGATGCCAAGGACTGTCAGGGACCTTTTTGCAGTGATATGCAGGCTAGCTAGCAGCAGCCGCCAGTACATCCTAGCGATCAAGATGCCCAAGCGTGAAGCACCCAACAAAGACTGCGAGTAGCCTGCACAAAATTGGGGCCGGGATAGAGGACGGGTCCCCACGGAACGCTTTTACGAGTCAATCGCTACGAAGCGTCTTTCGCCTGGCCTGTACCAATGAAAACAACATAAGTCTTGAAGCGGCCCTGCAGTTTCTTCACCACAGACCCAATGCTAATATTGCCTTGGGACGGAGCCGCGAAGCCTTGCAAGCCTCCAAATAAGCCACGTCAGCCCCCCACTTGGACCTCTGAGCCCCGAGCCCTGCATCCGGTAGCCACGATCCTTTTCAGAACTCTGCTGAACCTTAAGCTTTGTCTTTTGAGAGGAGGGTTTGGGGCCGAGGATTCCGGGTTGAGGGTCTGAAAGTGTCTCCTGCCGGATACCGCTGCGCTGATGGATCAGTGGAGAGCCGTGGGATTGAATGCCAGGTGCCACGGGGTTGGGGTCACCGGATCGGCTTTCTTTTGGAACTCGCATGCCAAATGCAGAGACCCGATAGATGCTGGGGAACCTACGACTGGAGGGTGGTGCGGTGAGGCAGAGTAGGGGAGTCTTGCTAAGAGAGTTTGTGGTGTGCGACAGAAAGTATTGCTGAAGGGATCTTGTATTCCCATGAAGCCTAACCAGCAAATAGTTCCAGTAGGTTTCTGAACATCGAGACCCTGATGAGAGCCAGCACAAAGCCGACCACACCAGCAAGAACACCACTCACTAGCACTAACCGATCGGTCTTGTTAGGTAGCATCAGCAGTAGTAAACTCAGTAGTACCATTACCATCACCACCATGCCAAGCATCACCGTTTCTCAGTTCCATCGTCGTCGTCTTCCTTCTTCACAGAAGCAGCAGCAAGCCGCACCGTCATCAGACTGAAGACCATCCCACCATCGTCTGCAGCAGCATCCGCATTACAACCGGGGTGCCATCGTCGTCGTAATCCGCATGATCGCCGACGTCGTTCACTTCCTCCATCTGTAACATTTATGCTTCGTCATCCAACGCATGTCATAGTTTCCACTGATAAGAAACTTACCGCAAGCGAACTCACAAGTTTGATGTAATGACCGGACCCCTAATGTCAGGTTATGCTTTCGACAAATCTTTCACCAGAATTTGTTCTCAGGTGCCCTACTGACTAAAAATGACTGGTAAGTCTGTCGGCAACAGATTCCGCAGCCTGCACCCCAGCAACCAGCGAGCTCGAGGCTGAACCCTAAACTCCTTTAAAGAGGTGAGCAAGTGGATGCAGGTCAATCTGAAACCTGGGTCCGGGCCTCAAAGGCTTCATCTCCGGCTTAAGATGCCTAAGGTCCTGAGGGTTAAATAAGAAATGTGATGGCGGTCTAGTCTCCTCTTCCTCATGGTGACATAGTGTTGTTGCTGATGCCATGAAGATATGGGAGTTTCCGAGGATAGGGGACCCTATTATAGTACTGTACCCTAAACAGTAGGATTCTTATAATAAGGACCCCTAAATAAGGTACCCCCAAAATTTTCGGAGACTCCCATATGATCATTGTCTACAGGGCTTGGTGTTCAGGTTTCGGGACGGAGTTAGGTCTGCAGACTGTGGTTTCGAAACCCAGAACCCGACTCCCAACCCCGATTCCCTTACCTTTGGTTAGTAGGGAATGGAAGAATGGTGGTAATAGTAGTTATAATTGTACCCCATTCCTCCATTCCCTACTAACCAAAGGTAAGTTCCCTGAATCCGTCACCAAAACTTGAGGCACATTGCGGATGCTTAGCAGGGTGGACACAACCAGGCGCTCAGCAATAGCGACTCAAGCTTTACCTAGATCGCCACAACTGCCCCGAGCCTGAATACTTGGAACGCCTTGGGCCTTCAGAAGTATCAGTTTCGATTGAAACTTACCAAAGGTTGGGGGCTCGAGTCAGGGGTAGGGTATCTCAAGGCGCGACTACCCCGCAAGGCTCCGACGATGTAACTCTGAAGGACGGAAGATTCAAATCGACCCCGAAACCAACAAGCCGCAAAAAGGCTCAAACCTGCCCCATTCCCAGGCAAGGGTATGGGATGAGCTTCGATCCCAGCAGTCACTGGCCTGCCCTCCCATGATTCGAAGCATCGGATGGAGCTTTCAGATACAAGATCCGAGAAAATGCTCAGCAGCTGAGAACCGTTGTGAAGTTCAGGGTTGAAGGCTTTAGGGTTTAGGCTTTAGGGGTTTAGGGTTTTGGGTTTAGGGGTTTAGGGTTTAGGGGTTTAGGGTTTAGGGTTGTTGGGCTCAGGGCCTGGGGATGGAGGGGTTCTGCGCGGCTGTGTCCATTGCCTGACTTGCATGTTTTATGTTCCGTGTGTGGCACTGCCGGCGGGGTGTCAAGCTCTAAACCCTGAACCCTAAACCCAAGCTTTTACTTTGTGTGTTAGATTTGTTGTTCTAGCATGGCAGATTTTTATTGTCAACGGTTGGTATTGGTGTCAATAGTTTTAATTTTTGTCTTGATATCTTGTTTTGTTTTTTGTTGTTGTTTCGCCAGGCCTCTGTCATCAATGATCCCCTTCGTGGCAGCCGCCTTCTGCGTGGGCAGCTGGGGACCCAGAATGGGAAATGCTCTTTCCAGAGAGGGGGCTAGAGTTCAGATTCAGGTAATGGACTAGGGTTTTCGGGCCCATTATACTATCATATAATAAGGAACCCCCAAAATCGTATAGGTAACTATTTAGGCACCTATATTAACTAGCTTTGCCAAAGCCCGAAAGCCAGATAAATTAACGCGTCGTCGGGCAAGCATCTAAACATTCGCGTGCCTACAAAGATGTCAGTCATGACTTGCCAGCATGGGATCAATTTCAGCTTCGGCTGGCTTATCGAATCTCTGGATTCTAGTCCTTCAGCCCTGCCGTGCTAAAGTTGTTCCGAACTTGGGGTCTCTGAGAGCCTCGAGCTACAACGCAGCTTCGAGTCCTTGACCGAGCCCAATGCCGTAATTGAGACGATTCAAGCTCTTGAGTGGGTCCGTGAAACTGCCGCTGTCGACATTGCAAGGGCCCTTAAACAGATACCGTAAACGCCTGCAGCTTCAGGTGGGAGGGGCTTGGGGAGTTCGTGGAGACTGTGCGGGAGAGCGCTTCTCGATGGCAAGAAGCACGCGGCTACAAGTACTGAACAACTGTATGTATGTGTAATGATATCAACATGTATACACATATATGTCTAATTACACATGTGTATATCTGAGTATATGCATGTAGCATGTAACATGTTCGTGTGTGCGTGTACATGTACGTGCCGCAGTTGTGTGTACAAGATTTGTGCATACACTCGTATTTTACTTGCTTGTCTTCCTGGTGCCCCCTCGCAGTGTTCCTTCCTATGGTGGTGCGTACAGGATTACATCCTTATTCGGAATAGCATCTGTGGCAAAGTGCTGGGAATATTTAGCTTGCAGTGTCTATTGACTAGAGTTGACACTGTTGCAACAGCATAGGATATCTGAAACACTCTTCATACCAGCATGGTTTTTCAGTACTCTGGACGCGGAGCCCTGTGGAACATTCTGAACAACGTGAGACGCTTCTGGGAGTAAGTATCAACCATTTCAAAGACGACACATAGACTCAGCACCGTAAGCATGATCTCCAAGGTTAAAGAGGCTGTCTTTGCTTACGCCATTTTCGACAATACTCATTTTAGCATCAAGAACACGATGGAGACTGCTGCTGATGAGAATGGTGTGGACCTTACTACACTCTTTCAATTCGAGTGGTATGGCTGCATTTGCTAGTTCAGACGGCGGCCGCCAATGTAGATGCAGATAGCCTTATGAATGCTGCGATGTTGTACAAGTCCCCTGCATGCCGGCAAACGTGTTGCGAAGGTTGCCACGTTGCAACAGCCGATGCACTTAATGCTTTGATCCGCTCAAGAGTGGCAGCTGCATTGGAATACTGATCACCTACAGTTGGTAAGCGCACATGGCCATACGTAAACAATTAACATTCACAATGGCATCTCTCAATCTTCAAGCGTTTCGATCTTGACAAGCCGAAGTTTACAAACACAGCAAACCGTATCGAGACTGCGCATATACCCCACACTCAAACCTCGCCTACATTAGCTGCAAATCCCACCGTGAATAATGCTGCACCGGAACTTCGAGGTTGGGGAGTTGAACGATCAGCGCGATGATGCCGCTGGCTCAGTGCCACGAGGGCATTCATGATTGAGTTTCCGGCTTTCGGTTCACAGGCAGATACGCTAATACACTAGCGGCGTCGTCACAGTCGTTGTCATCGTCATCATTGTCATCGTAGCACACTTATAGTAGCAGCAGTAGTAGCAGCAGCGCTAGAACTACCCTGCACATGCGATTTCTGTCCGCGGTTTGCTTTGTTTTCTGCGTTTCGCTCAGTTTTTAGACACATGCCAGTGGTCGAAATCAGGCATCAGAATTCGTAGTGTTGTTGTTTGTGGATTGTGGAATGCTGCGAAACGCATGGCTTCTGCATGTCAAGCCCGACACGTTTGATCTTGGCCGTCTCGCGGCGAAAACTCCACGCTTGCCATGTGTTGTTTTTCGGGGAGAGGGGGAGGCCCAAAATTTTATGTGTTTAGATGCAGTTTATACAATGTCCGCGTTGGTCGTTGTCTTTTCGTGGTGGTGTTGTTGTTGTTGTTGTCGTTGTTGTTGTTGCGATTGCGCAGGGGCTATGGATTCGAGGCTATGGATTCGAGGACGTGTTCTCCAAGTGGTCAGCCAATCATAATCACAACAGTCATAGCAGTCACAGGGCAGTCATCGAGTCATGCCCGCTATAGTCATCATCATAATGATCGTCAGAACCGTCATCTTCCTCCTCATCATCATCGTCATCACTATTTTAATGCTAATCGTCATCATAGCCATCATGTTAGAAGAAGCATCACGGGCGCTATCACCATAGCCATCACCATCTGCAGCATCGATATGATGATCATATGAAGCATCTGCCGTCATCACACCCCTCCCCGCAAGTGAAAGCCTGAACCCTAATCCCGCAACCCCAAGCCCAATGCGAAGAGACAGTGGGGTTTTGCAGACTGCATGGATGCGGGAACGGATGGGGTCTGGGTGGACGTCATCATGGTTCGATCACAAACGTTTGGCTGGACAGTTTGTGGACCCGTCGGCTAGTCCGAGTACTAGTACAACTAGCTACTAGTACTAGTGCTAGTAGTGCTAGTAGTACTAGTAGTACCAGTAGTACCAGTGGTACTAGTAGTACTATTAGTAGTAGAAGAAGTAGAAGTAGTAGAAGTAGCCGTAGCAGTTTGCTGATTCCAGCTGGTTGTGCAAACCGAAAGCGCGTGACGCTTCGACGAGACCTCAAAGCCCCAAATCGAAAACTTGCACTATCTAGTCCCTAAGGTAAACCCTAGTTGTTAAGCCCTACCTTCAAACGCTTCATTAGGCCTTGTGAACGCCTGTAAAACCTGATGAAGCCCTCCCAGATACCATAAACCATGCTGTGCACTCAGGGTGCCATTGACCCTACTACGGTCGCACGCCGGAGCCCAGGGATTACCCTGAGTTGGGCTTTCTGACTTTCATGAAATCGCCCAGTTTTCGGATGTGGGTTGCTTTAGGGTTGATGGTTTTGGGACTTTAGGTTTGAATCTGTGTGAGGGTGTGGGCTTCACGGCTTTTTGCCGTTTTTTGGGGCTTTGGGGCTGCGTGCTGTCGGGATCTGCTCTGGTGATCTGGGGCTTGATAAATCAGGTTCCTAAATCAGCGCAAAATTAGTCACGATGATTCAATGATGAGGGGCACTGAAATCAACCAAAAGGGTTGACAATTGCAGCTACGACTGCTACAACTAGACAGGGTTCAACAAGCAGCGACAGCACCAACACCTCCAGTCCCAGCAGCATCAGCAGCAGCAGAAGCGACGGCGGCAACACCAGCAACAAAACCGACGTAGCAACAACCACAGTTGCAAAGTCGTAGTAGCAATAACAGCAACCACAGCAACCGCAGCAACAACGACTAGACGGCGCAAGCAAGGACAGCACGGCACTGTTGTCGCTCACCTCAACAGCAAGGCCTCTTTCCACACCAACTTCTGCGACTGAAGGCTTTCACAGCTACTGCCAGCTAGCTGAGAGAATCCACCTGTAAACCAATGGCTTGAGCCAAGAGTAGGATTTTTCGACCTCAGGGCGAGTGAGTCGTGACGACCACGACCAGGACAAAGACCAGCACCACCAACATCAATAATGATGACATTAACAAGCACCGGCAAAAAATGCAAGCAAGCCAACACGCAAGCATATAACAACATCAATGGCATCAACATCAACAACAACAACAGCAACAGCAGCAACATCATTAGCACCAGCACCACCACGACCACCACGCACAGCAACAGCAACAGCACCAAAAACAACAGAATCAGCAGCATCACCAGCACCAGCAGCAGCACCAGCACCAGCACCACCACCACCACCACCAACAACCACACCACCAACACCAACAACACCAGCAGCAGCATCATCATCACCGCCAACAACAACCACAACCACAATCAGAACGACAATGACAATCACAGCCACAACAACAACAACAACAGCAACAACAACAACAACAACAACAACAACAACAACAGTAACAGCGACAGCTACAGCCACAGCAACATCAACGGCAACTTCAAGAGTAACAACAACTGTAACATCAGTAGCAGTAACAACGACGCAAGCAGCAGTAGCAACGACAACAACCAGGAACAGCAACAGGCTGTTGAACTTTGCTTCCCATACGGCAGAAGACTCATTGTCCAGGGCTTGCCAGTCTTCGCGCAGACCACAAACTCGAAACGCTACAGCCTCGAAAGCTTAACATCGCAACCTTAAGCTGTCAAGCCAAGCAGCACGCCGAACATTAAACCCTCAAACAAAAACAAAACACGAGCCCCGCCGGCTGAAACCCCGAACCTTCCAACCTTGCAGCTCTGAGCCGTAAGTCCGAGATCCGCATCAGACTCTCTGTTTGAAAGGACCCCCTTGGTCCTGACGTTCCGGGTCTAAGGCCAAATCAGAAGTAGGGAAAAGGTTCCAGTATGGTTCCTTTATGATTATAACTATGCTATAATTGCTGCAATGCGAAAATGCACCACAAAACACCATTTTGGTTATTTTGGTCATGTTGGTCCGTAAAATGAAACCCTGAAATCCTTAAAGTATCTCGTTGTCCTTTCAATAAGCTTCTGAAGGAGCTCGAAATGGAACCCTGAAAGCAACCCTACATTAGGGTCAAACTGCAAGGCATCGATGAGCTCATCGGTCAAGTCCCCGAGGTCGCGGAGTTCACGTCAAGCGCTCAGATGGGTCTATCGGGATTTTGGTGGAACTGGGGCTCGTATTGGTCTCGGGAATTTGTCTTCTGTTACCCCTTTGAGGACTCTTTTCTTCTTTTCGCGTCACTGTACGATGATGGCAAGCAGCAAAAGTGTAAGCTGTCTTCCCAGCTGGAGCAGTTACAGAGTTCCCTTTAGCATGCATGCGAACACTCCCAGTGAGCATGGCCTGAAGCGAGTATCGGACGCACCAGCCGAAACTCGATCAACGAACAGCTTGGCTCCATCTGTCAGGAATGCAGGAAGACTCTCGATGCTCACCTATAATCTCTTGTGCTTTAGGCTCGCCCTGAATGTATTTTGGAGCCTCACACGTGCACATCCGAAGGCCTTATCTGGAGACCTTCGCAGAAGAGTGGGAAGTGTACTACAAGCCGGGCACCTGGAGCCCAGACATCACCTGTTCATCTTTCCTCATACATGCTTTCCTGAAAGTTTCTGCACGAGCTGTTCAGCCGGCTCTGCTTCGTGTTGGCTCGGTTTCGGATGTGCAACTGAACCAGGGTTCCTCTGCTGCAAGAGGAGCCTCGTTTTTCTGCTCCCTGGGAACAGCGCTTCAACACTCGAGTCCCCTAGGAATCATCGCCGCTTACACCGCCGCGGACAGCATCAGCTGCTACGCGCGCAGGCATCAGATGTGAATGGTCGAGAAACCACCAGCCAAATGCTCGTACGAATCTGAGAGTCGACGGTATGCGTCTGACTGAGTGAGAAGATCCAAGCATTGGGACGGTAATCCAACAACTAGCAACTATATACAGTTCCCCCTCCCCAGAACATGCACTTGCCTGTTTGCCCCATTAGCGGGCTCTCTCTATCCGTCTGTGTGCTAGTTTCGCGAGATGTGAAGATGTATCCATGCAGCGGTCAATCCACTTTCCTGCCTACCTCGCCACCTCCCGGCACCGGCCTGCCTTCCAAACCGGCATCCCTAGCTGTTGTGTGCGTAGAGTCTAATATAGGGGCCTTTTAATGTAATGATCACCTATACTATTTTGGGGGTTCCTTATTATAACTATATATAGTACAATGGGCCCCAAGACCCTATTCTAATGATTAAGGCCCCTATATTAAATTTCTAAAACAGCTGCCGGCTCCCAAGTTCACTTCTCGCTCGCTCGTTCGATGTCTCTCGCCCTCTTCCTCGTTTTCGTCGCTACATACATATGTCCCGATGTCTCTATCGCAAGATCTATCTGCGAAGAAGGCAATATTATGCCCGAAACCCTCAACCCTGAGCACTTCCCGGGCCTGTAATCAAATCCGAAATCAAGACGTTGACCCAGCGCGCTGACGTGCAATCCCTGCACGACTACTCGGGCCCCCGAAGCAGCAAGAAGCCGAAACACTGGACCCCAAGGCCCTAAAGGGAACTCCAGAAAGTTGGAATATGGCTTCAGGGTAGGATTCCTTATAATTTACCATAAAGGGTTTAGGATAATCATATTCCAACTTTCTGGCTTTTACTTTACGACTTTACGGGACGGCAAACTGCAAACCCCAAAGCCGAACCCCGAAGCGCAGGGCTCCTCCAAAAGCGGTCTTCCAGAGGACAGTGGATCCCATGAAGGGTTCCTGTTATTAGCAATATTAATAATAATAATAATAAATAATAATAATAATAATAATAACAAGAATAATAACAATAGTAATAATAATAATAATAAATAATGAAGGGTTCCTGTTTTGAGAGTGTCAACAGCATTCCTTGCTTTGTGCATTCCTTCGAAAAGGAGGGGCTTCTCAGGTTTGCGCTTTAAGTTTCTAAGGTTGAGTCAAGTTGAAGTTCAAGATTTATAGGTTTTAAGCCTCTCTGAGGTCGCTGGATCGAAAGGTTTATCAGGTTCGTGCTTAGGCGAGCCGCGTAGACAATTATCCGTCATGCGCAAGATGCGAATGCCAAAAGCCTAAACAAGGACTTCTGCTGGACTATTTCACCTAGAAAACCGTCTCCAAAGCTGCTTCCATAGCCCGAGCACCCCAAATCCAAGTACCAATCTCTAAGCACTGAACCCCAAACCCCAAACTCACTCTTCATCCAGCCGAGAAGTCTGAACACTGAGCCTGCCCGCCTTTCTCGAAGCCCCCTTCCACGAAGGACGAGGAGAGTGCAGCGCAAGAGGCACGCACTTAACTTGGGTTTGGGAAGATGTGGTGAGGGGGATCGGGGCTCGGGCTTGCTAGAATCAAAAGGGAACTCCAGAAAGTTGGAATATGGTTTCATGGTAGGATACCCTATAATTTACCATAGAAGGGTTAGGATAATCATATTCCAACTTTCTGGCTTCTACTGAAGGAGCTTGTTGAGAACATCGAAGTTACGGTCGGATTTGGGCATTTCGGATGCAAGAGATCGAGTCAGCACGGAAGCTATGACTGTGCTCAGAGTGCAACCACTAACTACTGCTGTGCTCTGTGTACTTCGAAGGTTCGAGTCTGGCCACTGATTCAGTCCTCCTGGTTGTTCGTAGATTTCGCGTTGTGGGCTAGGCTGGTGGTATATTCTTTCCTTGACAGCAAAGATGCAAGCTTTGTATTTATATCAGTTTAGGCTACGAGGCACGGACTAGAGCGTCATAATCCATTAGCCGAAGTAGTTAAACCCAAGCTCCCCATGCATGTGAAATCGTGCTTTCTGTCGCCGCTCGCCGAGGCGCACCTCTCCGTGCCTTTGGACTACTTTTCCGACAGCTTCTCCTTAGAGCAGCACCAGATCTTCCGGCAGCGAGAGTCTCAGGGCGTGGTCACAGAGTCGGTGCATGGTCGAGTGCCTAGGCTTCGGCAGTCAGCCCCAGCCGGTGTCAGAACCTCCAACCGGACGCAACTTAAGCAAGACGATCGATGGAATGAGGCCACTGGAAAGCGCGGTGGACATGCAGGAGAACCTGATCTGAAACTGCTTCTCCCACAAGCAGAACAGAGTAGATGGTCGCATAGTGTGAAAAAAGCAAAGTATTCGTTGTAACAACATCATAGGACACCTGCGTATTTGCTACACTCGACAGTTCGCGCCTCCGGGCCCAAGCAGCTGGCGTCTTTGTGATTGCCCCGACCTGCAAGCCTTGTGCCGGAAAGTTTCGACATCGTACTAACTCCTGTTGGTTAGGACCAGGACCAGTACATTTCTCCGACGAGCTAATCAAAGGTTCTTGTGGAATGGATGCGTGGACGCCGTGACATGCACGGCATTTCGTCGATGCACGAACCGCAATTGCCATCAGGAGGAGATACACTCGCAGCTCTCCGGGACCGACGCTCAGACTCTGCAGCACCATTTAGCACAAAGGTCCTGTGAAGGTTTGCAAGCGTACAGTGGTGTTTTGATTCATAGGGAGCTATATTACATACATGCATACATAAATACACACATATACATATACATATGTATATATATATATATATATATATATATATTTATATATATATATATATATTTATATATATATATTTGTTTATTTATATTTATATTTCTATTTATTTATTTGTTATTATGTATGTATGTATAGTTTCACGTATCAAGGCACGGAGCTCTCACAAACCTTTGGGGCGGTCTGAGCAGGTACATGGATCTTGTGGAGGCACCTGATCCCTGCTGCGACCGCTTTGAGTTTCACGAAAGTGATGCTCCTTGAAGATAGCAAAGCCGGCGGGAGGCATCAGTTTAGCTTTGCAAGCCGACGGTTGCCAGTAAGCTATCGGATTTCACGGTTCAGGGTTGAAGTTGGTAATTTGTGGCCTGGAAGGTGTCACTCTTCGAGCACATCCGCAAAGCGCAGCCCAGCACTCATTTGCCTGAAGACCAAATGCGAAACCGTAACTTTGAAGAGTGCGGCTTCACCGGGGTTCTTTATTCCAAAATACATTCACATAGCGGCGTACGTCGAAGGGAGGCTGACTTTGAGCCACCCCCACACGGTACTATAGGCCAACCCTGCAGCGAGTTAGATGCTAGCAGAGTCATCGGCCATAGTTCGCCTCAATTCCTTGTTTCATGGGTCATAGACTCTAAACCTAAACCCGTAGTGTAGACCCCAATCCCAAGACCCTCAATACCCAATGCCATCAAAAAGACACCGTTGTGCCTCCACCATCCCCTGAGACACCAGAGACACAAGATCAGCACGTGAACAGAAAGACGAAACTGGCCAGACTGCTCGTCATTCGGTCTTCTGGAGGTCGACCGTGTCCCGAAGAGTGGCAGCTAGAAAGGCAGTAGTAGTATCAGAAGTGAGTGAGACCGATGTCCATAGTTGCGAGGGCCTTGACTGATACGGGAAATAATGACATCCGTTTCGCAGCCCCTCCCCACGGTAGTGCCAAACGAGAGCATGTTCATTAGAGCCAAGTTCATTGCCACGAACTTCCCTGGCATGTGAAGGCCCAGCAGCAAGTCAGCTCTTGAAAGCACCATGCTATTCCACCCCTCATGGCACCGTAAATCTGTAGCCCTAACAGGAACCTCCATGCAGAAAAGACTTGCACAAAGCTCCCACCCAGGCGCTATCGACTCTTCGACTCCTTAGCTGACCTCAATGAGCCTCTGCAGCAAGACCTGTGCCCCCGGCCATGCTTCTGGGTCTCGTGTGCATGTGCTTTCCGGCAAGGTACTTGCAGCAAAGGCATGCTTGCCAGAACGGTTCAGGGTTTGAAGGTTTGCGGTTTAGGGTTCGAGGCTCTTGGGGTTTAGGGTTTTGAAGGTTTGGGGGTTTTGTGAATCCATATGTATATACATATATATTTCAGTTATTTATATGATATTAGATCTTATATATATATATATATATGTACATGTATATATTGTATATTATATATCAGATACTACGTATATGTTGCCCTGGGCCCTGCCAGGTCCGGTTCGCTGAGTGTCATCCGGTCCCTTCGCGGGCAGCTGAAGGAGGCAGTTGGGCGACTTTGTTTAATAGGGTTCCTGGGAGTTAGGATTAGGGGGGCCCTCGGGGATATAGACCCTCTCAATAAGGTCCCTTTAAGAAAGCCAGAAGTAGGGTTCGGAAGGGGTACCCTTTAAGGGGTCTACCTCATCATGCCAACCTGTTCCCTTTCAAGGGGTTTATAAGGGTTACGGCTACTATAAGGGCTCTATGATGTAGGGGCCTTAATACTTAGAACAGGGTTTTGGGGCCCATTATACCATAACTCTAATAAGGAACCCCCAAAATAGTATTGGTGATTGGTGAGGCCCCTACAGTAGGGTTTAGTTTAGTGCTCAGGGCTTAGGCTGCTAAGTAGTGGTCTTCTTCACTTGTAGTCCATATGGGAGTTTCCAAAAATTAGGGGTACCTTATTTGGGCCCCATTTTTGGAAACCCCCCTATAAGTAAATCTGTAATAAAACTACTCTCTTCCTATATCTGATGAAGTAGTGCGCAAGGCCGTACTCCAAGTATTCGGTTCACCACGGGATGTAAAGCCACGACGAGACAATGTCACAAAATCGACTTGGCACAGCTCCGACCGTAAGAATGGCTTAGAGTCCAGCGCGAAAGCCGCACGATCGATCCGCCGCGGCGGAGTGAATATGTATACTATTGCAGCTTCATGATGAAACCTTGCGAATGGACGTCACTTCGTGTTCAAGCTTACTCTTGCGAGATGCGATCTGGCCCGTTGCTCCTTGACACAGCGTCCAGCAGGAACTGTTTCAGCCAGGAACTACGTTCAGAGGAAATCCGCCGACCCTACCCGTCATGCTGTTTGCAACTGCCTGACGTTCTCCGACTCGTCATCTCCAAAACCCCCGAACCCTGAACCCCAACCCTGCATGTTGAAGACAAGCCCTAAACCCTGAAGCCTCAAAGCCCCTAATCCCCCCTGTAGGTGCAGAAGCTTCAGCTGCAGTGCAGCTTGGAGATCGGCAAGCTGGAGCGGAGGAAGTCGCGGGCTCGGAATCAACGGGGAAGTTTGGGGGTTTCGGAGACTTTTGCAAGATTGGAGGAGGATTTTTAGAGGGAGTTCTCTAAAGAGTTTGCAGGGATTCTGTAGGGTTGTAGCAGGATTTAATTTTTCAGGTCGTATAACGGTTGATAGCCGGACGTGGCCAGATTGTAAAGGTAATCCTGAAGGGGAGGGTTTTCTCTTGAGTGCAAAAAAGCTCCCTAAAACCCTAGTATACTTAGTGATCCCTCCATATGTTGAGCTCCACGGTTGAAAGTCTTGAACTTCCCCCTTCGGAAGTGATCAGGGTATAATGCGAACGTAGGTGGAGGGCTGAGGTCCAGAGTTCAACTGACGGGAATCTAGCTCCAACTACAAATGTCCACATCCTGCGATTTTGTGATTTTTGTTATCGGTGTTTAATATTTCTTACGTTGATGATGACATGACTGTAATCCTCGGATTGTAGGGTTCCAGGCCTGTAATCGCTGTCGTAGTGGTGATCGCAGCGCGGTCGTAGTTGTCGTCGTCGAAGCAGCACTTGATGTTGCTAACGTTGATGGCTGCTGAAGTTGGGATTTCTCAGTATGAGCCCCCACAGTTTTGCCGAACGCATACCATGTGTGCACTTTCTTGGAGATTGTGTCGCGAACAAGGCAAACAAGCCTTGTCGCATGTCAGTCGATGTTCCTTCCGTCAGTCCCTCTTGACTTGTCCGGCTGGGCGTGCGCTTCTCGGCAATGGCAGCTGCATGTTACTGTTTAGGGAACGACTAAACCTACCGAAATCCCAGGTTCGCCTCAGCCCCGAAGCCCCCCGCTGAAGCGAATATATAACCCTTTCCTGCCGTGATCGAGGCGTCGTGTGCACGATGTTCTGCAGCGTTTGGACTGCCTGGAGCACGTAAGGCTGGGTACTGTGGAGCCCACGTGCAATGCTGCTGGCAGTGCGTGACGCGACGTTTCATAACGTGTAAATCCATGTCTCGTCGCGTTCTGCCTGACAAGTGGGCCGAGGCAACAGCTGTAGAAGGTTGTGAGGTTTGGTAGCACAGAACTCGAGAGCATTCGTGTGGAGATGCGACTTACTCCGGATTGTCTACCAGCAATGACTCGGCAACAGGCCGTCCGTCCTCGGCTGACGCTGACCCGGAGAGCAAACTCAAGCAGAAAACCTGTGACCGAAACGATTTCGTGCATGATGATTAAGGCTGAAACGGTTGCTTGTGGGAGCTGTTGCTTGCGCAGGCAATGCCGACCGTCCATTCAGATGCTCCTCCAGGCAAGAATCGTTGGAGCAGGAGGTATTTGTCCAAACATCGACGGTGGATTCTGGCAGATCTGGGTCTGGTTGCTTCGAACACCCGGGCTAACCTCACTGCGCCCCAAGCTTCCTTGGGTTTGTGGATTGCTTTTCAAATCAACTCTTGTGACATGCCTGAGTGCTGACAGGTGGTTCATGCAGGTAATGAGGGTTGTACTACGGGTCATTAACGAGTTTCCTGCAAAGGAATTTTGCTTCCTTAGGAGAAAAGCCATATTCTCGCAGAAGCTCACTGACTCGAAGACCCATGATTGCCTGTCTCTTCCAGTCATTAAATCGCAAATTTCCAGAACTTGAACCACAACTAGTACAGAATTGCAGCTGCCAGTGCTCGACACGCCCAAAATCTTTTGGGCATCTGTCACAGATGTTCAGATTATCGGGTGTCAGTTTCGTTTGATGCTTCACAGAGAGTCCAGTGCCGCATGATGGGGAATGACCTGTTCAGGGCCGCGACTTCATCACAGCACTGGACCTCATTGACAGTACGACCTCGGTGGCTTGGGCAAGCTTCTACAGGAGTGGATGTGAGGTACTCGTACAATCCTAACACTGGTTTAGGGCGGCATAGTTGGCATGGCATGGGGGGAGGAACTGGAGAATGCTTATCTTGTCTCACTGGAACTGCAACACAGCCGGACGGCTTCTGCCTTTGCCATCGATGCTGCTTTTGTGTGTGTGTGTGTGTGTGTGTGTGTGTGTGTGTGTGTGTGTGTGTGTGTGTGTGTGTGTGTGTGTGTGTGTGTGTGTGTGTGTGTGTGTGTGTGTGTGTGTGTGTGTGTGTGTGTGTGTGTGTGTGTGTGTGTGTGTGTGTTGTTGTAGCTTGTTCTGCTGTTGCTGCCGTGCTGTTTTGCTGCTACTGGGTAGTGCTAGGAAGGCGCTGCAAGTTTGCATAGACGCGTCGCAGACGAGCGAGCCGCCGCCCGTTATGACCTTGCGCTCGCACCGGGATGCGACCTGAGCCCTGCTCCCTCTCTCAAGTTATTGAACTATCTGTCTCACTACTGCCACTAGTCTGACTTCCACGCTCTCACAAGACGAGTGTTATGAATGGCAATGACTTCCTTGTAGGGCACTTCAGCAGATCAATGAAGAGCAAGCACATATCGACATGGTGAGTAGAGTAAGCGGGGTGATATGACGGCAACTGGAAGGTAGGTGATAAATTTCTACTACTACTACTACTACTACTACTACTACTACTACTACTACTACTACTACTACTACTACTACTGCTACTGCTACTGCTATTGCTACTACCACCATTGCTATCATCATTACGACTGCTCCTCCTCATCCTCCGCCTCCTCGTCTGCAAGAATTAGTACGACCTTGACCATCACCGCTAGTCCGAGTACTCCACTGCTGAGTTCAGTTCATCGGCATGGGTACCCACACACATTTGTCACCTTGTGACGATGCTCAGGACACAGGCTGTGAACGCCAGTAATTACCCACCAACATTTTGCACAATGTGCTGGTGTCGCAACGATTGCTGGAAGACGCCGGCGACGATCATGACAACGACGGCTACGGCCGCATCGAAAACGAACTACAGCAACAACGACGGCGCATCACCATGTTCGCATCTCGTCATACGACAGGTGTCCTTGCAACTACATGTCTGAGCTAAGCTATTCATTTGCTAAGTTGAACATGCTTCCATACTTACCCACAGCACCTACCTTCCATACAGTGTGTGCAGGCATAGAGACATGTTCCTCCACGTCTATCCGAACCCGAATCCGGAGCCTCGGCCCTGAGCAAAAAACCCACTGCCAGGCCTTTGATGCGAATCTCCAGGGGGTGGCCTGGGCCCAAGGATTGAAAGGGAATGGCGAAGAAGGATACTATAGGGGCCTTATAACTATCAATACGATTTTGGGGTTCCTTATCATGATTATAGCATCATGGGCCCCAAAGCCCTTGCTGCTTCGAGCTCCTGATCACGCCCGTGAAGCTAACGCTCTCTGCAGTTTCGGAATCCGCTGCTCGCGCTGGCATTGGGTTTGCGACCGAGGGCTTCACAATACTTCACATAAAGACTTTCCTGGCTCCCATGGCTGTGCTACTCGACTCCTACATCCATCCGCGAAGGACAATCCTCATCCTTACGGAGATCCTCCATCCGCATAGCTCTTCGGACGTCCTTGTGAAGCCCTCCAATCGCCCCACACATGGCCACCCTAACTCCTAAACCCCGAACCCTGAACCCTAAACTCCGAAAACCTTAAACCCGAACTCCTAAACTTCAAGCCCTGAACCCTACTTGGAGGATCATGGGACTTAGTAAGTGAGGTTGTAAGTACCCTAATTGGAGTTATAAGTATAGTTACCTTATTCAGAAGCCTAGTTACTAAGTCACATGATCCTCCAAGTAGACCCTAAGCCCCAATCTCCATAGTTCCCCTTTAAGGAACCCTTATAGTAATAGATCCCTTTAAGGACCCCTTTAAGGAACCCTATCTCCGATGAACGAGGCCAGTGCCACGGCGACCTGGAACCAACTCGAGGACCTCGGTGAGACCTTCGATCGGGCTGTGCATGCCCAAGTGGGAGTTTCCGAAAATAGGGGTACCTTACTTGGGGGTCCTTATAATATGGATCCTACTATTTAGGGTACTATATTAGGGTCCCCTATTTCCGGAAAGTCCCAAGTGGTTGTTCGGGGTGAAGGCTTGCGGAGTTTGAGAATGTGGGAGTTTCCGAAAACAGGGACCCTAACATAGTACCTATTTTCGGAAACTCCCATGTAGAGTTTTAGGGTTTAGGGCTTTGGGGTTTAGGCGTTTAGGGATTTGGGGGTTTAGAGCTTTGGGGTTTGGGTTTGCTTTTAGGGCTTGCTTTAGGGTTCAGGGCCAGGTTGGACGGTTTACCTCGCAGTGCTCCGGGTTCATTGGGCCTCGAGACGCAGCCAATTTAGGTAGTTACTACCATAGTCGCCACAGCTAGCAACGATCACTCCAGTTCCACCATCTGCATCTTAAGAGCATGGCAGTGGTCCCCTGATCTCTGACTTCAAGCAAAGCCGACTATGAGGTCGAGGCCGAGTTCGTCCACCACTCTACCGAGGCAGCCTGAATTTTGGAAAGGTCTTCAGCGGCTGGCGGCCTGCCGTCGACATATAGGAGTTTCCGAAAATTAGGGGTACCTTATTTGGGGGTCCTTATAATAAGGATCCTACTATTTAGGGTGCTATATTAGGGTCCCCCATTTTCGGAAACTCCCATGCAGGGGGATCTTGAATACGATGGAGCAAATGAGTTTCAGACCACTCAGGGCCAACCCACTTGAGACTCTGCGTCCGGGAACCGGGGTGTTCCGGTGCGTCGTCGTCTCAGTCACAGCAGCAGAAGTTGTTGTAGCAGTTTCAGCAGTAAGTAGCAGCGTAGCAGCAGCTATAGTGATAGTCTTCGCCGCGATCGTCGTCGTCGTCGAATCATCACGGCTCCCAAAGCTCATCACGGCCATCGGTACCATTGTCGCCACCACCGCCACCACCGTCATCGTCAACATCAACATCAGGATCATCAACGCCAGCACCATGGCCACTGTCGTCATCACCCTCATCCTCACTCACATCATCATCGTCAGTGCCACTGTCGCCAAATATTTATGGGGGTCATGATCGTCGTCAACAACAACACCATCAAAGTTATCATGGTTATGAAGAAGCCGGTATCATTCAATGGAGTGAGAGGGTTCCAAAAGAAATGCTGCAGAGGGCCCTGTACCCGCACAGGATTTTCAAGCCAGCGTCACAGGCACTTCTGCAGCCGGCGATGCCTTCCGAGAACTCCGGTGAGAACGATGCCGATGTGCTTTGGCCGGATTTGTGTCTAGGGTGTCCGCCCACCCATGGCTTACTTTGTCCCGCTTTGACGAGCGAGCTGATTTTATCCGTACATGTAAGACGTGGCATGGTAGCGGGATGTTTCTTGCGACGCTGTCATAGATAGTGGGTTGTGCCAGGACAGCTATGACATTACAAGCACTGGTCTCGTTTGCGGTAGCAACACACGATACAGCGCGTAATGCGGCATGCTCTGCATGCTTATAATAGGAACGATAGGGACTGGATCAGCGTGACATCCCTCAGTTGAGGCTCCATGCTTTGACTTCTGACATCCGGATTGCCGGGATCAGTATGGTCAAGAATACCTGTATATATATATATATATATACACATATTATCCTTAACCCTTTGCGCCGAACCAGAACCACAGGGTTTAGATCAACAAGGCTTATATGAAAGGAACCCAAAATCTTATTTTTGTATGTGGTTGGCTTTATCTGTGTTTAAAAGTTTTTAAAAGTCGTTTAAAGATTTTATTTGTATTTTAAAGTTTTTTTTCGTATTCAAAAGTTTTTAAAAGTCTTTTAACGTTTTTATTTGTCTTTTAATGTCTTTATTTGGTTTTAAGGTTTATATTTTTGTGAATTATAAGTATTTGGTTGTGATTGAGTCAAGTGGCTTCCTGTTGTTCTACCTGGTTTCCTGCTGTTGTACGTCTACAAATTTGTTGTTTATTTGTTTTTGAAATTATTATTTCATCAATTTAACCATTTTTGGTTGTGATTGCGTCAAATGATAAACGGCATCCTGCTGTTCAACCTGGCTTCCTGCTGTTCTACGTCTACAAATTTGTTTTGTTTGTTTTTAAAATTGTTTATCAATTTAAGTTGGGGGTTGTGATTGATTCTAAGGGTTTAAGGTGTCCTTTGAAATGCCTTCCCCACATGGATTCGAGCGGTGCAGTGGTGTGTCGTACAGTAGTAGTACAAGTAATAGCACAGTAGTAATGCAGTAGTACAATAGTAGTACCGTAATTAGTAGTGACGAAACGCAGATCCCCAAATCACGCAGATTTGTATTAAAAATAAGTTCCCAAATCATGAACCGCAAGGGCTCCCCCTACGGCTGTCTAAAAACTCGCAGCTCGCAAGGGGTGTCCGGTGCCTGTCCCCATAGCAAAATCATCAAATCGCAAGGCGTGTCCCTCGAAAGTAGGGGGTGGGTCGGGTGCGGGGGGGTGGGGTCGGCTGGGGGGCTGGGCTGGCTGGGGCCACGATTTGGCGTCTTGGAATTGGGCTGTGCTGGTGTTGGGGCTGGGGGGATGGCCAGTCCCCGGCTCAATCACCCCAGTGTGGATTGCTTTTCCTAAATCCGTGACCAGACTGAGCCAGGTTTTCTATATCTTGTTTTGCTTCCAAGCAGGAGGCGACGTTGTGATTCGTTTTGTGTAAAGAAGTTTTGGGCCAAGACACACAACAACAGACTTGCACAAAACAGTCACCAAGCAAACACAAACAAGTAGCAACATGCCAAGCGCATGCGAATACTTAAATTGACTAATAGCATCACCCCATTAATACAGGTTAATGTGAGGGTCCTTCTGACTAGTTGATGCGTGTTTCCTGTGCTTATTCGGGCCTGTATCAAAAAATTGTGGCCTTAATGATTAGTGCGTTCTTTGTTGGGCCGACTGATTTTTTTGTAGTTCTCTTCTACGACTGTCCTACTACTGTACTATTACAATACTAATGCACTGCTGTACAGGAGTGTAGGCCGGACGAAAAAAGTTTTCAACATGAAAGGCTTTTAGTGGTGCTATCTTGGAGTGATCGTGGTTTGGATTTTGGTCGTGCCCACACCCCGCTAAACAACTCCAGGTACTCCCACACCCTCGTAATGTACCCCTACTGTACTACCACTTTACTACTACCCTCTTACTACTGTACTTCTGTACTACTATTGCACTGCTACTGTAAAACCTAATGGGACACCCCTTGCGGGCCCCAGGCCCCAACCCCAGCCCACCACCGCATCTGTTAGCAAAATCTGGCGGAAGTGAGCCGCAACCGAGCGGAAAGCCTGTAAATACCGCGTTAAAACAACGGCCAGGGATCCCACACATCTGCGGGCAAAATCTGGCGGAACTGATCCGCCACCGAGCAAAAAGCCTGTAAATACCGCATTAAACAGAGGGCCAGGGATTTCACACATCTGTTGGCAAAATCTGGAGCCAGATTTTGCCAACAGATGTGTGAAATCCCTGGCCCTCTGTTTAATGCGGTATTTACAGGCTTTTTGCTCGGTGGCGGATCACTTCCGCCAGATTTTGCCCGCAGATGTGTGGGATCCCTGGCGGTTGTTTTAACGCGGTATTTACAGGCTTTCTGCTCGGTCGCGGCTCGCAGGGAAGGCTGGGCGTGCGGAAGCAGGCAGGCATGGGCTGGGGGACTGGCGGGTGGGGCGGGCCCTCTCTCCTTGACTACACCCTTTTCTCCCTTCACCCACCCCACCCAGCCTCTCTCCTTGACTACACCCTTTTCTCCCTTCACCCACCCCACCCAACCGCCCCAGCCCCAACAGCCCCAGCCCCAGCAGCCCCCGCAGCCCCAGCCCCAGCAGCCCCCGCAGCCCCAGCCCCAGCAGCCCCAGCCGAGCAGCCCCAGCCCCAGCCCCAGCAGCATTTTATCATGAAGCCTTTTCTGGAAGATCGGCCCGGCAAAATCTTAGAAGACATTTGTGGCACTTGTGGCACGCCCCGGAAAAATCTTATTAAATCTTATTGAATCTTATTAAATCTTATTGAATCTTATTGAATCTTATTAGAATCTTATTGAATCTTATTGGTTCATCATTTTAAAAGGGACACGACTCCAGACCGCCCCAAAAAATCTTATTGAATCTTATTGAATCTTAGAAGACATTTGTACAATTGTGGCACGCCCCGGAAAAATCTTATTGAATCTTATTGAATCTTATTAAATCTTATTAAATCTTATTGAATCTTATTGAATCTTATTGAATCTTATTAAATCTTATTGAATCTTAGTGGTCCATCATGTTTAAAAGGGACACCGACTCCAGACCGCCCCAAAAAATCTTATTGAATCTTATTGAATCTTAGAAGACATTTGTACAATTGTGGCACGCCCCGGAAAAATCTTATTGAATCTTATTGCTAAGCCCTGTTGATCCAAACTTTGTAGTTTTGGCCCCCAGGGGGGGCGGGGGGGAGACCCCCCCGAGTGACCCCCCCCGTGGAAGCGTCTTTTCTTGGATAGATAGATAGAGAGTCTCTTTGCAGGGAGATTATATTAAATCTAATCAGTGTTAGAAAGGAACACAAAACAAATAAAATCTTACTACATCTAGCTAAATCTCATTAAATATTAATTAGTCTTTTGAAAAATTATGAAGTCCCGAGCCCGGTCCCCAGCCCTCGCCCTTGCGCCTTATCAGCCCACCTCCCAGGCCAGCCTCGCCCCCGCGCCAAACTCAAAGCCATGACCCTAGAAGCACATATAGATACCAGATACGACAGCAAACAGCAAAACATATAAAGAGCAAAGACAAAGCACCCACACAAAGCAAAGTTTACAGCGGCGTTCCCTGCTTGAGTCGATGAACACACTACTGTGCTTGTACTGTGCTACTACTGTACTACTATTGCACCAATGTACTACTGTGCTACTGTACTACTGAGTTACTACTGTACTTTGTACTACACGCCACTGTACCGTACCAGGCTTCAAACTTGGTCGATCGTGGGGGTGTTTAGGTTGGAGGCAAAAGTCTTTAACATGAAAGGTTTTTAGTGTTGGTAGTTATCTTGGAGTGATCGCGGCTTGGTTTCAAGTTTTTGGTGATCCCCAAACCCCCCGACCGCGGCGTTCGCGCAGGTTTCAAACCGACCCTGCGACCCCCCATTTCCCTTCTAACTTAACCAAAGCCATTCAGACCCTCAGCCAGCCGAACCCCGGTCCAGGGGGTCACGGACACCAGACTATTCAAGCCAAAAACCTTTGGTCGAGGGGGGGTGGCTATTACACGGCCGCCACATTACAGGTAGCAGAGATACAAGAAGAAGCTCGATGATGCGCAGGTGAATAAACGTAATAGTCCAGTAGTAATGCATGTAATAGTACAGTAGTAATGCAGTAGTAGTACAGTAGTAGTACGGTACGAGGTTTTTAAGTGTACTTGGAGCTGTTTAACGGTTTTGGGGGATCACCAAAGGCCGGAAACCAAAAGCCCCGATCACTCCAAGATACTACCAACACTAAAAACCTTTCATTTTGTAGACTTTTGCCTCCAACGTACACTCCCCTCCACAATCGACCACGTCTGAGGCCCGGTACGGTACAGTAGTAGTACAGTAGTAGTACAACAGGGTAGAGTAGTACAATAGTAGTACTGTAGTACGACAGTCGTACAGTAGTAGTTACAGTGCAGTACGAGGGTTTAGGGGTACTTGGATCTGTCTAGAGAGGTTTGGGGACGACCAACAGTCGAAGCCAACCCACGGTCACTCCACGAGAACTACCAAAACTGCAAACCTTTCACTCTGAAGACTTTTGCCTCCAACCTACACTCCCCTCCACTCGACCACGTCTGAGGCCTGGTGCGGTGCAGTGGTGTGTCGTGCAGTAGTAGTACAAGTACTAGCACGGTAGTAATGCAGTAGTAGTACAGTAGTACAATAGTAGTACCGTCGTAGTACTGTAGCGGTGCCATAGTAGTACAGAAGTATACTTGTAAGAGGGTAGTAGTAAAGTGGTAGTACACTAGTATTAAAGTAGTTGTACAGTAGTAGTACAGTAGTGGTACAGTAGGAGGGTGTGGGAGTACCTGGAGCTGTTTAGCGGGGTGGGCACGACCAAAAGCCCGAAGCCAAGCCACGATCATTCCAAGATAACTACCAAAACTGAATCCCATTCATATTGAAGACCTTAGCACTTTGCCTTTCAGCCATTACCCTTAAACCCTATACCATGGCACTCTGCCTTGTAACCCTAAACCCTAAAACCCTGAAACTCTAACCCTAACCCTCTCATTACCCTCAAACCCCTAATACTATGGCACTCTGCCTTCTAACCCCAAACCCTAAAGACCCTGAAACTGTAAACCCTGTGCCAGGTCTTCTTCATCCTCGTCTTCTCGGAAAAAACCTTAAAAATGTAGAAAAAATACTTTTTTTTGTGTTTTAAAGTTTTTAAACACTTTTAAAAGTTGTTTAAAGTCTTTAAAAGTCTTTCAAAGTCTTTTAAAGTTTGTAAAAGCTTTTAAAAGCTTTTAAAAGTCTTTTAAAAGTCTTTTAAAGTCTTTTAAAGTCTTTTAAATGTCTTTTAAAGTTTTTAAAAGTCTTTTACATATTTTAAAAGCCTTTTAAAGTTTTGAAAAGTCTTTTAAAGTTTGCAAAAGTCTTCTAAAGTTTCTAAAAGTCTTTTAAAGTTTTGAAAAGTTTTTAGAAGGTTTTTTCTTGCATTTTAAAGTTTTTAAAAGTCTGTAAAAGTTTTTAAAAGCCAACTCTGTCGAACAAGCCCTGTGGATCTAAACCCTGTGGTTCTGGTTCGGTGCAAAGGGTCAATGATATTATATATGTATACATACATGTATATATATATATATATACACATATGTATATATATATATATATATATATATATTTATACACATATGTATATATATATATACATATATATATATATATATGTATATATATACACACATGTACATATACATGTACATATATATATATATATATATGTATGTATGTATGTATGTATGTGTGTGTATGTGTGTGTGTATATATATATATACGGAGAGACGTATATTGTTCTTCGCGAGCTCAGGCAGAGGCCGAGGTGCGACTCAGGCTAGGTCTGCTTCGAGGAGGGACAGGTCTTACGCACAAGTGCAGGGCGTTGCGGTTGCCGTCACGCAACTAACTACCGCTGCTGTGAATCAGAAGGGTCCTGAAGCAACGTGAAGTGGACAGTGCTTGTCTTGAGATGCGGGCGATGAAGACGTGATCAGACACTAAAGAACACTCAGACCTGAAGTTCGAGCCTGCCCAGATGTAGAGGCGCTTGTGTCAGTGCCTGGCGTCGCGCAACCGCCTGCGCTCGGTCGGATTCCTAGACACTTTGCTAGCAGCAGCGTGCTCGGCAGGCTTGGGGTGGCCTTTTGATTGAGGGTTTGGGGTGTACCAGTTGTTCATGTCTGCATGGCCGGGACTGTAGATCAGCTCCTCTAGAAGCCCATGACTCCAGAAAAGGCACTGGTGTTGCCTAAACTGGGCGACAAATCACCTCCCGGGATCTTTTTCGTTTCCAAGCCGTCAAACCGGATCTTCTCGGATGGCAGTCGCCGGGGCCCCTCGCGGTGAAGATGGAATGTGCTAAAACACATAATAATAATAATAGTAATAATAATAATAATAATACTAGTAATAATAATAGTAATAATAACAATAATAATAATAAATAATAATAATAATAATAATAATAATAATAATAATAACAACAATAATAATAATGATAATAATAATAATAATAATAATTAAAAATAAATATAATAATAAAAATAATAATAATAATAATAATAATAAAATAATAATAATAATGATAATAATAATAATAATAATTAAAAATAAATAATAATAATAAAAATAATAAAAATAATAATAATAATAATAATAATAATAATATAATAATAATAAAAATAGTAATAATAATAATAATTAACAATTAATAATAATAATATGTGTAATATGTATATATATATATATATATATATATATATGTTTGCCATACATTGACATAAATACACGTGCACAGTCATAGCCGTGAAAAAGCCACAGCCGCCGAAATCTTGGATTAGGGCGCGGTTGCACTGCAGGCTCTCAATCCCACCTTGCGTGACGTGCTCCTATCCCATTTGAAGAAGGCTCGATTCGGGGTGCTATGGATCTAACCTAAGTTTTTGGGGGTTCGGGGGTTACCCTGCGTCCTTTCAGTTCTGCAGTGCAGAAGTTCCGAGCTCGACTTCAGATGAGGATGTTGCTGACACGAGGGGCTGATATCCCAAGTGAGGTTCATTCAGGATGCATCGGAGCCCCTTGACCCGCAGCTTGAGTCCTTAAACTACAGGCTTCCTGCTGATGATTCTTATCAGGTCATCTTGTTGTCGAAACACGTGGCTCTACTGTACAGAAAGATGTCGTCCTTGTCGACGTTGCTGTTCTTGTCAATGTCATTCGCAGTGCAAGGGGCAGGAAGTACCGCCACTCCCGAGCTTGGCCCGGGAGGCCAAAAGACCCTCAAACCCATGCGCCGACTTGCTTATATACTATCGTATAATACAATATACTATAATATAATATATTATAATATAGTATATTATAGTATAGTATAGTTTTATAGTATAATGTTATTCTTGCACCGGCAGATGACATTACTCTGGAGGTGGCAGTGGGTGTACGAAGACGCGTGGGGCACACGGCCTGGAACGTTTGGTACCCGTGCACGCGACCGCGCATGACGCAGCCACACCTCTAAATCTAACCTGACCCCATGCCTGACCGCTAAGAGAAGTTGGAGCCTGCGAGGCCCTCAAACTCCGTGCCCGGAACTTGTTGGAGGCCACCCGCCCGGGAATTGATTTGGACGATTCGGGGCATCTGGGGTTCAGGCATTGGAACGTCAGACGAGTCCGCTTCAGATATCGAGGGTGAAGTTTCCTGATATCACGGTCGATTCTGAGGGGGTTCTTAGTGTAGGGTTCGGAGAGGACCACCCCGTCTTACACACTTGCTCCGAAGCTTCTGACGACACACTTCATCCTGCAGCTCTCTTTTGGGGACAACAGGGCTGCGCGTACACTCGGGAACCCCAAACCCTAAACCTTAAAATGTTAGCCTTGAACATCAACCTTAAACCCCCCTCATACCCGAATCCCTTGCGGCGCTTTAGGGATCTTTAAACCTGAATCCCGACGAACCTCAGCTGGTGAAGCTGGAGACCGGGACAGGAAGGCCTCTTAGCCTCCAAGCAGTAGAGTTCAAAATCCTGAGCCTGTGATAAACTGAAGAAAGACGTTTAAGTTAAAGAAGACGTTTTATGGAGTCCCTGCCAAAGAGAAATGGTCGAGCATGTACTGTTTTGATCCTCAGCCCTGTTTTTTGAACCGTTTGGAACCCCAGACCTGCTTTTCAAGAAGCCCAACACGAAAACCCTATGCAGGGTTGGTCATTGCATGATCCGGCTTGGCTTTAGTGGTTGATGTGTCATCTCCTCCTGCCACCTGGAGCCCGAAACCTGAACTGGGCCGGAGACCATGAACCCTAAATCCTCTTACCCAAAAATTCTATACCTGCCTACACCCCGAAACGCTAAGCCTTCAGCCCTGAACCCCGAAGCCCTCAACCTTAAATCCTGAACCCCTGTACCCCAAGCCTCAACTCCTGAACCCATGAAGCCCCGAGACGTTCGTTGATGTCTTGGCTGTGAGGAGCTGGGGACGCAGGGGAGCAGTCTTGAGGTCAACGAGCAGGCTTCCTGTGACTAAAAACTATTTGCCAGTACTATCACTAATAGTAGCACGAGTACTATTGCTAAGACAGTTGCTGTTACTATGAAAGCCAATAAAATCTATACTTGTATCAGTGAAGTAGTGACCAAAACTGTTTACCAACACTAGTGCGAAGAACGAGTATTATTGCCAGTACGAGTACTAGTACTGTTGGCGATACTATTATCATTACGAGTGCTACTACTAGGGCTAATTTTGTTTGATTCCTTGGCCTTGTCAGGGCACTCACTTGAAGAGCAGGGGATTGGTAAGTAGGATCCAATACTCAGAACCTACCTCCTGTGTTCAGTTTGGCTGCGGCCGAGGGTTGTAGGGGGCTGATCTCTAGTACTAGCACTACTCGTAGTAGTGCCAGGGCTAATACGAGTATCCATAGTACCAGCAGTGCCCGTAGAAGAAGAAGAATCACAAGCAGGAGCAGTAGCAGTAGCAGCAGTAGTAGTAGCAGCAGCAGTAGTAGTAGTAGCAGCAGTGGTAGTAGTAGTAGTAGTAGTAGTAGTAGTAGTAGCAGTAGCAGTAGTAGCAGTAGTAGCAGCAGGAGGAGGAGGAGTAGTAGTAGTAGTGGTCGTCGTCGTGGTGGCGGTGGTGGTGGTGGTGCTACTACACTGGTTGGCAGATTCGCCCTGATGCCACGAAATCGCATCATAGTAGTGTTTCACCTTCGTTGGCCCCTACAGCCATGAGAGGACGAGCCGGAAGCTGCTGAGGAGAATCCTGCATCTTCCCCTCGCCAGGATCGACCAGGGATGCTTTGTGGGTGCTGAGCTCTGGGGTTTGCGTGGAAAGATGCCGACTGTTCAAAGGTGGCGCAGAGAGATTCGTGAAACTTGGCACAGCCTGTACATCTGTGTAAGAATATGAATATATATATATATATATATATATATATATATGTGTGTGTGTGTGTGTCTCACGGTTGGTTGCATACTGATACTGGGTACCCATGAATAATCGTTGTAGAAGGTATGACCATGACAGAAGAAATAAAGATGGCGATAGCAAGAACGGTGCTCGCACAAGCTCTGGAGATGTATTTATTTGTGTATCTGTGTATACATATACACAAAGCATATCGCGCATGCGATTCATACGATGACTGTACTTGGAGGATCATGGGACTTAGTAAGTAAGGTTATAAGTTATAAGTATAGTTACCTTATTTATAACCCTAGTTACTAAGTCCCATGATCCTTTAAGTACTGTATTATACACAACACAAGCAAGGAGGCCGAGACGGCAAGGTCACCCGTGGCAGAGCAGACCGAGGCCACCCTGAATTGCCAAGTTTTCTTCACGACGCTTGGGATATTTGGGGGCTCAGTTTTGGTTGATGGTATATAAGGGGATTAGACTCAGTTCTGGAGTTTAAGGGTAGGGATTTAGGTCCAGTCTCGGGGGGTTTGACGTCTTTAGTGATCGGGTGCATGGGGCCTGAGGCTTTGGATCATGTTTGGCGATAGTTAGGCTAGAGGGGATGACCCCTGAACTGACAATTCTGTGCCGGCAGAGTGCATGAGATGTTCTGTCGCAGCCCGATATGACAAAATCTGTTCAGGGTACTGGGGTGTCTTACGCGAGCTGGTAACTATAGATTGGCGGCATCCCGGCATGTTTTGAATGCTTCGTTGGTTGCTTGCTCGTCTTTGCTGTCAAGGGGTGGAGACCCAGTGCCTTGCGCTTCGTCTCCGTGGCGTTCAGCGCCTCATCCCAGTATCCGTGTCTCAGATTCGTCATCCTCTGCTTCGTGCTCATATCCTTTGCACCGTCAACGTCGCGGTCGTCAGCATCATCATCAGCCCAGCAGCATAACTAGAAAGACCTCAAAGTCTCCTGCAAACTCAGGCGCAATCGTCGCAGGGCCTCCGAAGCGGCGAGCCCGGAGGTTGGCCTGCTCATGTGAAGTCTAGTGCTGGTCTGTTGATGTCCGTCTTTCGATTGATTAATATACTTCCTCCTTATAGACGGTTGAGACGATGCCAACGTCGCTCATGAGTCTGGGAATGCTGGCGATGGGGATAGTCGTGTAACGGCTTAGGCAAACAATAGCGACGATGGCATCGTCCGTTACAATTCTGATGCCTTCTGAGGCTTTGAGGGTTAGAATATCGGGGGTTCGTGGGTTGCCGTGCGATGCTTTGTATGGTTGTTCGTTGATGTCTGGACAAGGAGGACTTAGAAGGCATATAGGAGGCGAGGACTCGAGTTTGTCATTTGCGAGCTTGGCCTTAGTACATATACTGAATATTCTTTTGTAAAATCTTCAAATAATTGAAATAATTGATACGACATTATCGATAAAATTCATACAAATTATGAGAGCTGAGCTTCTCCTCCCTCTTGAGCCTGCCCCGGGTGAACGAGCTTGGTCGTGTCTGGGACTCAAAGAAATCATCTCGAAGTGGCCAGGTGCAGTGGCAGGGATCTCTTCTGCTCTTTGTGCCGGTCCCCCGGACTGTCTGTGGTGACTGCCGAGGACATCACCGTGAGGTGCAATAGTTCATGCGACTGCAGTCAAAAGGACATTGCCATAACACACAGCCAGCTTTTGCGGAGAGAAAGCATGCCTTGGACAGGTTGTCTTGGTATATTTGCCTCATCCCCCTCCTAGACCTCCTCAGAGCTGTCTGGCGTTCTCTTTGTTTGTGTGCGCAGGGGGGGGGGGGGTACTTCCAATGCCTAGGCACTGTCCTTTGACAGCTTCCTGGAGTTTTGGAAGCAGTTGCTGCCACTCTCGCCTGAGTTTGCCTGCAGGGCGCTCTGTGATGAATGAGAGTCTAGCTGGCAAAAGCAGGATCAGAGTCATAAAGCTCCAATTAGAAGTACTCTTGCGGTCATCGGCATGATTGGTCGCTGTCGTTAGATAAACAGCATCGTGTCGTGATATCGCATCAGACAAGCAGCATCATTTTTAGTCTTGCGCATCACCCCAGTTTCGTCATCATTACCATCGATGCCATCGACAGACAGCACCCATTCAGTTTCGATGTTGACCCCATGGTCGTCCAAAGCCTACTGCGCCTGTGCTACATGCAGATGAAGTATCAGACGCCAATTGAATTTGTCAACATGTACCTTATGGAGGGGGCCTCGAGCAATCGCTGCTTCTGTAGACCTGTGTACACGACCGTCTTATGATGAGTTGTTTGCTGCTAACTCTTCGATGCTAGCTTGTACACGCACCTCGTAACAGTCGTTTGTCTCCTGTAGCTTGTTGTATAATATAATATTATATAATATAATAGAGTATAATACAATATAATATAATATAATATAATATAATTGTTGTAGAGCTGGGTAGTGACGCTTCTTCCTTTTGTCTGTCAGTCACACCCATCCATTTTGGCAGGGGCTTGGTACTCGTCATGGCCAACCACATGAGCGACTACTCGCTCCGGGCACGGGCCACGGGGACTTTCGTTGCTCAATGCCCTCCGCACCCCAGTCCCAAGTTCAGCACCCTGACTCTTCTCCAAAGCCATTTCCAAGCCTTCCCGTTCCGTCAGATTTACAGCGTCGTGGAAGAGGCTCGGTGACACGCTTGGGCACAGGATTCTCACTTCCCGGGTGCAGGAAAGCCCTGTCGAGAGGGGTCGTGTATTGGTGCGGGAAGGGGAACCGACCTGACGGTTTCGTTATGCTTTGACGTCTCCAATCCCAAGGCTCTAGTGGATTTCGGTCGGATGTCATGTCCGGGGAGAGGGAGCACTGCTGCACATTCACGACCTTGCATTCGTGGACAGATGTTGGGAATTTAAGGCTTCGACTGTTCAGGACAGGGGGTTTGGAGCTTCTGCCTTCACGCTTGTCTTAAGCTCAAACTACCCGATGAAAAGCAACATGAGAGGCCAAGACCCGGCAGACGGATGAGACAGCTGCCAAGTTGCTGCTGGAGGTCATAGCAACGGCCCTACTTGCAACCTGTATGTTCGTTTGACTTGCATGCACAAGCCCGTGCTCGAAGCTTTGCCCTACTTGGTTGACTGCGTTACCTTCGTTTTTCTTTTTGTGTGACGAACTGCCATCCTGCTTGTTTAGCAACCGTTCATTCCAGCCTTGGTTTGCCCTTGCGTGCTGAATTCAAATCGACCAGTTACCTAAATGATGCGTCCGACGGGATCTACGACTGGGCTGACAAACCCAGAAGGCAGTCTCAATGCCGGCAATGCCGAACCTTCGGCATGTAGCCCTCAAGGTTCGAAGCAGTGTCGCTCTTGGGCTGAACTTCTTTGCTGAGCAACACGACAGTCGGGGTGGGGGGGGCGCGCAAAATGACACACTTGCGCCCAGCAGCTTAAACGGCACATGAAGCCATGATGCGTCGCGACGTAGCAGTGCCATAGCAGTGGTTACCGGTTACCGGTGTTGGTGGGTCAGTTCCGTGTCTCAGCCAAACCTCTGACCCAGGCTGTGGAGCTTCAGAGGCTTCAGGAGGCAAGCTTCGCTTCGGGTTTCGGAAGTTTCGGAGTTTCGGCTTCAAGGACTCTGGGGCAAAGAGATCGAAGCCTGACAGAGGGTCTTTGAGATACAGGAATTTGGGAAGTTTAGGGGCTTCAATTTTTTCAGAACGCATTACAAGTTATCAAGTGTGACAGCGTTGCCCAAAAAATCTTTCCGAGACTGTCCAGCTTCTGTGCACAGACTACAGGCGTCTCGATAGTTAGCCCCTGGTGGTAGTTCATTACAGTATGTTATAGCATCTGCTATCCCAAAAGTCCAGGCCCCTTTTGCCTGAGATCCCAGAGCAATCAAACCTCAGGGTAGTCTGGGATACCCAGCTTTGACAGCAAACACGGTGTTGCCTGCAAATAGTAGAGGATCCTCATTTTGGTACCCTAAATAGTAGGATCCTCATTTTAGTACCCTAAATAGTGGGATCCTTATAGTACCCTAAATCGGTCATTGCCCACGGAAGTTGCAAAGAAGCTTTCAGAACCGGGCTCCGCTCCGACTCTTGAGTTACTATACGGGCTTAAATAAATACCAGTATATACTAGTTTGGGGGGTTCCTGATTATAACTATGGTGCTATTTTGGGGGTTCCTTATTATAAAGATAGTACTATTCTGGGGTTCCTTGTTCCTTATTATAGTACTATTCTGGGGCTCCTTATTAGAATTATAGTACTATTCTGGGGTTCCTCATTAGAATTATAGTACAACGGGCCCCGAAACCCCATTCTAAGTATTGAGGCCCCTATAATAAGCTAGCCATGCCAGGTGACGGTGACACAGGCCTTCAAGATTGCGGGTGCGTTGCTCCAGGCCAATTTTTAGCTTGCTGCTGTTCCGGAGAATACCACTGCCAAGACAAGTCATATCCCAAGCTCAGGCTGATTGTGAGTGTCCGTGACATGTCTATTCGGTGCAACAGATCCGACTCTTCCCCTCCACTTCTGCACCACAAAGGGAAGGTTTTTGCTGGCTAACACCTTCACCCTCATATTCTGAAGGCTCTGAGACACCTAGACACTAGACCCGAAGCCCAAATGACTCCACAAAGGCCTGAAAACACAGAAGCTCCCAACGTAACAGCAGCACAAAAGCATGCAACTCTGTACCCTTAAACGTTTAAACTTGAAACCGGGAACTCCCCACTGCACACCTTCACCCAAAACCCTAAATCCCAAACCTCAAGCCCAAGCCTTAAACCATCTTAAGCCCAACCCCAAACCCCAAGTCTTCAACCCTCCACACCCTACTAACTAGTACACCCCACACCCTGAACCCAAAATACCCCAAAGCTTAAGCCCCAAACTCCTCAGCCCTAAACCCCAAAGCTTAAACCCCAAACTCCTCACCCGTAAACCCCAAACCCAAACTCCTAAACCCTAAACCCGTGAGCGAAGCAGAAGTCACGATTCCGGATGATGTCTTCGAAGTGATGCAGTGAGTGACTAAGTGTTGGGCCTTCCATGAACAGCAATGTGGGCCCCTTGTGAGGCAGGCAATTTCCTGCTCGGCTTGCGTGGAGCAGAGAGAAAGAGCCATTGTACCTTTAAAAAAAACTAAACCCTACGCCCCAAAAGCCCAAAAGCCTTGCGCCCTAAACCCAAGAAGCCCTCCACCCTAGCAAACTTTGATCAAAGGGGAGAAGGAGGGACCCTTAATGGGGACCCCTACCCTGTAATGGGCTATATAATGGGTATGCAATAGCTATATTAACCCTATCCCTCCAAGGACCTCATAGATAGGGCCCTAGACCCCTTAAGGACCCCATAATAAGATCCCTGGAGGCATAGGGTAAGGGTATAAACCTACTTGGAGGGTCGGGGGACTTAGTAAGTAGGTAGCAAGTAGACTTATAAGTACCCTAAAAAGGGACCCTAATTGGGGTTATGCTACTTATAAGTCCCTAAAATAACCAGTTACTAAGTCCCCCTAAACCCTAAACCCTTATAGAATCCCTATAGATCCCTTTAAAGGGCCCTTAAGGAACCCCCTTATAGTTACTAAGTCCCCTGCCCTTCCAAGTATTAACTCGGAAGCTTCCGGAGGCTCGGAAGGCCGAGCATCAAGGCGGAAGTTGGGCAGGGAAAGAGGTTTTGGTTTAGGGTTTAGGGTTTAGAGTTTGGGGTTTAGGGTTTGGGGGGTTTTGAGTTTTGGGTTTAGGGTTTAGGGGTTTTGGGTTTAGGGTTTAGGGTAGGGGCTTAAATAATCACCAATATACTATTTTGAGGGGTTCCTTATTACATCTACCGTTAGGGTTTAGGAGGTTTAGGGTTTTGGGTAGTTGTTTAGAAGTTTGGGGTTTAGGGGGTCAGGGGTTTTAGACGTTTTTAGTCTAGGGGGTTATTGAGTTTAGAAGTCTAGGGTTTTGTGGTTTAAGTCTTTAGATGGGGTTTGCATAAGGGCCACGCGGTCGCTTCCGGGTTATTCAAGGTGCTAATGTGGTCTCTTTAAATGTCGAACAGTGTTTTTTTCAAGCGGTCGGGTCGTTTTCCTCAGTGCTCCTCCCGCGGGGCTCTTCGGTTGTTTAGGCAATTGGGTTCCGGGTGGTGGTAAAATGGAGTTCTTTGTTTTAGGCTCATCTTGATTTTTGGCAGTTCATTGTGGCAGCAAGCGCCGCAAAGTTCAGTCGCGAGAGAAAAGCTGCAACTGTTTTAGGCTCATATAGTGGCCTTAATAGGCTTTGGGGTTATACTTAAATTTATAAATACAAAAAGGGATCCACCCAAACAAAAAAAATGACTACTCCATGTATTAAGGCCCCTGCAGTACTGATACTTTTCAGGCAACCTTTGCAGGCTTGCTCTTAAGCCCGAAAACGTTGGTCTTGAAGCTTGAGTTGAGGACCCGAAGTTTGTGACATCTGTAGGGTTTGGGGGGGTTACTAAAGTAATTGTAGTATAACAAACCCCGAAACCCTATTGACTTGAGGCCCCTATATTAGCAAGCGTGCCCTCTGCTCTACCGAAGACGCACGGTAGTAAAGAGTCCGGCCATGATGTTCATGACGGTGATGTGATGGTGATGATGGTAATGAGAATGGTCGTGATGACGGTAAGTAATCGCCACCGTGCAAATGAAAGACATCTCGCTTCAAGCCTAACAGCCTGCAAAGCTGTCACCAAAAGCTCCCTGCCACAGGGCTGAAAATGGTCGACTGGAATCTCTTCTTGGACTCCACGCAGACCATGCTCGGCCAGGTTAGCTGCCAGCATGTCCGCCCTCGAATCGTCTTTATGTGCACCACGGCGTAACACACTCTGTCGTGAAGGTGTGTTTTGGATCCATTCCCCAGCTCCCCCAGCTCGTCGCTGGCATCCATCGTCGACCTCATCTTTCCAACATGTTCAACAGTGCTTTCAATACTGCTGGTCGTACGGTGCACAGAACTGGAGCTTTCAAACACGGCAGAGATCCACCAAAGCAGTCACCTCCTACCCCCTGGAGGTGCAGGAGGTGCAGAAGCAGTGCTACCAAAAGATGAAGCTCAATGATGCATCTGCTTCTCGGACGCATGAACTTCACGGTGCGAGTTGATACCCAAGGTTGCCGAAACTGAAAATTTAAGCACAAAGTCATGACCTGCTCTTGAAGCCGTTGTTGCTACCACGACATGAGGGCTATGATTCTGCCAGTCAACCTGTTGCATGCCGTTGCTGCAAGCCGTCTCTCACTCTGTCTCCTCTCATTGTTGCTATCCGTTTAATCCTACACACACATCTCCATCCGATCTCTCTGTCCCTCCAGCCGCGTCCCGCTCAGTAGTACTTCCGCTCCTGCATCCGATGGTGGATTTGCACAGGCAGTATTATGCTGAATAGCGTAGCCTGGGACAGATTTTGTGCTGACCGTGCGATTTGCCAGGGGGCGGTAGATGTCCATGCGGGGCTGCGCGCCACCATGAACGCCCAGACGAAGAGCATCATCGAGGACAGTTCAGGTTCACGGTTCAAGAGGATACTTCGGTTTATGTCCGTGGAACTGTACTTTGCGGGTAGATTAGATCCAAGTGGGTGCTCAGCAGCAGCAGTGCCAGTGTTTGCCACTTTCATGCAGAGTCAGGTTGCTGCATGTGAGCCCAGCCTTGTCCTTTTCCATGGTTCCCCCAAAACGGATATAGGTATAGGGCTCTGTCAATTATTTCTAAAAGAACAAGGGTGTGTGAGCCTGCAGCCAGTAAGCTGGTCAGGAGTTTCACCAGAAGTGCATGGTGCAAACGTGCTGCCGGCCTGTCAGCGAGCTCTCCATGTCCTCGCCTTCGCGCATTTGCGGCGTCAGTCTAGTCTTGTTGGCTTATTTTCAGGCTGCATCGAACGGTGCAACTTGCAGTGAATCCGACCGGTGAGGTAGATTTGCTTGCTAATGCTAAATTCGAGAACTATGTGACTATGCTGCATTCCTCGGGCGCCAGGAAACAGGTACTTGAGCAGGAGAGATGGGAACGCACCGATGCGGTCGTCTCAGAAGCTTACGGTTCAGGGCTTAAGGGCTAGGGCAGTTCAGGGTTTCGGGGGCTATTGGACTCGCGATCCCGGTCCGACACTGCTTGTGATATCAACCAAGAGGGCACGAAATGCACGAAGAACGAGCATCAAGCAACACAGATCAAGCGCTTGATCGGAGCTTCAGGACGACAGCAAGTAAGGATAACACGTAAGTTCTGAACACCTAGCAACTTAGCTTCTATGCCCAGCCCGATTCCTCAAATCCATGTAAGGTTTTAGCCTTTAGGGCATAGGGTTCTCTGAGCTTTATACAGTTTCCTGAACCCCACATAATATCCCCGGCCCAAACCTCTGCACACACGGCATGCGCTTCGCTGCACTAACCTAACCCTACACCCTATACATCAGAATACCCCCAAACCCTAAATTTTAACCGTGAAAGACCAGGTTCCTGTTCAGTACCGGCGAATCGTCAACCGCCTCCTTGGTGCTGACAGCCTGTGGCCATTGCATGTTTCAGTTCGGTTCCTGTAACATAGGGGTTGCTGTGGTTAGTCGAAGACACATGACAAGGAGTCGTCGTCGCAGTAGCAGTAGCAGTGGCGGTCTCGCAATCGCAGTAGCAGTAGCGATAGCAGTAGGAGTAGGAGTAGGAGTAGGAGTAGGAGTAGGAGTAGGAGTAGGAGTAGGAGCAGGAGCAGTAGCAGTAGTAGTAGTAGTAGTAGTAGTAGTAGTAGTAGTAGTAGTAGTAGTAGTAGTAGTAGTAGCAGTAGCAGTAGCAGTAGCAGTAGCAGTAGCAGTAGCAGTAGCAGTAGCAGTAGCAGTAGCAGTCGTCGTCGTCTTCGTCGTCGTCTTCGTCGTCGTCGTCGTGGTCGTGCTGCTGCTGCTGCTGCTGCTGCTGCTGCTGCTGCTGCTGGAGAATGACAGCAGCGACAGCCTCATCGCCGGACTAGACTGGTTGTTAGGTTTACTGTTTTGCTGGCTGTCATTATTCCAGATGTTATGTTTTCTTAGAGTTATAATTACGGTACTTCGCTCACCGCTTTATTACTGTCTTTGAGCCGAGCACGCTGAACGGTGATGTCAATGCCCCGAGTTGCCAGCTCATCGCCGGACTAGAGCGGTTACTCGCGTACTGATTTTGTTGGTGTATATATTTGCGGCTGTCATGAACATTGTCATGACTGCTGTTCTTTCTTGCTGTGTTGCTTTCTCAGAGTTAACCACCGGTACTTCAGGCACTCGCCGCATCATTGCTGAATCATGTTAACATCGAATTGTGATGTCAAAGCCCCAACTTGCCAGGTCAGCACCGCAGGGTGATGGTAGCCCAGAGCTCAGCAAAGTTTTCTGGTCTGAAGGACAGATTCTTGCGTTTTTTTTTTGCTGGCTGGAGGGTCGGACGTATCCCTACATAGCACCGCACCCTCGGGGTAGTTCGATAATTGCTGAAATAGCATCGCCAACAAGCAGACAGCCCGCCCTTAAGAAGTTATCGGAGCAATGTGCTCTTTCAAGCCAAGGTCAAGCGGAGGAGGGTCTCACCCCGTCCGCGTCGGCCCGCTTATTTGCTGTGGTTCTGTTGCTGATTATGGCCAGGGATGTGTCAGGATATCATCGGCAAAAACAAAAGTATCGCAGCACCAGCTGCCAGGTCGGTGAGCGTTCATGAACATGTCTACCATGCGAAGATATACGAAGTGCGAATGCCATCTCCGCACAACGACCAGTATGCCACCGCACTTGGCAGGCAGTCGGTGGAGCGATACTTGCACGTTGAGGGCACCCACTTCTTGGTCGTCCCTGCAGTGCCTGGCTCAGAAGCTTATGTCTATTTGTCTATTTCGGGTCCTCAGGGAGGCTTGACTTCTCGGCGAGCCTGCTTGGACTCCGTTAGCATAGGGAAATCACTGAGAATACCCGCCCCCAGCCCCTAATGCACCCACCGCCAAATAGCACCGGTCGTCAATTATGGACTGGGAGCAGAATCACGCGGATTCAAGCACATGCCGCATCAACGAGGTGGCGAACTGCTGTGCCATGTTTTGCCAGCCCATGGTTCCACGAAATTCGGGCCTCGCCAAGCGCAGCGCAGCCTTGTGTGGTTGCGTGAAGGCTTTTTGTTGATAGTTTCATGGAACTTCAGGGCCAACCGCATACATGGTCATGGGGTATAAGGGGGCCGTCATGGCAAGCCGAGAGTGGACGGGAAGTGTTCAAGCAACTGAACCTCACTGAAGCGCTGGCAAGCCTCCATTTCTGCTTTTGCTCGCTGAATCCAACAACGCAGAACCTTACCACCATTGCCTGAGTTGCCAAGGTGCTAACCTTGGTTCAGCTGCTCGGGGATTATGTCAGCCTCTGCTGGAAGCCTAAAGGGGCCGATTTGCCAAGTGTTCTTCAGATCGCCTGACTTTTTTCGGACTTGGGGACATACAAGTGTCTGTTTCTCGGCCTCGGAGTGTTGGTGAGCTGGCATCTGTCCAACTCCACAAGCCCGAGCCTCCCGAGGCCATGACTTCAGTGACATGATGGCAGAGATTGTGCAACAAGCTCGGGCACTGCGCAGAGCATAGTGCCATAGAGGTGTGACGGCAGAGGCATCTAATGTCGCAGACCTTACTCTTGTTATTGTTGATACTATACTGTCGGTGATCTGAATACATACTTCGTGTGCTTACAACTTCCCATAATCATGTGTTTACAGCTCTTCCCTCCTTCCTCCGTCCCTCTCTCCATCCTTCCCTGTTTTTTTTCCTTCCTTCATTCCGTCTTTCCTTCTTCCCTTCCGGCCTTCCCTCCTTCCTTCCTTCGCGCTCTCGCTCTCGCTCCCTCTCTCCCTCTCTCTGCTTTTTGTCTCCGCTTTCTGCACCTATGTCCCCTTCTCTCCCAGTGTTGTTCCCGTCGTGTCGGTTTGCTTCTATGACCTTGGTGTACAGAGGGGTCTACATGGCTGCATAGCTTCTAGGTTATGACACCCACCGAGTCTGGCAAGGCAACGCATGTGCCAGCTCCTGCGGCTCTTCAACATGCGGGCACAATGCTTAGGACGCCTGTGTGGCAGTGGAGTTCATCTGAGTCTGAATATGCAAAGAAGGAAGTACACGATCAATCAGAGATCTGTGGCAGTAAGAACCTCTGTCAGCAGAAGCAGCCATAAGAGTTGTAATTGCAGCTGTAACTACAATTGCAGTTGCTACTGCAGCAACAGCACAAAGTAGCATGCTCCAGTGTACAACGACGCAGTGCTGCTCGGAACACTTCGAACAACCATCCGCAGAACATGGGCACCAGCAACATACTTGGCCGTGTGACAACCCTGATAAGAACAGTAGCGAAAGGCGCAATCGTTTGATTCCAGGAGAAAGAGCATCATAGCAGTCCTAGTCATAGTCAACACAGTGAACACAGTAAAATAGACTGAAGGCCGAGAACATGAAGAGAGCTTGGCAAGTGGGGTTGCTAGTTGGGTAGAGGCTTGCACATGGCAATCCTTCCAGACCATGTAACATTGAAGAACTGAGTCCAGGTATGGCAAGCTTAGGGTACTGCCAGGGCGGTGGACTAGGATGCCAGGTTTGGACCCCAGTGAATGTGAAGCTCTTGCTCCAAAAGGCCCGTTGAAAGTATACATGCTAATTAGAGTATAGGGTTTTGGCTTAGCTGATTCTTCAGCAATTCTTTGATAGATTGATTCTTCCCGTATTCTCTAATAGATTTCTGGGTGTTAGCTGGTTCCTTCCACTTTTTTTTATAGTTACAATGCTGCGGGTGTGAAGAGCCGTTTCCCAGCTCTTCGCCTCCATGGCCCTTAGTGCACCAAAAAAGGGTGTCACGGTTTATCAAAGGGGAAGGACCCCCCATTATATAGCCCATTATAGGGTAGGGGTCCCCATTAAGGGTCCCTCTTTTTCCCCTTTGAATTTAAGTAATCTTGACTGAGGCACAGAAGCTGGTGCTCAACGGCCAGGCCGTGCAGCACAAGGTGCAAACCGAGCTCTATTTCGTTCTGACCCGGTGAAGATAAAACCTTACTGAAACAGAGAAACAATCCCTGAGCCTTCTGAGCAAAACCAACACTCGCATGTCTTACAACCTTCGATCGGTCTCATAGCCTGAACAAACTTCAACCAGGTGCTTCCGAAGATTACCGCCGCGAACTTGGCCCTTTGCAGCCAGTGCCCGGGATCCCAGCAGAAGTGATTGAGTTACTATTACCATACCTTGACTACTCTTGCTTGCGACCATGGTGCCAGGACAAGCTATTTGGAAGAAGGGGAATCTGGGAGTTGAGGGCCCGGCAGGTTTGCCATTGATTCCGCATCATCATCCCTCGCAGTGTCATGCAGAGGATGCAAAGAAATTGGGTTGGGCGATGCTTGTGTGTGTGTTTGTGTGTGAGAGATGTCTAGTGATGGGCTTGACCACAATGAACTTCAGGGCGATACCAGGATTCGAGACTGAGGGTTCGATGAAGGGCGAAGGACACTTGCCGAACCGAACGTGCGGAGTGCAAAGATTCCGAATGATTGGTGAGCAGTACCGACGCGTGAACACCTGGAGTCCTCAAGTACGCGGCGCGTTCAGCGGAACTTTTACCACAGGCCGAAACCGGAACCCGATACCAACACATCCAACACCTACGATGTTGACTCCGAGTGGTATGTATAGACTGAGGGCACAATAACCGTTATGTGTGTGTACATAGGCACATATGTATGCATGTCCTTGAAGATTCTGTAGCGAATATATGATACATAGTGCAGCTTAAGTCACATCCAAACCTTAAGCCGTCAACTCGAGGCTGCGCCGTGGTGATGCAACTCCTTCCGCCGGCCTCACACGTATTGACGTCGCCGAGTGTAGTATGTCTTGTTGGGCTTGAATTTGGATCGAGCATACACGCTGTATCAGTCATGAGAAGAAGCCCCTTTTCAGGCTAAGATTTAAAGCTTGAGCACCCATTTTTCGATTGGCTCCGGGCATTGGCTTTATTGTTCCAAGAGGTTAGATTTTTCCGACACAGGCCGTAGATTTTCGTCAGCCCCGACTCCTGTGTCTGTTGTCACAGTACTTGGATTTGCCACCACCGGTTCAAGTCTCTGAAACTAAAATCGCCAGAGATTCTCCGAAAATTTCCCGACGCCCTCAAACCTGAGACAAGAATCCAGCCTCCGAGATTGCACTGGGCAGATAGATCCCAAACCCTCAGCCCTGAACCCCAATCCTCTAAACCCTCCCTGCACTTCCTACGGGCTTTGAGCCCAAAACCCTCTGAAATTGAAATCCTCAAACCCTGCACTCCTTTGAGATTCTGCTTTGTTGCCAGGTTGCTCCAGACCCGCCTCAATGAGATCTCTCGCAGCGCCCACGGCGAGGCGCGCGGAGCCATGGTGCCCGGCCCCAGAAGCAGCAGAAGGGCGAGGTTGGTCAAGATTTAGGGTTTAAGATGTCATCTTTTGTACTATACTATACTATATTAGACTATATATTATACTATACTACACTAGATGTTACACGTTTAAGGTGTCGTACATAGAACCGGCTTATAACGAGAAGAGTATGTAGAAGTGATGACACGGTTCATCATACTCACAATAAGAAGAGCGGTACCAGCAAAGGCATCAGCAGTAACAAGAAGAACAACCGCAGCAACTAGCCAGTACGACTTTAATAGTCATCATGACACAAGTAGAAGTGCATGCAGATAGTAACACTCGCGATGTCTCGCGATAGACAATCAAGTTTGTTGGTGCAGTCCCGATGTACCTTCAATGTGGCTGCAATCAGCTTGACTCAAGTTTTTCGTAGAAGAAAGGCCCGCCACATCAACCCTTTCAGCTGCTACTCATACAACGCCAACAAGCTCGACTTGCTTTGTTTGCACGCCAGTCCAAGGTCGCGGCATTGCTCAGTGACCTCTCCAAGATAGTCACAGTCGGGGCCCTGCTGCTGCTGAGCATGTGTGACTTACGACAAGGCTGTTTGCCCCTGATGGAGCTCCTAAGATGCCGATTCCCACGTACAGTACAAGGGGACATGGTTTCGTCGAGCACAAGGCTGATTTAGATGTAGGCTTCTAGCCAAGTTTCAAGCTGGTCCAAGCTGTGATGTGACAGCATGACCGTGTTTTCCTTTGAGACAACACACCCCAACCTTACCGCTTCGACATAGCTGAAGCCTTCGGGATCCGAAAGCCCTCAAGCCCTGATCTTAATGGTTTAAGGCTTTGGGCATATATATATATATATATATATATATGTTTATTTGTTTATTTATTTATTTATCTATTTAAGTATTTATTTATACTATACTATACTAGATTAGATTATGCTATATTATACTATATATGTAGACATCAGGAGTACACCGAGCATCGGACGGCACTCTTCGGGAAGCTCAGCGTCCCGCCCTCGGCAGTTGCAGAAGCTCCGTTAGCTCGGGGTTTAGGGTTTAGGGTTTAGGGGAGACGACGAGCGCTGGTTCCGGAATCATTAGGAGAGCCTCTGTCTAACAGATGCATATGTACACCATCACGTAGGAGTTGTGTTATATATGTTTATAAATGGTCGTTAATGTACAAGCAGAGGTATTATGTAGAATTTGCGTGTTTGTATATGTATGTACGTATGTGTATACATATATATATATACATACATATCATAAAATATACACGCACTCATGCACATACACACAAATGGAATATGTATTTGGACCCTGTAGGCTGCCTGGTCTAGTTGAGTACCGTTCGTTGCTGGAAGTTTGTTGTTTCTCGGAAGATGTTCCGAAACGATCAGGTGTCGCCACAACCTTCCTCCTAGTCCTTGGCAAATCACTCCAAGCCTTTCTTCCAGCTCGCCCTACAAGCCGCATTCCGGAGGCTCATGGGGGTTGGTGCCCTTGGGATTTAGCGTATACCCTAAACCCTTAACCGTTGTCCGAGACACCCAGGATCTTCTCAAAAATGCCTACGAGAACCATGCCAAGAGGTGGCTCGGTGTCGGGGCCTCGGCTCTCAAAGAACTCCTTCAAGTCCTCGAAGGACTTTTGGGGCCTAGGCAGAAACAGGTCGTGCCAAGATTCTAGTAGACTTATATGGAATATAGGGTTTAGGGTACTTACATGTAGAAGTACGTGTGCATTATGTTATCGTACGTGTATGTCGACTCAGATGTGGCCTGGAGCCTCGGAAACTATTAGCATCGCCCTTCGTTAGCTCCATGCCGTTATATATAAGCACCACACCCTGTACCCCCTGACGTGACTTGATGTTGCGAGGGTGGACGGCTACGTTCCTTTTATAGGAGGCAGGCCCCGAACCATGTTGCTCCGCGAGGCACCACATGGGCGGCAAGGCGATCCGAGCCTTTTTCAGGTCCGGGCAGCGAAGTCAGTCTGAACAGAGAGCACATACCTTCATACAGACGTATGCGTGTATGTATGTGCATGTGTATGCAGGTCTGTCTACATGTTTATATGTACATGCGCATGTGTGTGTGTGTGCATATTTGTGTTGGTCAGATAGGTCGATAGGTAGATTAGATAGATAAATGGACAGACTGGTACATCTCTGCTAGACGTTTGTGTAGACGGTTTCTGGCTGGTACTTGCAGCATAGCTTTGATGATGGTTTGACATTGACAGCTACGGGGTTTTCAGGCATTCCGCGGGCGAATGAAGCCTGACAAGCAAGTATTGTGTATGTTGAGCTGAAACGCCCTGAGACCCAAGGCAGTATGTTATAATATACTTTGGTTTGTTTAGTATCTTATAGTACATACTTTCAGCGCGCATATTTACTGCCTGATGGCATTTCGTAGAAGCACCCGCAAATTTCGCATGCTTGCTATACTGGATGTCCATGGCAGTTTGATGACTGTCTGGTCCGGGAGTGTTGTTGGCATAGTTTTTCTGGTTGTTGGTTCTTGGATTCCTCCTAAACCCACGAAAGCCTCATATAAAGCCTGGTCCTATTTAACCACAAATCCGTTGGAGCCTTGATCCAGCAATTTAAAGCTAACGTAAAGCCCTGTGAATCATCAGGATCTGCATGAATCCCTGTCTCGAACCCACGACGCCATTTTTCGGGACACCATGAAATACCTTTGGACCCCAGCTGCGAAACACGCAGCGTAAGCCATAAAGTCCCAAACCTCCAACCATCAGATCCTCAATCTTACCCCCAGGTTCCCAAAGTGCGTTTTTTCTAGTTCACGGGTGAAGACGGGTGACGACTTTGTTCCTTGAGTTTGCTGGGGGGCAGGGCGAGGATGCCGTCGCGAGGCTGCAAAAGAGCGAGCCCAGGCCTCGGATTTGGGGATTTATGTAAGGCTCCAATTTCAGTTTTTTGTTGTTCTTTATAGCTGCGTAACGAGGGTTTTGGGTGTGCCTTGGGGATTTATGGCTTTAGCAGCGGATTATCGGGGGGTGGAATTGAGGTTACTTGGCCGTCCATACGAATTCTAATATATGAAATCAGTCATCAGCAACAGCAGTAAAATCCATAATGTTGATACGCCTAGCGAGAGCTTTTAACAGTAGGACCCATCTCAGTGCCACCAGGTGAGCGTCGCACAAGAACTCAGGTCCATTGCGAATGGCCACGAAGCTCTGGAAGGTCTCGTGAAGGAGGGCTGGATAGTAGGGTTTAGGGTTTGGGGTTTCGGGTTTAGGGGGTTTAGGGTTTAGGGTTTGGCGTTTAGGGTTTAGGGGGTTTAGGGTTTGGGCCGTCGTCACATGTGCATTGAACGAGGTACCTTGAAACTTGTCGAGTTTGTGAAACAACGTGTGTTATTCCGTATCGGAGCACACTGCCGCGAATTGTGACAGCCAGCTCGGAATCTTAATTACGACCAATTTACAATCGGCATGGAGACATCCTGTGGTTAACAGCTTGCTGGTTCGAGGTGCCAGCACCTGCATCAGTAGTTGCAAAGGCATTCATTCCTCAGATTCGGGTTGACGGTTCAGGGTGAGACGAGGGTGGATAAAATCATAAGCAGTACGGCTTGATGAGCCCACTGTAGGGGCGGGCGTAATTTATCCTATTTCCTCTATCCAAACCCTAAGCGAAAAATCCCAAATCTTCACCTCCAAATCCAAACCCAATGCGGCACCTACAGAATGTCTAGTAGCTACCTCAGAGCGATTGCGGAAGGACGTCACCGCCATGTACCGAGTCCTACTGCGGAATCTCAACTACGACAGTGTGAGGCTCCGAAGTTTTTATGTGGCAAGCTTATTCATTTTGGGGTTTCGGGTGTGAGGTACATCGCGCAGCCAATGGCTCGCTCAGAATCAGGGAGTACTGAGGACAAAATTCGGCAATTCGGATGCAGAGTGTTCCGTCCCCGCTGTTGCAGGGATGCAAGCATCTAGGCCCCAGGCAACAGAACTCCGTGCACTTGCTGATGCTGTGATGGACTGTGACTGTGGCGCCATGGGCGATTCTGTGGTGGAGTGTGGGGTCAGACGTTCGGCACCTTGGGTTCAACCTGCCAGTTTACGGAGCGTAGCTACACATAAGCCAGTTATTGAGCCGTCTCAGTCCTAAACTGGTCCTTAAAGTAGACATGCCCGCTGCGGGCTGCAGGCGGATCTTTGCACGCGCGTTCGAGGACATCGCCTCCGTGTTTCAGCAGAGGCTGACCTGCATGTAGGGGTGTTGTGGGTTGTTACGCATCCTGAGCTCGGCGATGTTCATGGCTAGCTTTCGTAGCATGCTTGGAGAAGCCAGCAGAACATCCAAAAAAAAGCCTTCTTCACCTGGTCCTGGCTGTAGTTGTTTGTGCAACACTCCGGTCCTTTTACCCCGAACCTGTCAGGTTGGATCAAGACATTGCGGCCCCTTCGACGAACTACTCCGACGGCTTGTGGCCCAGCAACGAGAAGCGCTTTTTCCTGCAGCCTATCCGCGCCAACCGCTGTGCACCACCTTGTTGTATAGTACTGTTTGTAAAGTACATATAGTATCAGACCGTGCTCACAATGCAGAGGGTAAGGCTGTAGGTATCAAGGCTCTACCCGAATTCCTTTGCCGAGGTGTTGGCTGCTCGCTTGGCGACCGGCTGCTGCTAGTTGCAGCCTTGGGCATTTCAACTGTGGGATCCGGTTCGGCACTATGTGGGGGCTGTTCTAAATTATGGTCCCTTTTTGGGCCCTATAGTAGTATAGTCCCTATTATAAAGGGTACCCCAAAAGGGACCATAATTTAGAACAACCCCCATGTAGGGTAGGTGGGAGGGCCTTAAACCCTAAACCCTAAACCCTACACCTTCAACCGCCGAACTCTGGAGTCCGAGGCCCCAGGAAGCCTCGGCGTTTCCGTCCTGCTGAAGTCTTACTAGAAAACCGTTACGAAGACTGTCACTGTTGTGGTGATTTTGATTCTTCTTATGTCTGGTAGTTCTCTTGCTGCCTCTTGGAGTGTGGTTTTGCCGGGGCTGGTTAGGCTCAGGCCTCCCCGCAACTCCTCCCGGCCTCCCTTCCCCCTGGTCGCCACGCGACTTTTCTTTTCGAGCTCCAGGTTTCGAGCCTTGAAACCTGGGCCTGCACAGCCAATGCCTAATCTAGTGGCCTTAATTATTAGAATCGGGTTCTGGGGGTTCCTTACCATAACTATTAAAATCATAGTATGATATCCCCCAAAACCCTATTCTAATAATTAAGGCCTCTACATTGCGCTTCTCAGGACTTTGCTTACCTCTACACAGAGCTGGAGAAGCTCACAGGCGCGATCTCCTCCTCCACAACTCGCAACTCTGTTAGCACTCCGATTTACTAGTAAGGGTATCGTATACCTATAAAGCATATTGGTAGTTGTTAAAATTATGGTCCTTTTTGGGTACCCTAAATATTAGGTGCCGTATAAGCCTTCTGAACCTCGGAAAAGGAAGGTTTTTGGCAATGTATGGAAGGCTTGCACAAAAACAACGGCAATATTTTACCACTCTGCCAGCTCAAAGTCCAGAAACACCAAAAAGTTAATTGCCGAAAGGAGGGTAATAGGGACCCGAAAAGGGACCCTAATTTTGGCAACTACCCATATAGTATAGATACCAAAAATGTTGGGTCGCTGAACACCCGGGTCCGGCCCCTCCCCTGCGCTACCCTCCCCTTGTCTGAGTGGCTACTGATCTTCGGCGTCTTCTAGTAAGCGTTTCGGGCCGACGTCTGGTGCAGTAGTGGGAAACACTCAACTCATGTTAGGGCAGCAGATCAAGCAGTCCTTAAGACTTCCCGCCAGGTTCATCTTTTCCTAACCCTATGCAGTTGTCACCTGCGCGATTGTTTTGGAGCTATGTAGGTGTTGGAACCGCAAAGGTCTCTCACGCAATATACCAAAAAAGCCATGTCAACTGCCGATTAGGAAAATCTGAAGCCAACAAAACCTTGTATTGGAGCTTGCAGGTGTAGCAGCCCTAGCATTATAGCCTGTATGGCTGTAGCAAGTGGGAAAAGCTCTTATCCAAGCTGCATCTGGAAATTGCAGGTGTTGTCCTGCTAAGTTAAAGTGGATGAAACCTTTCTACCGAAAAGCTCGATTTGCAGGTATCACCACGCCGCTCGAGCGGCTTGTGTGCGATTTGGCCTACTCCTAAGGTCACCTGGTATTGTGTCTAGGACCTGCGCACCTAAACAACGCGGAGGCTCTTCGAGCTTGCCGTATGCTCGCAGACTTGTTGCTGTTGCCAGTGCCAACTTTGAGCTCCCGCGCTCGCCTTCGTAGACTCGTTCCGGAGACCAGCTCCGAGCTTTCTCGGCTCACCACAAGCACGGCATGAAAGGGAAGTTCACCCAGGTCCAGCATCTTCTGACAAAGCTTCCGGAGGATGCGCCGGGAGCCCCAATCTGCAGTGCCTATAGTTCAGATGTACAGGAGTGTTTCGAAGTGCAGGACATATACATAAGGGCTTCCCAGAGAGCCCAATACCCCCTGATTAAGGAATATACCTGGGATTCATATTATGATTTAAGAAGCCAAATTCCTTAATTAAGGGGTATTGGGCTCTCTGGGCTCTTGAGGACGGAGCAGGCAGCGGGCACGTAGACCATGCAAGAGTGCTTCGAAGCATACAGCCGGCCCCGAGTAAGAGGAGCTTAGAGTCGACGGGGTGGGTACTGAACCTTTCGATCCAAATCCTCATCTGGAAACATTTCAGCCCTTTGTTTTTGTTTAAAAACCTATAAAAAGACCTAAAAAACCGATGGTGTTTTAAAAAAAAACTTCAGCCCTTTGGCACCATAAACCCCTCGAGCCCCTAAACCTCAAAAAACGCTCGAATTTCCCTAGCGGCAGAACTCCTGAAGCCACATGCTCATGCCATGGATGCTCGAAGCCACCCAGACTTCTACGGTAGAAGCCAGAAAGTTGGAATATCATAATAGTATCCCCTTTAAGGTAAATTATAGGGGATCCTACCACTAATCCATATTCCAACTTTCTGGAGTTCCCTTTAGGTTGAGAAGACCACATCCGATAGTGCTCGAGGCAGCGACGCTTGCAAGAGAAGCTTCAGGGTTGTTAAACAGGTGTTCGAGTTTAGGGTTTAGGCTTACGGGTTTAGGGTTTAGGATGGTTTCTCAGGTGTAGGGTCTGGCGTGTTGAGATGTGTTCACGGTCTCGAGTTTGGGCTGGACAGGAGGATGGGAGTTCGGACTCCCTTGGCGTTTGCAGACCTGGGACTTAGTAAGGGAGTTTACATTCATATGTGCTACTGCTGCCGAGCTATCGTGAACTCAATGTATTTCAACCATTAAATTGCTGTGGCTGGTAGGCTCGAAAACTTCTGAGCCGAACACAGTGAGCGAAGGCTCATAAGCCCAGCGACGACAACGTGTTGATACTGTCAATTCAATGTGTCCTTCAGTTCTAGCAACAGCGGATGAGCTTCCGAGTCTATTCTGCTGATAGAGCTACCCCTCCTTCATCCGAGAATATGCCCAACTCATGGACCATAGAACCCTCACGCATGCTGGGCAAAGAGACTGCAGGTTCTTCGGAGCTCCGGGCGTCTGCCGAGATAGCCAAAAAAAGCATCGATTTCGGGTGGTGGTTATCTGCGTTTAGGGTTCGTGGAAAGCATCGGATGCCAGCTAATTAAACAATCGAATCAAGGGGCTTTGAACGGTTTCTTCAGGAGTCTCTGTTTAGGGCTCTAGAGGTAACAGTTTTCATTACAGGTTAGGGCAAGGAGGGCTTTCAGGCGATAAGCTTCTTTTGAAGCGCCAGGCAGGCAGCAACGAAGTCAAAAGCAAGATTTTTCGTAAGGTGCTTGCAATTTCCGCGAGTCTGTTTGTCCTCTGTTGAGCGGTTCCTTCAGCGAAGTTCTGGCTGGAAAGTGGTGAATGTTTTGCTGCGCATCATAAGTACAAGCTACGACTGAGCTTCTGCAAAGATTGCAAATCTTGCGTAGCTCGAACTCAAGTCGAAACGCCAACTAGTTGACACATTCCGTCTTTTCGCATGCTCAAATCTTCATGACCTGGTCTCAATCCACTGCGCTCTTATGTTTTTGTTTTCGTGGGTTTGCACGGCTTGAAGTAGACTGTAGACTGCTCGGCAGATCAGATATGAGGCCCAGGCAGCTGTAAAATCGAGGCACGCCTTTGCTGTTGCTGATGCCTGCCCAAGACTTAGACGACGAGCACAAACTGATGGACCACCACCTACCGAATAATGTGCTATGAAATCCCGGGGAGGAGCTACCGGGTAAAACAGATGCCCACCCTTAGCCCACCCAACTGACACTCCAACCCCAGACTTTGCAGCCGGCCTTTGTTCCTCAGCCCGTGGTGCCTTCGCCGTTCATGCCATGCTGCAGCCCCAATCGAAGAGCCCCAAGCAGATCGAGAATGAGGAGCGCGTCCAAGCACGCGAGGCCTGTGACGTGGAACGACATCCGGTATAGTTCATCCCCAGAAGACTAGGCTAAGCCCCGGCGAACTACCCCTCGTGTCTCGGGGAGTCAAAGCCCGAAGAGGCATTGAGGCGATGCTTGGAGTCTTCGCAAGGGGAAGTAGGTACAAGATGGTACAACACTGCGGGACAGCCACGAGAATGCGATCTTTCCGAAGCTTGAGCTCGAAAGCCTAACCCCGGCAAACTCCACCTTCACGGAATCTTCTGTTCAGCAGGGTATACGACATAGCCCGAAACCTTCTTTGTAGCAGTATTCAGGATGTGTTGGCCCTGACCCGTCAGAACCCTTAGCCTAAGAGCCCCAGCACTCATGCGCATTTGCATGGTCTTTGGGGGGCTTACAGACAAGCATTCTCTTTCACGATCATGTAATATGTCAGTCATAGTGCATGATTTTGCACTACATTAATATATTGAAATAAAAACACCCGATGAGGCGCTCCAGCAGCGGACCAAGGAGTTAGCGAGGAAGCGGGCGGTGAGCGAAGAGCTGAGTTCACTGCGGGGCTTAGCTAATATACGCGACTTAAGAATATCTCTATTATATAGTACAATATGCCCCCAAATCCTATTCTAATTATTAAAGCAGCCACATTATGGGGTTCATTTGACGGGTTCAGGGTTTGGATATGCAGGGTTTGGACATGCAGGGGCTGCGTGCCAGTAGCTTGCCAGTGCGCCTTCCCCTTCATCGCAAAAGTTTTATCAGTCTTGGGTACTGCCCCCACTCAGTAACAGTTGGATAATATTCATAGTATAAACACAGTAGGACCTTAGTAGTAGCCCTATTATGGACTGTTACTGTATGGGGGGCAGTACCCAATCCCAGTCCATATTGCAGCACAATGGGCGGCCTTCGAAACTCTGGCGTTTAGTGCTTGGGATCTCGGACAGAGCCGTGACCCACCAGTTCGCTTGCAGAACAAACGGCCACAACCTGGCTTCTTCTCCCCGGGTGATAGGTCATGTGTCGCAGTGAAAGTAGTCTGCTTAGGCTGAAGCATGTCCTAGCAGATCTTATATGCATTCATCCAGATTGCAGTGAGCATGCATGCATACATGCTCACATGCTTACATACACACATACATGCATACATACATACATACACACATACATACATCTTACATACGAACATATACAAATACACACATCGCAGACAGACAGCACAAATCAACATACTTCTTAGACACTTTACTTCTGATGCGCGTCGCGCCCATGATTCGATTGTGGAGCTGAGTCTGATTTGCCCAGGGAAGTGGAGCTTAAGCCAAACCCTAAAGCTTTTCAACGCGTCGTGTTGCTGAAGGCCAATTCCGAGAACTGCTCCGTCATCGATATGGGAGCGTGTGATGCTTAGTCGCTGCGGGAGACTGTATACTATGGCATACGGTAGTATGCTGTAGTATACTGTAATAAGCCAAGCTCTCCTGTCATATACCATCATATACTATAACATATTGCTATAGTAGATAGCAGACCCTACGCCCTGTGCATTGCCCAAACATGAAGCCTTGAACCCAACGTTGAAAGACGGATCTCGAAAGAGACTTTAAATTCCACTTCGCTTCCAGCCCGACAGCCTGAACGTGTGTAAAAGGTCCTTTGGTTTTCCAACCTAGTTAGTTGCAAGCCCGAGAGGGGCGCCGAACCATTTTTAGCCCTCCCAGGTCGTGGCGGGCTGGCGCCAGGCGTTGGACATCGCCTGCAGCCCAGACCAACACTGTGAGAGCTCACAGCGTTTTTGGGGCGTTTGTGAAGCGGTGTCTGTCCTTAGCGGCTTAAGCCTTAGCGTTTAGCACTCATGGCTTGGGCTGCTGAGAACGAGCTTGCACGCTCGCAATTCGGGGTTGAGGGCTTTGGCTTCGTGGGACTTCAGATGTGTTGAGATTGGTTTCTCTATTCCCTCAGACCACCTCCATGCTGAGGTCTCACAGGATACCCCAATCTTCAGAGGGACTCTTGCAGACAGTCGCCACCTCTAGCAAAACCACCCCGAGGCCCTAAACCCGACGAAATCTACGGCGCCGAATCCCGAAAGCCCAAGCCGGCAGTGAAAGCTTGCGGAAGGATGGCGAGGGCGACGTGACCTGGGAAGCCTTCGAAGTGCCTTCGCTCGAACTTGGCTTTCGGAAGACCTGAGGTTGCGGGGTTCCGTTGACTATAGAAGCCTAAATAACTAGCAAGTTCGATTTTTTGGTGGTCCCCTACTGTAGTTATAGTATAGTGGGCCCCAAACCCCTATTCTAAATCATAAATACCAATACTATCTTGGTGGTTCCTTCCTGTGATGATCGTATCATTGGCCCCAAAACCCTGCTCTAATTATCACGGGCCCTGTATTAGTGGTTTGGGGTTCAGGGTTTGAGGCTTCAGGACAGTGAACACGGTGGTCGATTTGCTGTTGAGCTTTTCCCCCTAACCTTAGAACCCTAAATACTAAACCAGATATTGGCAGGGCTAACTATCTCTTCGAGTAGGATGCAGCAGCCCAGCAGATTGTGGACGCATCCTGACCCCACAAGAACTTCAGAACCCGTCCTCAGGGATTCCTTGGCCCTGGGCATACACCATAGGCTGCACATAAGACAACACACAAAATAGTATAAATTCGAACAAGGCTGGTCATGGACAATTACGTTGTTATGTATGGTCAGGCGTCTGGCGTTCCCAACCCCCCCCCATTGTATGGTCTGGTACGGGGTGGGGGGGGTCTGGCGTGTGCGGAGAGGGGTGGGGGCCGTTGGAGCTGCAGCTGGAGGGACGGCAACGCGTCACAGACAAGGCCAGCATCGTACGCAAGCCCTACCCAAGCCATAAATTCCATAAACGTGTCGCAGTAGCGCCTGCTCCTGCTTGTAATAACCTTAACCTAAACTTCAAATCCTACAACCAACCCTAAACCCCGCCTAAATGCAGCCTCTAAGCCTAAACCAGAACATAGACTGTCAACCCTAGCGAACCTACACCCCAAACCCTCCCTAAGCCCTTGTCGACTCGAAGCCTTGTCGCCTTTTCAGCCAAAGCCCTAAACCCTAAACTCAAAGGCTTAAGCTTGACCCAAAACCCCAAAACCCCCACTATTCCGAGGATGCTGCCAAGACCTTGCAGTTTACGGGCGATAAGGATGGCCTGTGGGAGGACCTTGCCACTGTTTCTGATGGGTAGAGAATCCTCAGCAAACCCTGCAGGCGTGAATTCTCGAGCTAGGGCTCAGTGACTAGAAGCTTGGATTGGTTCTCTTCCCTCAGGTTTGTATGTGGACTTGAGCCTCAAAGCAACGAATGGAAAGATTCTACGACGAGGCCTCCTAGAAAGAGCCGGATGAAGCTATAAGAATCTGCGGCAAAGGCGCTACAATGCCCCATTCAGGCCCTACACAGTTCCAGTCTAGACCTCACACCGCATGAAAAGACCATAAACCTTCAAGCCCACACCCCAAAAGCCCTACTAAACCTTGCGCAAGGCCCTCAAAACCGTACATGGCCCTTAAAAACCTTTAAAAATCCCTAAATCCTAAAAAGAGGGAGCCCGCAGGAGCTGGTCGAGGAGCACGAGGAGACCCTGACACTCGAAAGACTCGAGCCTGCGGTAGTGGAGGCAGCCTATCAGGGTTGAAAGCGACTTAGGGTTCAGGGTTTATGGGTTTATGTAGAGGTTTAGGGGTTTCGGGTTTACGGGCGATGAGCGGGTATGCGGGTTTCGGGCCGCTTGAGGGTTCTCGTCGGGTTGGTTCTGTAAGCAGCTGGGCTTTATCGGGCTTTTCGGCTTTCTACAGAGGGTGTTGGACCTCGGGTGCTGTAGGGAACAGTCGTTTAGGGCCTGGCGTCACCTGGCGTCTAGAGATTTGACGGTGGGGTTTTCGAGTTCACACCTGTCAGAGGCCCTAATTCCTGTCCGCAGGTGTTGGACTCAGGGCTTGAGCGTGATTTGGGGGCTGCGGGTCCGCACCCAAAAATCTTGTTGACGATTTCTCGAAATGTCGGGCGCGGCTTCGGATCCTAAGCACGCGGCATCTGCCAAATGCGAAGCAGCATAGAGTCACAGAGCCCGAAGTCGCCAGAGCCCCATCCTTTGCCTGGCCCTTGGGCATGGTAGCTGAACACAGGGAATTCCATAATAATAATAATATCTATAATCATATAGTAGTATGATAAATAGCAATAATAATACTATGTTAGTCTAGACCTTAAACCCTATAGACCCCTAAGCCCGACCTCGTGCGCAAACCGCTTGAGCCCTGGAAGCCCGGACTTTTAACAAGCACCCGGCCCGCAAGAGCTGTGTCGCTGACATTGCAAGTACGGTTGTGGCACCGGTGATTGTTCGCATATCTTGTTTTGCTACTTGTATTAAGGTCTAGACTAACGTAGTATTATTATTGTTATTTATCATATTACTATAGTATTATAGATATTCTTATTATGGACTTCCCTGGGAGATGATGATGTTTTGAAACCATGATCCCCGATCGTCTCGTAAACAGGGTGGTGGCCTGCGATCCCAGGTCCCGGGTCTTCATTGAAAAGACGCAGATACTTGGGGAAATTCAGGGAAATTCCGAAACGCGACCATGACACCAGTTCTTCTACCAGTACCAAAACTCAGATTCAACTACCTAGACCCCCAAAAGTAGGTAAATTAATGGCCCCAAACCTATAAAAGGCTATTATTCTACATACTTTTGGGGTCCAACTACTGCTCAACCCGAAGACATCATCTGCCGAGCTTTTGGAGCCTGTCCTCGTGCCAGGCAAAGGCTAGCTTTTTGCACGCCTGCGCGGATAGATACGGCCGGACCCTGAGGAGAGGCCGTTTAGGAGCGAGTCACGAGCATGCTTTGGTGTAGGAGGAGGGCCACTATCAGAGTTCAAACTTCAAGGTTTTGGCTTTACGCTCTTCGGATTTGATGCTGGATTCCGACTCGCAAACCCTAGGTTCCGCGAGCTCTCTGCATCTCGCAAGACATCTTCGCAATGTGCACAAAGAGCATCAAATTCCAACATCGTCGACTTCAATCCCTATGCCGCCTATGCCCCATCTACAACTCCGCAACTTTGAACGGACCCAATGCTATCGAGGAAGCAAGTACCGCACGTATTACAATTGCAATCGCTCAAACTAAAACCGTGGCGAGGTTCTGTGGAGAAGGCTTTCTGGGAGATGGAGTTGGAGACTAAGCCCTTGGTCTCGCACGACGCCCCTTGGTGGCAGAGGGGTTTCTTCTTCTCGCTAGCACCAGCAGTAGGAGCACCCGTAGTAGTCGTCGTAGTAGTTGTAGTTAATTGAAGCAGTAATTACTAAGTCCATCATCGTCATGATCAGAATAATTTCCTCCTCAGCATGACCGTGTGCGTCATTGTTATTGTGATATTAGTCTTGCCCGCGTGTCCTTTTCATAATTTTATCCGTCTGCCTTCAGACTTCACATTGACATCATCACATCGTCCTGAACATCATCCCTATATTACCATCGACGACAGCAACACTGCAGCAGAGCAGCAGGAAGACCGCACACCTCCTGAGTGCAGTGCTTGAGCTTGTAGTTTCAAGCTTGGCCTGCCAGGATTTCAATCGCCTGTGCATCGAGATCAACATGCAGAAGAACCGAAGACTTCTTTTCGAATACGTGGATCTGAAAGGAGCCGTGCTTTCACAAGCTTGAGCATTCAAGGGTTTGGGCCGGTTAGGGCTTTCAAGATGATGCAGGAATACCCGACCGCCCCAAACCCTGTGCTTCCCATTCCATCGCGACATGTCGCAAATTCCTGAACTCTAAACCCATGCCCTGGGCCCAAAAGCCCACACCCTGTTGAGGACTCGGAATGATCTCCCTGGAGACGTTGGATGCAGATGCCGCCTTCGACGCATTGGGGGGAGGGGATTTATATATATACTATACTGCTTGTGTTAAAAATGATGTGTGTGTGTGTATATATATATATATACACATCATCTATGTTTCAGTTTATTTAATTTACATGGTTTTGTTGGGGGGAAGGGCAGGTGGACCTGGACGCCTGCACAAGCATTGAACGGTCTGCTTCAGCATAGCCCGAATGGAAATAGCGAGAGTAGCATATACAGACTTGCGCGTTGCAAGAAAAGTGCTATACACGTGTGTGCATGGGCATACCGCCTCTTTCATGCGTGCATGTACTATCTGTCCTGTATGATAATATATGAACTGATAGTCATGCATGGCATCTGCATATACAATGGTGTATGCAGAGGGCGACGAATGGATAGATGGTTGGGCCCGCATGTATGCAGGTTACAATGCAGGAAGGAACGTAAATAATTAGACAAGTAAGCAGTGCTGCGCATGTGTTTATGCTTATGCTTCGTTCACGACGAGCTTGCGGCAGGGGATTGAGGTCCGGACAGTGGAGGTCTTGTGTCAAAAGCTTGAGGCTTTGGGGTTGGGCCGTGCTTGGGCCGCGGCTCAACCGATCTGACCCTTGAAATCGAAGGTCTTGTGCTCTTCGGTCGTTGTTGCGAGGTGCCACAAGCTGCTGGCTTTTTTTTTCGCTCCGATCTCTCTGCCGGACCTGAACTTGAGGCCTGCAAAAACGTCTTCGGAAAGATTGCTTGCAAAGAAGCTCAGGCTGGCAGGGCTAGGGCTCAGGAGTTTGAGGGTTTAGGGTTCAGGGCCGAGCGAGCCGTGGCTGCGCTTTTTGGGGTTTAGGGTTCCGCATGAAGGTGTACGTGCCATCCCAGGGCATGACCCTTCAAGAATCCAGTGAGAACTCTCGCGCTCATCAGGCGACGATGAGGAAAACATGACGGCCAACGACACACTGGATTTCGAGCAAAAAGACACCTGCAGTCTAGCCTGAAGCTGATATCGACTCTATACTCTCCCAATCCTGAACTTATATAGTCTGCCATCGCGACAGCTTACATTATTATGATATGCTCGTCTTTGTCTGTCCTGATGACGGTGACCCGAGCTTGCAGCCTGCTTCCGGAGGCGCAGCTTGCCGAAAGGTCGCCGGAAAAGAAGGCTTCGCGTGTAGGAGTTATTTTGGAGTTTCGGGGTCCATATAGGGTTTAGAATCTGGGTTTAGGATTTTAGGCTGTTGTACCTGAAGTGCATCTGAAGTCCGGTACTTAGTGCATGAATCTTAAGACGCTGGGTTCCTCTGTGCTCTTCGGTTCTCATGAGCCTTCTTGGTGGGAGTCCAGGCCCTTTCCACCCCGGATGTCTCTGCCAAACGGCAGACCTCAGGATGTTAAACTTTGGAGCGCTAAGCTCTGAACCTAAAACCCTAACTAACTTACCTGACTGACGTCCTAAAGCCCTCAAACCCCAAACCACATAAAGATAGTAGGCCTTGCATGTGGCGGGAGGTGTTTGGATCTGAAGCCTGCTAGAACATCGTATCTTTGTCATAGTTGGATAACATTTTACATTGTTATGGGTCCTTAAGCCCAATAAGGATTAAAAATGTACATTTTTAATCCTATCCCAACCATGAACTTTGTAGAACACAATGCAAAGTCTCTGCACTTCATGATATCCTCAGATCAGACTGACGTATTGCATGTGCAGATCGAAATCAATGCTTCGTGCGCGACTTTCGCAGGAACGCAAGACCATCCACCGCCGTGCGGCCGGGGACCGGGTAAGTTTCAGACAGGAGTGAGGAGTTTAAATCTTATCCTAGACCTCGCCTTTTTCCCCACACTACACCGCAGCATGCTTCATGGATTATTCCCGTAAGTTTGGCGCAATGCCTCATCTGCTATCATTTTGAAGCAAGTTGTAGATTTCCTGTAGACAGAAGTCCCATTCTATGTAGATGCTACAGTCCGTGCCCACCCTGCAAAGCCTGTTCTTCTGCTTCAGTCGCCTATGCTGTAGACCTCAGCCCCAAGCCCTAAACCTCAAAATCTAGCACCCAGCACTCTGCACACCATACTTGTAAAAAGGAGCCCCCCGCAATACTGTAGGTAATTATCAAGGGCTCTATAATAGACCCTAAACCCTGGTACCCTAAACCCAGTCTAGTACCCAGGTGGAGCAGTGTGCCCTGACCCACCGGGCTCCCGAAGAGCTGCGGCAGCGACGGCAGGCTTCGAGATGGGGTTTCGGGGATGTTTGGGGCCTCACGATCTCCGTTTATCATAGCGGGGGCAAATGGGAGTTTCCGAAAATAGGGGACCCTAATATAGTACCCGAAATTGTAGGATCCTTGTTGTAAGGACCCCAAATAAGGTACCTAATTTTCGGAAACTCCCAAATCAACCATTATCGTGCACCTGGCTTCCTGAGCTCCAGATATTGGAAACTGTAGGGTGGGCTGCACAGGGCTCTCTTTCAGGCTTCCCTCCAAGGTACTAGTGAGGACTCGGTTGTAGTACAGTAAGGGCACCAAGAAAGACCATCTTGCTCAGAACAGCCACAGTGCTGCAATATGATTGTTGGTCGATTGGTCTATCTATCTATCTATCCATCTATATCATATATATATATATACACATACAGACATATTTATAGGTGCATAGGCTACAGGCCTTAGGGCTTTAATGTATTGGGCTGCGGTGCGCGAGACTGCCGCATACATCCCGGCAAGGTTCTTGAAGATCACATTCGCATTTTGTAATTTTAAGGCTTCAAGGAGTCAGGTTTTAAAGCCTTGGGGCCTAAAGACCGTATTATATAAGGCGTTTGGGCCATTTTGAGCCTTAGGGTAACGGCTGCAGCGGAAGCACACAGTGTGTCAAGCAGTACGCTTTTGATTTTAAGGAGCCGAGTTACAGGCTACAAAATCGGAGCAAGGTGCACAGGCCGGCGGGGGGAATTTAGGGTTTAGGCTTTAGGGTTTAGGGGAATATCAAACCCCTACCGGAAGCCCTAAACTTCACGCGATGGCAGGAGATTGTGGAGCTGCTCGAGGACCGGAGCTGCTGTTTCCGCTTCTGTTGCAGACTAGCCTAGCCAAGCAACGGCTGAGGGGGAGGATGATGAGTTACTTAGTCGCTCCAACTGATCATCATCAGCACGACAGAGATGTGACCTGAGGGTTTTGAGCCAGAGATGAGCCAGTGAACCATGAAAGCTGCAAAAAGACATTCGGTGGACCTGGGCAGCCGAAGAAGAGCAGCCTAAGAATTCCTCAGTAGGCACTCCTGAAGCTTGCAAGAGGTTTGTTCCTGAAATGTGGCCTTGTGATTCGAGCTTAGGCATTTTGCAGAAAGTGGTTTGGCCAAGTGCTGGCCTTGCGGAGAGCGCAGGCACGGTTCGACTCCCCGGTACGTGCTTGGGCGAACTTGCTGGACCTCCACGCAAAGGGGAAGCTGAAGAGGCGCGTCAATGTCTTCAGTCTGTGATACCAAGGCTAACAGCTACAAAACTCATTCAAAGCTTACGGTGAAGTTTGTAAATGAGTGGAGGGCGGCCGGACCGCCACGGCCACAGAGGCAGTATAAAACTTATGTTTCCATTTTTTCGCATGATCAATGTAAAACCCACAGCCTCACCACGGGAAATACACTTGTCCTCCCTGTCCCCACGGCCACAGAGGAAGTATAAAATGTCTGCTCAAATGTTTCAAGATCCGCATGTTTGAGAATCGTCACCGTGCTGTTTAGGACTTTCGACGTTCCCCCTCCCAAAAGCCGTATGTACACCTATTTGTGTGTATGCAGGTTTTAATCGCGCAAGCGCGTGTATACAGGCATACACAAGCATACCAATGGGCATGCGGATGTATATACACCAGTAGCTATCATCTTGGATGATCTGGACTGGAGTCTTGAGATGACATAAGGATGCCGACACGTCCATGGCCCATGGCCTAAGCCCTGCCGACACCAAGACCCAAAGGCCAACAAAAGCCGTTCCCAAGCGCCCGAGGCTTTTCTGTCCGAGCTTCAGGCCCGAACCCCTGAACCCCAAAGTCCGAAAGCTCGAAGCCAAACTCAGAAACCCAATCCCAAGGCCGCTTTCAAGCCCTGAGCCAGTATCCAGTACACGATCTCTGAAAAGGAGCCCTTGATGAAGTTCCGAAAGAATTTGATGAAGTTCCGAAAGAAACCCTGCAAAATCCGCACCCAAGTCTGACCCTGAGGCGGGAGTTCCAGACTAGCATGTCCGTCCTGGGCTATGCCGGGAACGTGAAGAAGCTCTGGGCCGCCAGGGCTCTGATCTTGAAGGGCCTTTCTGTTCTTTTGGGGGGGCTGAGGGCTTTAGGGTTTGGGGTTTTAGTGTTTTTCGTGGTTTTAGGGCTAAGGGGTCATACGGTTTAGGGTTCGCGGATTTGGGTATTTAGGGTTTGTGGCTTCAGGGATTTTGTGTTCAGGGTCGTAAGGAGTCATGAGATCCTGAAAGCCAAGGCGGTTTGAGCCAAAACTCCAGATCCCGCTACGCATCTGAACTTCTGAACCCGACCTCCAGAGCTCTCATATAGGGGCCTCCTAATAATTACCTGTACTATTTTGGGGGGGGGTCCCTACTATAACTAGGGCCCCGGAACCCTGTTCTAATTCTTAAGGCCCCTATAATATGTCTATGTAAACGTAAACACTTAGCGAGGCTTTCGCAAAGCCGCATCTCGGGGGGCTCTGGGTGCTCGTGCCGTCGTTGCTCCGCATGCTCAACCTCGACACGCCTTTGGAGACTGTTTTCGTGGAGCGCCTTGTGTCGGATTGGCGACCAGGAAATAAAGGGGCATAGTGGAGTTTGGGGTTTAGAGGTAACGCCCACAGGGAATCCCAGCTTCCTATAGCCCCCAGCACGCCTCCCCTCTTCCGACGAAAGAAGACCCAGGAATTCTCAAAACATGGCGTTCCGGCCAGGAAGAGATGGGCTTGAAACCCAAGCAGTCTGTCAGGCCTGCCTTTGCTCAGGGTCTTACCTTCGTTTGGAGATTTCGTTGCCTACAGCAGGGGTGATGGTGTTGAATCTCGCTTCTGTGTGCTTTGGGTTGCGAGCTGTCCAGGTCAGGGGCCTCGAAGGGTGAGGACCCACCTCACAGCCCCCTCATGTCCCTAGACCCTCCATCTACCCTCTATATGACCCTAGATGCCCTTTATTTGGGACCATATACCCCTGTTTGAGGGTACAAGGAGGGTTCTGGTCATTGAACTCAATTTACATACCTGCATCCTGTGCACGACAAACACCTGCAGGCGCTTGCAGCGCCGGGGCCAACTCTCCGAAGTCGCACCCGCCCTTCGTTTCTCAACCCATACCTGCCTATACATACCTTTGAGGTATGAGAACCAGAACGTATAGAGACCCAATCAAAGGGGATCCTTGTGCTTATGTGCTTTTCAGCTTCATGCGGGGGTGGAGGTTGAGTATGCGCGAAGGCATCGCCAAGGAAGAGATTTCAAACATGTAAGAATGGCCTGGCTTCGACCGCGGATATGTACTAGGCTTTATTTTTGACCGGAAGAACCACGTGGCTCATGTATGAAGCCTCTGCCGCAGGTTTAAAGACCTCTGTCCCGAAGTGATAGATGCCGGCCCGGCGTGCTTGCGGCCACGAAGGGCTTAGGTGTGGTGAGAAGTGGATGCAGCATTTGTGTATGTTTGAGGGGAAGTGAGCTTTGAATGGTTTGCTGTTTCGGGAAGGGCACGGTGCGACAAACCCAGCCTTTCTATACTCGTTCCGACTACCAGAGTGTGAAATTAGCGCCAAGACCGTTGTCGGCTTGCATGACCATCAAAAGGACTGTCGGACATTATTCTTTGTGTACTCCTTCGAAGTAGCTCGAACGTGCCTTGTACACCCCCAGCTCCGCAAGCGAGGATCCTCAGCGCGAAATCCTGAAACACCGAATTCCCAAACCCTGTAAACTGATGTCAAGGTGGCACCCCCGGAAGTTTCTCTATCTCTTCTTATGGCCCCTGTTCGTAAACATTTTGGTGGGCCCTTCGTGTCGGAATTCGGTCGAGCGCAACTACGGGGGCCTGGCTGGACTTGTTTTGCTATCACTTGGGAGCGAAAATTGGGGGTACCTTATTTTGGGGTCCTTATAATAAGGATCCTATATATATATATATATATATATATATATATACTATTGAGGGTACTATATTAGGGTCCCCTAATTTCGGAAACTCCCACTTGAAGGAGCTTGCTGTCAGGGATCCTGAGCCCTAAACAGCCCCCGGGGCTCAGGGGTTCGGAACCAAATCCTCCTGAACGGGTTTAGGGTTTAGGGTAACCCGAAACCTTGAACCTTAAGCCCCAAACGTAAACCCCAAGCCCTGAACCGGAGCCCCGACCCTGGGCCGTTGCAAGCCAGGAGATCCGGGAATTCAAAAATATGGCCGGGAAGAAGATCATCACTTTGATCCAGGCTAGCTGTGGGGTGTGGGACTGCGGGTTGAGGGCCCTAGAGTCTTATCATTTACAATGTACACGGTTTTTTTGGGTGATTAAGTTGTCAGGGTTCAGGATGTACAGGTTCCAGGTATCCAGAAAATGTAGAGGAAACTTCCCAGTTCGCAAAGAAGGCCGCAACCTTCCAACCCTACCCGAGCAAGCCTCTAAGCCCAACACTCTCAAGCCTACACTCAACCTCAAACCCCGAACACCTCGGATCCCCGAAACTTCAGACGCCTACTATTCCTACAGCTCCCGAAGCTAGCAACCCTATGCCCTAGAAGCTTTAAGCCGCACGCCCCGGAGCCCTGCGGAGCCCTCGGAGGTCTCTGAGGTGGCAGCAGGCCCCGGAAAAAGTAAGAAGGCCAGGCCCGAAGTTTCTTTCGAAGTTTCTGTTGGGTTTGGGGGCATTTAATTCAGGGGCCTTAATCTTACTAATTTCGGGGTTCCTTATAACTTATAATCACTGTAGTAGAATATTTTTCCCGAAACCTTATTCTAATTATTGTAAGGCCCCTATAGTAGCCCTGTATAGCTTTGAAGGCTTTAGAGGTTTAGTGCTTTGGTGATGCTTCTGCTTTTGTCGGCTTTGTTGGTTTGGAGTTTCAGGGTTCCGGCATAGAAGCCTAAAGTCGCACCACATGGCACCCAAGCTTGCGTCAAAGAGGCTTACCGCGGAAGGTCGGAATTAAATCAATACAGCTTGGAGTCATCATTCTGGGCTCTTACCGGCTATCGCATGTGCACCCTTTGGAGAGAAGCAGCCTGTGCGTGAGGCGGGCGTGCCTGTGGACACCGACGAGTACTACAAGGCCATGCATGACACGATGCCGGCAGCGGACCCGTAACTCGTATGCCCGGCAGAAGCTCGTCTGTTCCCAGAGGTAATCGACGCCATTGATTACCCCGGTGATGCAGAAAGGCTCTTGAGGCTGGCTGTACACCTGTGCAGACTTCAGGTTCAGCGTGCTTCATCTTGACCATCGCGTATCACATGTTGTTTGAATTGGTATCTAGTATCACATCCTTAGAAGATGCGTGCATACAGACACAGAGACACACACACACAAGTACATATGTTTCTAAAAACCTGTTTGTGTGTTTACTGGTTTGTTTGAAAGACTGATTGCATATGCAGCTGCCTGCATTTCGAGTACGATGCCACATGTCATGTTGCAGCACCTACATTACCATAGTTTAGTATTGTGGTGGTGTAGTATCCTATCTCATGAAGAGTACCTAGACGCTCCATCTACCCTCTATTAGATCCTAAATGCCCCTTATTTGGGACTATATACCCCTATTTGAGGGTACAAGGAGGGTCCTGGTAGTTACATACATCGTCACACATTCAGGCCAGGGCTTCTGCACTTTGAAAGCCGTCACCACAAGTAGGCAACGGCTCATGCAAGAAGCGAGCAGACAACGGCTTATTCGTCCTGGAATGTTACCCAAGGGCCTTTGCTTGACGAAGCTGCTTTGAACCGCAGTTGGTGTCAGTATATTTCGCCAGTATAACTGTCCTGCGTGCTGATGTCGTGTTTCTGTACATGCTGCGCTGGTTCAGTTTGATTTCTTCCGGGATGGGTGGTGGAGGCATCTCGATCCCGGCAATATGGGCTATGTGAACACCCGAACCCTGCGCATTCTCAACGAGCAGAAGAGCGAGGAGAAGGCGGACCAGGATGCAAAGTCTTGCGCTTCTTGATGATTGCTGCAAGGTTATTCTCCTGACACTTCTGGCATTCTGTCCTCGTAGTTCCAGCAAGACTGCCAGTTGTGGTGGCTTTAAATGTGACTCTACAGACCGGCCAGACCACTTCTCCAACCGCGGCAATACATTGCACTAGCTGTCATAGCTGTCAGCAGTGCTAGTACCACTGCCGTGGTTTGACTATCCCTGTTCTTTTCGTCACACGCTAAGAACATGATTGTGTCGTCTTCGTCCTTTTGTCATGTCGGTCACGCGGTTCGCAAGTGGATACACTGCCGTGCGCGTCCAGTGTTTTAAAGTTTTCCAATCTGGCAGTGGGGAAGTGTCCTCGCGAGTCGTAGTGTCAGACTTCCTCAGAGGAGGCCACAATAAAGAGTTGCTTGCATGAAGAAACTGCAGTAATGGTCGGAATTCGGCCCTATAGAAGCCAGTGGGACTTCGGGTTTTGGCAAGAGGTAGCTTAGGTGACAAACTCGCCGATGTGACGGCCTGGCAACCGTTCATCGCACTGACCTCAC